TATTCTTTTGAATATAGAAGACTTTTCGAGAGAGAAATTGATTATCTCCAATGGAAACTTGCTAAAAACGTATTGTAATTTCACACATATTTTACTGAATATAAAATGTTTTAATTCAAATGATGTCTGATTCTTATGAATATGGAAGACTTTTCGAAAGAAAAATTGTATGAAAGCTTAGTTTCGACATTTTTATAGCAATTCAAAATTACTACCCATCACCTTTAGCATGACAAAAACAATAAAATTTCTATACAAACTGTTAGACTGATTTTTTATAATAACATTGAAGTGGAAGTAAAGTCTTATAGGATTGTAAGTATGCTTTATTTTATCACTTTGCACTTTCACGACTTGACTGTGGTTTTCTACAGCAGATTGTTCAAATTTCTGACCAGTTGAACAGTTTGGTTTTATAAAACAAATTGCAATTTAGTCAGAATTTTGAATTAGTTGCAATAAGTTGAGAGCAACACTTACAGTCAAGTCACAGTAATAAACACCAGAACAAATGTGTGCATTCTTTCATTTAAACATTTGTTCAATACTTATTGACATGAACCTTGTACAAAGTGTTTACGCATAGTGAAATCTAAAAAATAATAGTTATGAATAAACTGTTTATTTATTTATTTATTGACACAGATTTTTGATATTCCATCCAGTATTCCAGTTTCATTATTTGAAGTAATTTTTAAATATTTTCCTAAATGTATTAACTTTTTGGATTATTTTCTTACATTTTTCATTATATCACTAGTTTTTTTTTCTATATCCAAAGTATTCTCTTTAATTTCCCATGATATATATCCCAATTAAACAGGTGCAGAGTCTTTATATTTAATCCAGAATTTTGTAATTTTTGAATATTTCCAATATCACATTACAAATTTTATTCATATTTTCCCCTAAATCACTTGATATTACTATATCGACAGCATTCAGTTTTTATTTTATTTCCCATGATATTTATCACAATTAAACAATATCAGATCCAGAATTTTATAATGATTATTTCCAGTGTCACATTCAAAATTGTTATCCTCATGTTGTGAATTTTTTGGGAATATGTTACTTTTATTATTCACGTTATCACTAGATTTGACTATATCCACTGTATTTACATTTTACTTCATTTCCATGATATATATCCAAAATTAAACAGGTTGGGAACAAACCCTCTACATGGTGTTTTTACCTGTATAGAGGGATAATCCTTCTATAGAGGGATAAAATTATCCCTCTGTAGAGGGGTATTTTTGTTTAGACTGAATTTAAAGCAAAATAGGGCAGATTGGCATTTTCTAGTTATATTTGCTATAATCTATAGCATTGTATGCATCAATAAATGCACTTTATTAAAAATTGGGATGCCCAGTTTTTTCCTAAAGTGACAGAACTTGAAATCTATTGTAAACCTATCTGAACACCTGATCAACAACAAAAGGGACAGTTGACTTTTAATAACTTTCTTAAACTATCCTGCATTTCAACCAAACTTGGACAGAAGCTTGTTTATGACCATAAGATAGTATCCAGAAGTAAATTTTGTAAAAAAAAATCCTGTTTATCTGCATTTTACTCGTAAATGGATTTAGTTTTTCTGCCAGTTAACATTACATTCACTCTGTGGTTAAAGTTTTTCAAATTTTAATAACTTTCTTAAACTATCCTAGATTTGTACCAAACTTGGACAGAAGCTTGTTTATAATCATAAAATAGTATCCAGAAGAAAATGTTGTAAAAAAAATCCTGTTTATCCGTATTTTACTCATATATGGACTTAGTTTTTCTGCCTGTTAACATAACATTCACTTTGTGGTTAAAGTTTTTCAAATTTTAATAACTTTCTTAAACTATCCTGGATTTGTACCAAACTTGGACAGAAGCTTGTTTATGATCAAAAGCTAGTATCTAGAAGGAAATTTGTAAACATTTATTTCCTGTTTTTCCGTATATTACTTATAAATGGATTTAGTTTTATTCCAGTTAACATTACGTACAGTCTGCAGTTAAAGTTATTAAAACATTTATTAGATTCCTAAACCTTCTTGGATTTTTACCAAACTTGAACAGAACTTCTTACAATCAAAAGAAAGTATCTAGAGAAAATTTTTTAATAATTTTTTCCCTATTTTTGTTGAGCCTGCGACTAACAGCAAAAGTAAGCGAGACACTGGGTTCCGCGGAACCCTTACAAATTTTATGCACAAAAATCATAATAGATTTCAAAGAAAAACATTACAAGCTATACTCAAACATTATTTTGGCTTTCACATGTATATCATCATGTAAAAACCACACAAAGCATTTTGAATGAATTATTTCCTCCTTGATACATTTATGACAATCCAGTCATAGTCACATTTTAAGAAGCAAAATTAAATGGCATCTGCAAAGAGAATTCAAATAAAATTAATCCCAATTTTTAAGCACATTGATTCAAATAGATTTCAAACACTGCGAAAATAATCCAATATGAAAAATGTGAAATGTGAAGGGATATATGAAGAAATGCATAACATATTCATCTGAAAACTGAAACTGAAAACACCTGAATAGCTATTTCTTGTTTCACTGACAACTGGACAATACTATGGATAAGGGTTAACAATTTAAAGATTCATTTATTATTTAAAAAACAGTTTCAATTGTAATACATATTTAACATGCTGTTAAGGAAATCTTTGACTGGTTTAAATTTTTGGGTCAAAATTCGATTTATCATCTATATTGGGGACTTAAAACAATGAAAATTAATAATATTTTCTTCCCTATTAATACTATAATAGAATAACCCTAGGCGAAGAAAAACTTCAGGGCAAAAAGCATGCTGTAAGGTTAGGTTAGGTGAATAAAAAACTGTACAGGTAGCATTAAGGTAGACTCATCTCTAACATTACACCCCAGTTCTATTGTTATGCTTCATAGTTTCTATTTCTGAAACAATTTTAAATTGAATAGATCTTTTGTTACGAATAGCAATGGATTTTGACCACATGGTCTGACGAGTGGGGTTTCTGGAAACTCCTGCTTCTACATCCCGCAAACAAAGTCCATTGTTATTCGTATTGAAATTACTGATAGTGTTCGCTACAAATTGTTTCATGATATTAAAAAAACATATTTTAGGAAATTCCAATAAGCATCTATATGGAATACAAAAATAATCCTTTAAATACTCTTTTGCTTTAAGATAATTTTTTTTATCCCAGTCATATGTCTCTATTCTAAAGCATTGATCTTTTTAAAAAATGGGGATTCTAACTCCCGGACACCCCCCATCCCCCGGTTGCCCAGTGGCCGATTTGGTGTTGGGGGTTTCGCGGGTTGGAGCCGACTTTTATTTAAAAGATCAATGCATTTGAATGATTGGACCCCCCCCCCCCCCTTTTCTCTTGAGTTGGGAATCCCCGGCTGGATCAGGCCCTGATTGCCCCCATAAAGGGAGTTCCTCAATATTAAATATTGTATGTTTAGCGTGTCTGGTAGTCGGGTTTCCAATGCAGACACACCTATCCCAATGTTTGTTTATTCTCGAGAAAAGGGAGATTTGATTTTGATAAAATCGTAAGATATAAAATACAGTTATGATTACCTTTATTAAACTGATACAGGTAAGTACTTTGGGTTATAATATTGCCTTTATCTTTAGTCTCTTCTACCAAATCCAACGCTTGCCACAAAATGTCGTCCGTCTTATACCCGTCCAGATAAAAGATAGATGATAGATAAGATAAGATAAAAGATTTATTTAAAGTCGGTTATACATATAACAATACAACATAAGCTCTGTAGAGCTTTTATCCGACATACATATATGACAAGCACAATACATAAAACACAACAAACAGTAATCACATCATGCAAAGAATGAATAATGTTTTCAAGCACAGCAATTTGTAAGCAAAATTAAAGCATATAAAGCAAACATAAAATGCAGATAAACTAACATTCATGCAATAGCTATTATATAAAGCACTAAAAGTAATTCAAGCATTTTAAACACAAATAAAAAGTTATGCATCAAAATATAAAAGCCAGAGTATACACGATGAATAAATAAATGATCTACAACTCACTGAGATCTGCAGGAGAAACACTGACACAAACTGCCCCCCTCCCCCCCCCCCCAATTACCAACCAAACTTTTAAACTGACCCAAAGGCATTTCTTCCCTCATCTTATTTGGCAGTTCGTTCCAGAGTTTGGCTCCTGCATATCTGAAAGAGTGTAGCCCATGGGTAGTTGACCTTACCCTGGGAACATCTGCTATGTTGTTATTTCTAAAAGAGTAATTACATTTTCTAATTTCAATAAGGTCATGTAGATATAATGGTTACTGTTTATTAATAATTTTATACACCTCTATTGCTATCATTCTAATTCTTCTCATTTTTAAACTTGGTAATTTTGATTTAATTAACAGTTGTTGATAAGTACTACCATAGTCTTCATATATAAATCTTAGGGCACGCTCCTGTATTTTCTCTATTTTTCTGGTATTACAATCACCAACGAAGTGCCATATTACAGGACAATAATTAAAATTTGACATGATAAATAAATAATATATAGTAAGTCTACCTAATTTTGTTAAATGTTTACCAATACGTTTAAGTACATGTAACTGTCTTGATGCCTTTTTACAAATGTTAGAAATATGGGCATCAAACTTATCATATTGACAACTGTATACCAGGAGCATGATGTGTTTTTTTGTTTGTAATAAGAATACACGAAACAGTCAACCTTGACCTGCTGACTGCTGATCCATATTAGCACATGGATTTATATATAACGGGAATATGCAAAACAACTTGACATTTGTAAAATATACTCACTTGTCAAAGTTTGAACAAAGATAACCAAAGAAAGGTTACTAGTGGGGTTTCATGTAATAAAAAAATATTCTTATAAATCATGGTTTGATACTCTCAATAAATATGCTGTCGTTTTTTTTCATTTAATAATCAATGTTAACAAATATAGGGTTCAGAATGAGGTGTAAGTTAGTTATACACCTCGGGATACGGCGTGTCTGGATCAGAAACCCCTCTGGCCTCCGGTCGACGGGGTTTCTTATCCAGACACACCTATCCCTCGGTGTATAACTATTACTTACCAACTGGCCAATTTAAATGTCCAAATTGTATTTTCAATTTTACAATCCGGTTGAACAATAGGTAAAGGTAAACAGCAACACCTATAGGTTGCACTTTGTAAATACAGCTCTTTCTCAAACCACGCCTCTTTTGGGGAGATATTTAATATTCATTGGTTTGTTAATTTGTTAACGTACTGGTTCCCATTGATGATCTCTGTGTTTCATCTCATAGAGACATCACTTGGGAATGTAACCAGTATAGAAAAACATGGTAGCGGCTAAATTTTAATTCTTAGGAGGTCCAAAAATGGAGGTAAGGGTAGTATAGAATTTTAGTATAAGTTTAAACTCTTAGAAGTTCAGGGCATATAAATGTTGTAAATATGCCGCGCAGCCCTATATTTTGACCTTTGAATAAAATAGTAGTGCATATAAACTTTCCGTTCTGGGATATTATTTTTCACGAAACTTCATAGTAAAAGTGTCACAGTTTTAGCCGCAAAGAGAGTTCCTATGGGAAATAGCATTGTCTGTATTTACAGAATTGCAACCTATATAGGGTTAAAAAATAGAACATACAGAATTTCACAAAATTTGGTTTATCTCAGAGATTATAAAGAATTTAACTCAAATATGAAGTTTTATAAATATTTCATGAAGATTGAGAAAATCCTGGGCCTTAACTATGATGACTCAGCATAAATTCACAGTTTACAGTATGCATGGTTTACTTAAAGCCCTGAATTCAAAATAAATTCATAATATATGCCTATTTGTAATTTAAATTGTTTAGAAGTGCTTATATTTACTCTTCGCAGTAATTGCAACTCATTGATCCTTCCTAAATATTTCTGGTGGGGTGTTTTTGTCCTGTCGATAACCCAAAAGTAAGCCGTAACGCCTAAATGTGCTTTTTTGTGACTGCGGCATAAAAAAGTACAAGCTAGAATTACAAAAAGACCTCAGTAAAACTTACAATAGTGTGTTCTATCCTAAATATGTAGTAAATATTCCACATTGCTAGAAACAGGGAAAAAAATAGGAAATGTGAGGCCCCAGGGGCAAAAAACAGAGAAAAATGCCTTCCCCTGAGTCATAAAACAGATAATTTAACTTGTAAATGCTATGATTTTTTTATTTTAAAGATCTTTTATAAAGTAAACAATAACTGTGCTAGGAAGTTATGCAAAAATCAGATGTAAGCAGTCATTTCAATCAAACTTTTAGTGAATTTATGCACCAGACTGATATCTTCATAAATACAACTTTTGCAAATATGGCTTTGTTTAAACACTTCTAGGACATATATTAACTAACTTATGTTAGATATATGGTTAGGGATGATACTGTTGTGACAAGAATTCTAAACTGACCATTTGAGGCAGAAATTGTGAACTTTCATTGTTGGAATGCTTAACTACTAAACAATACATTTATAGTATTCTAAAATGCTTTCAATTTGTTATCAGAATAGTTTCAAACAGGTTTTAGACAGTTCATGTCAGAAAACATGCACATAGGGTAAGCTGGCAATAATTAGAATCTTGTTTTCAAAATCTTTAAAAAATTGAAACAGGGGTAGGGGTATAAAATGTACTGTAAAAGGAGACTTAGAGTATATGCAGTGATTTCTTTAAGGCTATAATTCTGATAAACAAGTATTGTTGTGAGAAAAAGTGTTTTTAGAGAGTTTTCTATTTGAATAAATGTTTGTATAGTCAAGTCACAGTAATAGTTAAATCACTACTTTATGTTACGTTTTACGTCCTCATACCACCTGAACGCCCGAAGTTCATTATTCGAATTTTCAAAAATATTTGGTTGAACAGTTTATTGATTGAAATTTCTTCTTTTAGGATATTAGATGAATCGTTGAGATGGCTCATAGCAAATAAAAAGATGAAACAGGCAAAGGTTTTAGTCAAAAAGGTAGCACGATTTAACAAAGTGAAATTGGAAAAGGTTTTACCTTTATTGGAAGGTGACGCAGAAACAAGACTACTTCAGGCGCCTGAGTTAGTAGAGGATATAACAAATGAAAAGAAGCCAAAAGAGAGTTTACTGACTATATTAAGAACCAAAACTTTACTGAAAACATCAGCAATTATGTCATTAACCTGGTAAATAAATTACTGAAACATTTGCAATTTGTTCCTATACGTGGTAAACATTCCACTGAAAAAATGAGCAATTATGATATTTATGTGGTTATTCTGTTTACTGAAAACATTAGCAATTATGTCATTAACCTGGTAAATATTTTACTGAAAACATTAGCAATTATGTCATTAACCTGGTAAATATTTTACTGAAAACATCAGCAATTATGTCATTAACCTGGTAAATATTTTACTGAAAACAATAGCAATTATGTCATTAACCTGGTAAATATTTTACTGAAAACATTAGCAATTATGTCATTAACCTGGTAAATATTTTACTGAAAACATCAGCAATTATGTCATTAACCTGGTAAATATTTTACTGAAAACAATAGCAATTATGTCATTAACCTGGTAAATATTTTACTGAAAACGTCAGGGGCTTTGTCATTTACCTGGTAAATTCTTTACTGAAAACAACTGCAGTTATGTCATTTACTTGGTAAACGCTTTTTTGAAAATATCACCAGTTATGTCATTTACGTGGTAACTACTTAATTGAAAACATAAACATTTTTGTTATTTACGTGGAAAATACCATATTTAATCAAAAATCTTTTGGTAATCAATCTTCAGAAAGACTCAGAGGCCAACTTTAAGAAAATAAAACATGTGTAAATACATAGGAGACTATATAACCAAAAGCAACACATGAAAAAATAAAGTTGTAATGGTGTTGTCTATTTTTGTCTGCGACATATGGATTTTAAATGCACGCTTGATACATTGTTCCCTTTTTTAAATGTGAAGGAAACCTTAATTAGCAAAGCCCATACAAAGAACATATTTTACAAGAATAAAAAATTGTAACTTTTTGTTTCCCTAAGCATGTTTTAAATTTTGTCAGTAATCGTGATCTTCCCAACCACCTAAAGGTAGAGCTGTGGGGGAGGCAAAACTACATTATGATTATAGTTATGTGTACTTATGTATTTCAGGTTTACAAATTCTGTTGTCTACTATGGCTTGACTTTACAGTCAGTGCAGCTATCAGGAGATCGATACCTTAATTTCTTTATCAGTGTTGGTGTAGAACTTCCTGCCATGATTACTTTTATATTCCTTGTTAAAAGGTATACCATAACAAAGCAACTATAAAAGAAGTCAAATCGAATACTCCTCTATATATGTCAAACCATTTTCAATTTTAAAAAGTCTCTTGCCGATGCGATGTTCACTAGCTACATGTTTTCGCAGTTTTAGATCCTTGGATACCAGTATAGTCGTCTGATCTGTAATTGGATACCAGTATAGTCGTCTGATCTGTAATTGGATACCAGTATAGTCGTCTGATCTGTAATTGGATACCAGTATAGTCGTCTGATCTGTAATTTTACCGGTTGTGTCCTATACACCTTATCACTATTTGTCCGCCATTACCGGACATCACAAAAGTTCCCGTAAAATTTTGACGTCATAATAGAAAATATCTGACGCCACAATGGAAAAGTGATTGTTGTATGACGTCAAAAGTTCAAGCGGGACAGATTCTCGGGTCAAGCGGGAATAGCGATAAGGTGTATTCCTGATAGTGACATTTTGAATGAGTGTAAATTCCCATGGCGAATGATGCATGCATAGCCGGAGACGCTTACCCTGTCGACGCACACAGCCTCGTTCCAGTTCATTCGATTCCCTCGTTTTTGTTTGTTACCCTGATTTGTCTCTTTCTAATCGATTTCCTAGATTTGAAAATCGGTAAACTCCTGTCGCCTTAATTTAAATGTTTCCAAATGAAAACAATATTAGTAGCTTTACTGTACTAGACTGAACAATAACATACTATAAAAAAGAAGATGTGGTAAGATTGCATGCCAATGAGATAACTCTGCACAAGAGACCAAATGACACAGAAGTTAACAACTATAGGTCACCGTACTTATCATGCAGGGTTTTAGAGCATGTCTGGGTCTTTAAATGTTTGAACTTTTGGTTCTCATCGAATTTGACATTGTGTGCCATAATCTCAAGTAGGAAACACGTCTAGAAATACACAGGGAATGTCATTAAAATTGTTACAATGAGGAACATTAAAATGACGTAGACAAAAGAGAAAAAAGAAAAAAAGAATTATTTTCAGAATCTTTTGATTAACATTGTGTCGCTATGGAAACAATGCATTTTTTTTTCTTCTTTAGGTTAGGGAGGAGGAAAATTTCAGTACTTGCTCATAGCATAGCTGGTATTTCTCTCATAATATCAGTCATTTTGACAACCTTAAAAGGTGAGTGTTATGCTTCGATTAAATCAATCTTGATAGGTCTTTCGACATTTTTATTTACCATTTAAATATGAGGCCAGCAATAATTTAAGTAAAAATTAGGAATTACCAATCCTTACTTGAGGCACCATATACATCTTAAATTAATTTATTATACATGGTGCTCGAAATTTACAATTTAGGTGATCATAAATGGAAACTCGTTTAAACTCTGCATCTTTCTTGTATTAACAACATACTTTTGTTTAGACTCCAAATGACAAAGTATCTACATGTATGTGATCTAATATTTACAGCGAGTAGCAGCAGTTTGGACACAATGTCTATTGTATTTAGTTTTATTGGAAAATATGGAATAACACTTTCATTCAGTAACATATTTCTATGGGCTCCAGAACTTTTCCCTACAAACTTAAGGTAAGTTGATCTCGGATAAAGTTTGAAGTTGCGACGGACTGGATTTAAAATGTACATAAGTATCTTAAAATTATCAGCTGAAAGATCCAACAAAATGAGTTTGTCAAGTTCCAAAAAAGCGTTTTGTGCGCACGGAAACTATGTGGGCTTTTTCTAACTGTTCGATACTAAAACATTTCCTGAAAGATCAACAGATAATAAATTGATTTGCATATATTTAGTTTTGAGATTCAGGTATCTTAAAACTTCCAGCTTGTACGTACATCATGACAGGAATGCATGTCTTTGAATTTATCGTCATACAAAATGTTTGGATATTATGATTAAAATGTTGAAAGAGTATCACACCTTCAGTTCAAATATTTTATCATACATTTTAAAAATGTGATTTAAAAAATAATCAGCAATATCAAGACTGATAGTGTTCAAGTTACTACAAGTAACAATTAATTAGTGTTATTGATTTTGAAATGCCAAAGGATTATTAAAATATAATAGTAGATGTAAGTGGCGAAATTCTTTCACATATTCTTAATTAAGATATTATTGCACATTCAATGTGTGCAATAAATATACAATTATAGATTTGTTTTGTTTCATTCCTTCGCCAGAACAATATAAACAACAAACAATTGAAATTTGGCTTATTATTTGTCATGGCATTTATTCAACAATATGCACCAATATCAACCAACAAACAACCAACATCAACAAACTGGCCAACAAGTTAAAACTTGGTGACAATTGGTCACTGAAGGTAAAACCAACAGTAAATGCATAATAATTTCTAGCTGCTGGGCAGATCCATAACAGCTCAATGAACAATATTTGAATAAATCACTGCCAGTTGAATCATGTTGATGATGACATGCCACGCACTTTCCATATAGAACGTAATGCCATGACGATAGACATATTTTTTTTAAATTATTACTGCAAATTTCTTGAATGTTCAGGTTTCATTGAATCTGCCGATGAATGTTGAAACGTCCGACATTTTTGATGATACATGACTATCTAATTGAAATATTCAATATATGTAGATCTGTTTACCATGTAATCTGAAACTGAAAAATAAACTTAAAACAGCAGCAATTTTGTTTATTAAAGGGAGGGAGGGTGGTTTGTGCAATTCTGGTAAGAAATAGTTATTGAATGAAAATTGAGCGGGAACACGTGTTTACATATGACAAAAGTCCACGAGGCGCTTCAAAGCATATTCTTTCGTAAGTTTAAATATATGGTTGTAAAGATTTAAATGGCAAACCGTAAACAATGGACTGACTCAATAAACAAATGCATGTATTTTGAATGCAATAAATCAAGTTAATTATTAGATCATTAAATTTTATTATTATTATACTATAATATTTAGCCTTTACTTTACGTAGATTTGTAAATAGTGTACATATTATGTTAATTTTAATTTATAACTGTACTATTTATTATAGTAACTTCTGTATACCATTGTATTGACGAAGGTTTGTCAGTCATATATAACACAGCTGTGTTATTTTTAGGAATACAGGTATTGGTATTGGAGCCCTTTTTGCTCGTGTCGGTGGAATGTTTGCTCCGTATTCATCACTTCTGGTAAGATACATTAAGTTATTAGGGAGCTACCATTTGATTTTTATGGGGGGGCTAGGATGAAATTGAAAAAAATAGGCAGGACAGGAGTTTTGAGTAAAAAAAAAAGACAGGATGACAATTTATGTAAAAAAAAAAGTCTGGATGAACTAAAAAAAAAAGGCAGGACAGAATAGAGTGAAAAATAAAAAGGCAGGACCGAATAGAGGGGAAAATAAAAAGGCAGGACAAAATTTTTCATCCTAGCCCCCCCATAAAAAATCAAATGGTAGCTCCCTTATATAATTACAGATCACATATTGTAATGATTGTGTGATTGGCTGAATACTTTTTGGTAATTTGATTTCTGATGAAATTACTTTTGATTAGGACAATGAACCACCTAAGCGATCTCAAGCTAGCTCGTGGTATAGTGGTTGCCTCCAGCTCAGGAGGCAAGGAGGCAATGGTGTCCATTCCATCAAGGTGAAACAAAATACTAAAATAATTGTTCACTGCTCAACCTCAAAGCATGCCATTCTATCCTGTGAGGTAGCATCTTCCTGACTTTGGACTAGACCAATGCAAGCAAGCATTTTACAAATGCCACTTAACGTATCAGTCTTATATAAAGAAGCAGAACTCTTACACCGATGAGTCTTTAGTAGACGAAACGTGCTGATGGAGGTTTCCTTCTGTGTTAACATGAATTATCATTGCTATTGTCATACTCACAAAACTTTGAATTATTTGGAATACTTGGAGGTTTCCTTCTGTGTTAACATGAATTATCATTGCTATTGTCATACTCACATAACTTTGAATTATTTGGAATACTAAGTACTTGATTTTCTATCGCAGGAAAAAAAATTTCCTTAGCTGTTTTTAGCATATCCTTTGGCCCTCAATGCTCTTCAACTTAATTCATACTAATTTTGGTCTTTTAACGTTTTTGATTCCAGCGTCACTGATGACAAAACGCGCGTCTGGCGTAAACAAAATAATAAGCCTGGTGTCTTTAAGGAGTTTTTCTTACAAATAAAGGTACTTTGATATGACATTGAAGTACTACAGACAATGTGATTACCTAAAATTACCATACTGAATATTGATATGGGGAGCAAGGGTTAAATTCAGTACCTTGGATGTATCCTTTGCGGATCCAAGATTTAAAAGATGACATATTTTGCTGTAGGTTAAGAAAACGTAAAATCATGATATAAAAAAAAACTCATCACAGATACCAGGATTAAAATTTTGTACACCAGACGCTCGTTTCGTCTACAAAAAGACTCATCAGTAATAAGTTTATATATATTAACCATATTTTCCATTCATAAGCTCTATAAATCCAACTATATTGTCATAACCCAATTTTTCAGGCAAGACATATAGAATGGGGACCAGGAGTTATATTCGGCGCCTGTTGTGGTGTTGTTACGGTGTTGCAGTTACTGTTACCTGAAACAAGTGGGAGAGACCTACCTCAGACAGTTGAGGAACTCATTGAATGGGACAAAAAGAAGGAAACAACTAAATGATTAAAGATGTATTAGTTCTTATTGTTTTCTCATTTGCAATATACTGTATAAAATATTCCATAATTTTACTTGATTCTTAATAAAGACGGTTCTGAAATCTCTTTATTTTTTATGATAAATTTTTCAACATTAACTGGTTATTCAAGATTAAAATTTAGTATTAAAATAGACCATGTGTCTACTATAAATGACACAATAGTTATTTGAAATCAAGATATAGCCTTATGCATAACTTTGCTCTGTTCCTATTCCCATTTGCTTGAAAAAATATTTTCTCAATATGTCACATTGGATTTAGCATATTACCAAAGATTACAAATTACTGCTGTTGACCACAAGATACTAGGATTGGTGACATAGAAAGCAGGAGAAACACATCCTTCTTGACCATTTATTTAACAATTTTGTATACTAATCTTGAGGGAATTGGTCTCTTCATAACTACTATGTGTAAGAGTGTTATTGTTGCCTTATAGTTAAGTGGGGTCTGAAGCTTTTATGTACAGATGTTTTATGATTTAATCTCTTGACTTTGAATCCATTTTCGTCAGGACTGTAATTGGAAGTTGGTCTGACATGGTATATTGTAATTCTCATGAGAGGTATAAATTAAGGGAACAGTAATTTACCAGTATTCAAATCTCATAAATTGATTAAAAAGATACAAATTAAGGTAACAAACAAAGAATCGAGGAAACTGTACACACTCCAAATGAAGCAAGACCAGGTGTGTCTACAGGCTAAGCATCTCTTGCTATGCATGCATAAACTGCCAACAATAACATAATATCAACAAATAAATATTGTATAATTTTATTAATATCAAACAGTATATATTTACTGATAACAGTAAAATTTTGGCATCACTTGATAAATAAATAATTTGCATTTAATTGCTATTTGGTGGTTGCATATATTAAACAAAGAATAATAAACATTAACATTAAATAATCTTGCAACTGTATAATTTAATCAACATGTTTAATTCCAAGAATTGTACATTTAAATGTATACAATATTGTCTATAATAACTATCCGGTAACTTTCTCCATAACCACTGCTGGCATATGTTCCTTAGGTATCCAGTGATCAGTGCTTTGACACTGGCCATGACTTATAACATATCTTTCAATAATTTTTTTCAGTTGATTAACCCAGAGTTAAAAAATATGCTGAAACTCTCTTAGGTAATGTTTGAGTTTGGTGGATTTTTCCTTAGGCTCCTCTCCTATTAATTAATGTTTCACCCTAAATATCTTTCGCTTCCACACTTCGAGTTCCTGATGAAGGACAATTTAGAAAAAGCTTCAAATTTGGCATGTTTAGCTTGATTTTGAAAAATTCTTAACAATTTATTATAAATCAAGGATATTAGGCAATCATGTTTTCAATTTGTATATATATCTGTAACCCCTGTTATTTTTCTGGGCTATTCATTAAAATATTTTGCCTAGCAACCCCCATATTTGTCAATAGTTATTTAAAACTTACATCTACCGGTAATAAAATATTTCCTAAAAACAGTTGAACATTCATCTCTTCCCAAAATTTTGATATAAAATATCAAGAGACATCTTTTCCCCTGCAAATATTTTAAGTTTTCAGATGTTTGTATCTCAATATAATTTTGATGTACATGTTTTATGCATTATATCTATGAAAATGCCATTATATTGAATTTTAGCAGCAAGAATTCTTATCACAAGACTCAACAACCTCTTCACTTTAGTTTCTTTGTATTTCATGACTTATCATAACAAGAAGAAAAATTAAAACTTTGACAAATTACAAATAAAATCAAGTACATATTTATAGAATGTATAACAGATGATATGTAATATAATTAAAGCCACTGCCATTCAAATCTTTTCAAAAGTTAATACAACCAAACTTTACATTTATACTTAAAAATAATAATAACATTAATAATATGTATAAACAAAAATGATCTCGCAATTCAAACATGATTACCATTTAGCAGATGCATTTTAATATTTCTCATGCCTTTTCTGCAGTATTTAAACCCTACATATGATTCACTCAGTACCTGCACTGTTCATGTTTAATAAGAACAGCCTGTGAATGCCTGATCTCCATACTAGAAAGTGTTCCCTTGAAACAGAAATACACATATCTCATACTACTTTCTGTTAACCTTGACATTATAATGACCTCTATTGTTGCATTGGAAGTGAATTTCAACCACTGCACAGTTATTTTTTGCATCCAAACTAAACCAGATAGATCTGTATTGTTTCTGCTGCTGCATTAATAGACAAGACTTACACCTAACAGATTTATTTCTATGGTTTCCACAAACTGATGACCTTGTCTTGACCTCCAGTAACTATGGTATTATTACCAATGTCTATACAAGTTTAACTTATAGCATCTACAATAAACAGTGAAGTATGCATTATCAGAGTGTTTATTTAAATTAAAATTATATTTATTATAATTGGAGTTTATTAAGAACTTGTCATCTCACTCTATTGGGCAGTTAATTATCTTTGCACACGGTCTATTACGTCACAGTGCTCATTCAATTCTTATCTAACCTTGCTACGTCATTACTTTACACGATTTTTGTGTATGATATGTGTCTGCAAGTAAAACATGAACTTCTATTGTTTTAATCAGCACTAAAGGGGGAGTTAATCCATTAGAGAACTTTGTCGGTAAACCATTACCAAAATTAAAATCAGTTTGCTAATGCTTATACAACTGAACACCAATTAACATTGGCCTACCACTAATAGTTCCCCTTGAACTGACCTAATCACAAACTAATACATGTTAACTTAGCACAATTTTCAAAGTCTATAGACCATGACTAAGGGGGTGGAGCCAAATAATCTCCATGGAAATGAGATATGCCAATGCTTATACAACTGCATACCAAATATCATTGACCTACCACTAGTGGTTCCCCATAAATTGACCTAATCACAAACTAATACATGTAAACTATGAAAAGTTTCAAAGCCAATAGACCTTCACTGAGGGGGCGGGGCCAAATAATCTCCATGGTACTGAGATGTGCCAATGCTTATACAACTACATACCAAATATCATTGACCTACCACTAGTGGTTCACCATGAACTAGATCTAACCACAAACTAATACATTGTTGACGCCGCCGCCGACGCCGCCGACGCCGGAAACAGCATACATATGTCTCGCTTTTTGACTCCGTCAAGGCGAGACAAAAACTCATCACAGATACCAGGATTAAAATTTTGTACACCAGACGCTCGTTTCGTCTACAAAAAGACTCATCAGTAATAAGTTTATATATATTAACCATATTTTCCATTCATAAGCTCTATAAATCCAACTATATTGTCATAACCCAATTTTTCAGGCAAGACATATAGAATGGGGACCAGGAGTTATATTCGGCGCCTGTTGTGGTGTTGTTACGCTGTTGCAGCTACTGTTACCTGAAACAAGTGGGAAAGACCTACCTCAGACAGTTGAGGAACTCATTGAATGGAACAGAAAGAAGGAAACAACTAAATGATTAAAGATGTATTAGTTCTTATTGTTTTCTCATTTGCAATAAACTGTATAAAATATCCCATAATTTTACTTGATTCTTAATAAAGACGGTTCTGAAATCTCTTTATTTTTTATGATAAATTTTTCAACATTAACTGGTTATTCAAGATTAAAATTTAGTATTAAAATAGACCATGTGTCTACTATAAATGACACAATAGTTATTTGAAATCAAGATATAGCCTTATGCATAACTTAGCTCTGTTCCTATTCCCATTTGCTTGAAAAAATATTTTCTCAATATGTCACATTGGATTTAGCATATTACCAAGGATAACAAATTACTGCTTTTGACCACAAGATACTAGGATTGGTGACATAGAAAGCAGGATAAACACATCCTTCTGGACCATTTATTTAACAATTTTGTATACTTATCTTGAGGGAATTGGTGTCTTCATAACTACTATATGTAAGATTGTTATTGTTGCCTTATAGTTAAGTGGGGTCTGAAGCTTTTATGTATAGATGTTTTATGATTTAATCTCTGACTTTGAATCCATTTTCGTCAGGACTGTAATTGGAAGTTGGTCTGACATGGTATATTGTAATTCTCATGAGAGGTATAAATTAAGGGAACAGTAATTTACCAGTGTTCAAATCTCATAAATTGATTAAAAAGATACAAATTAAGGTAACAAACAAAGAACAGAGGAAACTGTACACACTCCAAATGAAGCAAGACCAGGTGTGTCTACAGGCTAAACATCTCTTGCTATGCATGCATAAACTGCCATCAATAACATAATATCAACAAATAAATATTGTATAATTTTATTAATATCAAACAGTATATATTTACTGATAACAGTAAAATTTTGGCATCACTTGATAAATAAATAATTTGCATTTAATTGCACATTGGTGGTTGCATATATTAAACAAACAATAATAAACATTAACATTAAATAATCTTGCAACTGTATAATTTAATCAACATGTTTAATTCCAAGAATTTTACATTTAAATGTATAAAATATTGTCTATAATAACTATCTGGTAACTTTCTCCATAACCACTGCTGGCATATGTTCCTTAGGTATCCAGTGATCAGTGCTTTGACACTGGCCATGACTTATAACATATCTTTCAATATTTTTTTTCAGTTGATTAACCCAGAGTTAAAAAATATGCTGAAACTCTCTTAGGTAATGTTTGAGTTTGGTGGATTTTTCCTTAGGCTCCTCTCCTATTAAATAATGCGTCACCCTAAATATCTTTCGCTTCCACACTTTGAGTTCCTGATGAAGGACAATTTAGGAAAAAGCTTCAAATTTGGCATGTTTAGCTTGATTTTGAACAATTCTTAACAATTTATTATAAATCAAGGATATTAGGCAATCATGTTTTCAATTTGGCCTTTTTACTTTATATGTTTAACCCCTGTTATTTTTCTGGGCTATTCATTAAAATATTTTGCCTAGCAACCCCCATATTTGTCAATAGTTATTTAAAACTTACATCTACCGGTAATAAAATATTTCCTAAAAACAGTTGAACATTCATCTCTTCCCAAAAATTTGATATAAAATATCAAGAGACATCTTTTCCCCTGCAAATATTTTAAGTTTTCAGATGCTTGTATCTCAATATAATTTTGATGTACATGTATTATGCATTATATCTATGAAAATGCCATTATATTGAATTTTAGCAGCAAGAATTCTTATCACAAGACTCAACAACTTCTTCACTTCAGTTTCTTTGTATTTCATGACTTATCATAACAAGAAGAAAAATTAAAACTTTGACAAATTACAAATAAAATCAAGTTCATATTTATAGAATGTATAACAGATGATATGTAATATAATTAAAGCCACTGCCATTCAAATCTTTTCAAAAGTTAATACAACCAAACTTTACATTTATACTTAAAAATAATAATAACATTAACAATATGTATTAACAAAAATGATCTCGCAATTCAAACATGATTACCATTTAGCAGATGCATTTTAATATTTCTCATGCCTTTTCTGCAGTATTTAAACCCTACCTGTGATTCACTCAGTACCTGCACTGTTCATGTTTAACAAGAACAGCCTGTGAATGCCTAATCTCCATACTAGAAAGTGTTCCCTTGAAACAAAAATACACATATCTCATACTACTTTCTGTTAACCTTGACATTATAATGACCTCTATTGTTGCATTGGAAGTGAATTTCAACCACTACACAGTTATTTTTAGCATCCAAACTAAACCAGATAGATCTGTATTGTTTCTGCTGCTGCATAATAGGCAAGACTTACACCTAACAGATTTATTTCTATGGTTTCCACAAACTGATGACTTTGTCTTGACCTCCAGTAACTATGGTATTATTGCCAATGTCTATACAAGTTATAGCATCTACAATAAACAGTGAAGTATGCATTATCAGAGTGTTTATTCAAATTAAAATTATATTTATTATAATTGGAGTTTATTAAGAACTTGTCATCTCACTCTATTGGGCAGTTAATTATCTTTGCACACGGTCTATTACGTCACAGTGCACATTCAATTCTTATCTAACTTTGCTACGTCATTACTTCACACGATTTTTGTGTATGATATGTGTCTGCAAGTAAAACATGAACTTCTATTGTTTTGGTCAGCTCTAAAGGGGGCGTTAATCCATTAGAGAACTTTGTCGGTAAACCATTACCAAAATTAAAATCAGTATTAGTAGGTTTGAAAAAGAAGCATGCCTTTATGCCTAAGAGAATTCGTTTACCTATAACTTTTGATATTTTACACAGAATGTGTTTTTTACTACGCAATTGTATTTTTGATAGTTTTACAGATGTTTTAATAGAAGCTGCATGTGTAACAGCTTTTTTCGGGTTTTTAAGATGTTGTGAATTTTCTGTTCATGATACAAAAAAATTTGATCCTGAATCAAATTTGTGTCTTAGTGATGTTCAAATATCAAATGACTGTATTTTTGTGCACCTAAAGAAATCTAAGACTGATCCTTTTAGGTATGGTATTACTATTCCTTTGTTTAATCAAAGAGCTGAAAGCTCTGAGGAAAAATGATGCCACTGTCTCTAATGTTGTGATATTTTTTATGCAAGTCTTGATTTTCACATACCTTAATAAGTTTAACATTGCAACATGTCTCGTAAGCATATAATTGATATTCGTATATGTGTCTGTTTTTTCAGTACAAATGAATAGGTCAAGACTACCTGAATGATCTACAGTATCCAATTATTACTGGCTGTTTTTTTTGTATAAATAAATAGGTCAAGACTACCGGAATGATCTACAATATCCAATGACTACTGGCTGTTCTTTTGTACTAATAAAAAGGTCAAGACTATTTGAATGATCTCCAATATCCAATGACTACTGGCTATTCTTTTGTACATATAAATAAAGACTACCTGAATGATCTAAAGTATTCTAAGTAATGTGATTTTTTTCTTGCAATTACATTTTTCTAAATCAAGAATATAGACTACTAGTATCCTTTTCAAACCAAATGATTATGAAGAGCCTGTTGTTAGCAAGCTCTTATACCCCACATACTCATTAAATAAGTTACTAGTGACCTAGTTATTTCTGTTACTTGAAGCAAATTATATTTCTGTATATTTAGACAATTGTATAATATTGTTTTACTAGTTTTATTTCACCTTGAAGATTAGACAAATAGGGATACTCCTTCGATTTTTTATTTCATGTCAGTCAGGTCGCTTTATATCAAACTTGAAACCACTTCTCTGCCATATTGTTATTTTATAACAACTCTGCCCTTGACCATGTTGACCCATGTAATTGATATTCATTCTTTAACCATATATCATAGTCAGTTAGTTTTTGATTTTGCACTCCCACACCACCTTTCATGTCTTTCAGGTCAAATGTCTGTCTCCATTTAAGTTAATGACATTGAACAATCATGGTATTAAACACAATTTCAATAGTGATAATGCTGTTCTCGTGGGTCACCATATATTCAACTTGGGTAGCATTCCAGTTATTGAAATTTGTGTCAGATTAGAACAATGATCTAGATCTTTAGGAATGGATCTTATAATTTAATATGGAGCCATAGTATGGGACCCCTACACTGTAACAAAAAAAAAACAAGCTTGAAAGGATACAATGTCAAGCGGCAAAATCTATCACCAGAGATTACAAGTCAAAAGAGGATGGACGGGATACGTCTCTAAAATGCTTGCTGAACTGGAACTACAGCAAGATCTCCAGACAAGACGAACAAAGCGTTGAAGCCAGAATGTTGTAAAAAGTAGTTGAGGGGTTGATTCCCGCTATTGAACCATACTGTCATTCTATAATATCATTGCGTAAGTATTTCTGTATTGGCCTTGTTATTGGTCCATGTCTTGGGTGTATTGGTCTGAGGCGAAGTGGAAGGCCAATACTGCTGGCGGAGGACCAATAATAAGGCCAATACAGAAATACACGTAATAGTATCTTTCTAATTAACTACAGTGTTACAATATTTTTTTTATTTCATTTCACAAGAGATAAACATTTTTACCTTGAAGTGGAACTATCCAAATCTCAGTTTCTTTTTATAAGATGCAATATCTAATGATTCGGTGCCTTTTGAAATATCTTCAGCCTTTTCTCATCTGATGAATTTTCCTACCCTTTCCAGTCACTATAAAGTGTTACAACTTTAATTTAGACACAACACATAAATAGTAATTGGAAAGGTACTGCCATTGCATGTGTAATGCAAATATATTTAAAAAAAAAAATAATGTAAGAGTTGAAATTGATACAACTATCCATAACGGCATAAGCCAATTGACCAAAAAGCGAAGATTTGCACAATTACAGAATGCATATGCCTGGTTCGGGTTTAAAAATAAACGACCGTTTAAATACAAAACATGAGAAGCGACAGTAAACAGTAAAAATCGATTTGTACCATCACCATGATGAAATTATGAGGTCGTCAAGAAATGAACTTTGTGATAATTTACTCGTTCCCCAAACCTGAAATAATCCCATCGGCTTCTTTCAAAATGCTTTTTAAATGAATGGGACCGTCTTTAACCTAAAATATATGCCATACTGAACGTTTCAGCTTGTTTATGGTGAGTAAACCTGCGTCTTACAAACAACTGTTTACTTTCAGTTTGAGTTTATCGTGACTTACGATCTAAAAACTAGAGACGTTCCGAAATCCTGTTTTGTAAACAAAGATTCATACGCACGGCGTGGGTATAACCGTATTACTAATTTCCGTTTTTAAAATCTTCGTAAATCTGGATAAAGACCAGTTTCTATCCAATGGATATCAAAATGATTCCGATTTTCACTTTTTTTAATGATTGTAAAGTTGAAATGGCATGAAAGGCTGACATTATTTAGGAGAACTATTTTGTCTAGCTATTGCTGATCATTGGAGGGTAAAAAGTCCAACACCATAACAAAACGGATCTATTTATCATGTATACATACCGATTGTTTACGATTGTAAGACATGTGCATAAAAGTGAAAGCTCGAATAAATATGAAAAATATAACAAAGGGATAGCTCCAAAAACCATTTAATAACAAAAAACATATGGACAGGTCAAGATATCTTTTTGGTAAATAAAATAAAGTATGTAAACTGGTTCCCGTCCGACTACAACACTTTGTTCGAGTGTAGCGTAATACAAGCAGATTCCAGTTAGTATGTAAAATAGTAACTATGAAACCGAGTGCGGTAGGCGGAGGCAATAATCGACTTCCGTAAGTTCTGGTCAATGGTATCGGAAACATGCCGCTGATAGCGTCATTTTCCAAAAACTCTTCAGATATATGTCCTGTAGTTGTACTTCAAAAATACTATAGACTCAGAATGAGTATTTTTAGCAATTCTGAGTCCTTTTTTATTACTAATAAAGGTGATCCATTGTCAAGAATTTTTTTCATTTCTCATGTAAAATGTACATTAGACAAATTAGGATTATCTAGTGAAAAGTATAACGGCCATTCATTCAGAAGTGGTGCTGCAACTACTGCACACAAAGCATGACTGGAAGATCATCTTATTCAAACTTTAGGATGATGGTCCTCAGATTGTTATACCAAATATATTCATACCTCTCCAGATATACTTAGACAAGCTCAAATTCAAATGACCTCTACTTTGAACAATTAAAATTTGTACTGACAGCAAGGAGTGGATTGATTTTTATTTTTCTCATTATTCAACTTGGGGCTACAGCTGCAAGCATCTGTATTTGGCTATTTCGATACAAATTTTTTAGTCAATCTATAAAAAATTTATCTCAATTCCAAGTTTCAAGATTTAGCTAGAGTTATCTCCCTTTGCATATGGAGATAGAACATTATACATTATTGGTTTTTACTATGCAGTTGTATAAGTCCCCAGTTGCCATATTGTAAATAAATTTACATGTTTTTATATTCTTGAATAAATAATAGTTTAGTACTTAGTCTTTGTATATATTAGTATACTTCTCATCACACTTAGTTTATTACAAACTGCAGACATGTGTCTTTTAGAAATTGAGGTTTGGGTTTATGCATATGAGACAGCAACTCAAGGCAAGAATTATCATTTCTGTGTTTAAAGAGTGGTATGGGTAAAATGATAGAGACATTAATTTGGTATTAGATATAACCACGCCATATAATTGGTCTAGAACAAGTGAAGTCATAAAATGATTTAAACAAAAACGGAGAAGTTTTGATATGGCCACAATTTTGGTTCCTTGAATTCTACATTCAATAATTCTTATAAATTTTCTTTTCACAAATCACATCAGTAAAACACAGTATCTATAATTCTGAATTTTGTCATAAATATTTGCATCTCATTTTCACATTTCATGCATTTAAAGAAACAAGAGTGCTTAACTTAACATTGACCAATGAGCCATGTAAATCAGGTCAAGGTCATATGATATCTGGCAGACAGACATAAACACCTCATAAACATTCCATACATCAAATATAGTTCACTTATCAAAAACAGTATAAGAATAATAAAATGCTTCGCTGGGGCGCAGCTTGATACGACCGCAGAGGTCGAACCCTGAACAATTGGGGCAAGTATGGACACAACATTCAAGCTTGATACAGCACTGAATTTGGATTGTAATTAAATATTTGACACAGCATAGGTTTCTCACACAGAATGAAAGTGGTCTAAAAACTTAAACATTTTTAATTTACCTATTCAAACCATATCATTATTATTTGCTTTTATATATAAATCAGAAATAACCAATTTAAAATAGAAAATTTTAAAGAAAAAAAAGAAAACCCCCCCCCCCCCCCCCCAATTTTTTGAACCCCCTTATGATTCATCACCCCCAAACTCAATCCCAGCTTTCCCTTTGTGGTATGGTACCTTGCAGTACAATTTCAGAGAGATCCATACACTTGAACACAAGTTATTGTCTGGAAACTAGAAAAATGCTTGTTTTTTGGCCCCAAATTCCTAAACGTTTAGGGCAATTATCCCCAAACTCAAACCCAGCTTTCCCTTTGTGATATGGAACATTGCAGTACAATTTCATAAAGATCCATACACTTACACACAATTTTATTGTCCAGAAACTGGAAAAATGCTTGTTCTTTGGCCCTTTTATGGCCCCTAATTACTAAAATTTTGAGGGAATTACCCCCAAAATCAATCCCAGCACTCCCTTTGTGGTATGGTACCTTGCAGTACAATTTCAGAGAGATCCATAAATTTGAACACAAGTTATTGTCTGGAAACTAGAAAAATGCTTATTTATGGCCCCTTTTTGGCCCCTTATTCCTAAACTTTTTGGGCAATTACCCCCAAACTCAATTCCAGCTTTCCCTTTGTGATATGGAACCTTGTAGTATAATTTCAGAAAGATCCATACACTTACACACAAGTTATTGTCATGAAACTAGAAAAATGCTTGTTTTTTGCCCCTTTTTGGCCCCTAATTCCTAAAATTTGGAGGCAATTACCCCCATATTCAATCCCAGCATTCCCTTTGTGATATGGAACCTTGTGATATAATGTCAGAGAGATCCATACACTTACACACAAGTTATTGTCATGAAACTAGAAAAATGCTTGTTTTTTGCCCCTTTTGGCCCCTAATTCCTAAAATTTGGAGGCAATAACCCCCAAAATCAATCCCAGCATTCCCTTTGTGATATGGAACCTGGTGGTACAATGTCAGAGAGATCCATACACTTACACACAAGTTATGTCTGGAAGTTACAAAAATGCTTATTTTTGGCCCCTTTTTGGCCCCTTATTCCTTATCTGTGGGTACCATAACCCCCAAAATCAATCCCCACCTTCCTTTTGTGGTATTGAACCTTATGGTAAAATTTCATTGAGATCCATTCACTTAAACTAAAGTTAGAGTGCGAAAACTAATGTGTCTTCGGACAACGACTCCAGACGACGCCAATGTCATACCAATATACGACCACAAAATTTTTTTTGCAGTCGTATAAAAATGGAACAAGACACAAAAAAATTTACACTGAGCAATGAACTGTGAAAATCAGGTCACGGTCAGATGACACCTGCCAGCTAGACATGTACACCTTACAATCATTCCATACACCAAATATAGTAGACCTATTGCAAACAGTATAAGAAAAACAGACCAAAACACAAGAACTTAACACTGATCAATGAACCGTGAAAATGAGGTCAAGGTCAAATGAAACCTGCGTGACTGCATATAGATCATAAAATATTTCCATACACCAAAAATAGTTGACCTATTGCATATGGTATTAGAAAAAAAGACCAAAACTCAAAAACTTAACTTTGACCACTGAACCATGAAAATGAGGTCAAGGTCAGATGACACCTGCCAGCTAGACATGTACACCTTACAATCATTCCATACACCAAATATAGTAGACCTATTGAATACAGTATAAGAAAAACAGACCAAAACAAAAAAAACTTAACTATAACCACTGAACCATGAAAATGAAGTCAAGGTCAGATGACACCTGCCAGTTGGACATGTACACCTTACAGTCCTTCCACACACCGAATATACTAGACCTATTGCTTATAGTATCTGAGATATGGACTTGACCACCAAAACTTAACCTTGTTCACTGATCCATGAAATGAGGTCGAGGTCAAGTGAAAACCTCTGACAGGCATAAGGACCTTGCAAGGTAGGCACATACCAAGTATAGTTATCCTATTACTTATAATAAGAGAGAATTTAACATTACAAAAAATCTAAACTTTTTTTTCAAGTAGTCACTGAACCATGAAAATGAGGTCAAGGACATTGGACATGTGACTGATGGAAACTTCGTAACATGAGGCATCCATATACAAAGTATGAAGCATCCGGGTCTTCCACCTTCTAAAATATAAAGCTTTTTAGAAGTTAGCTAACGCTGCCGCCGCCACTGTAGCCCCGCCGCGGGATCACTATCCCTATGTCGAGCTTTCTGCGACAAAAGTCGCAGCTCGACAAAAATGAAAAATAACTTTCAAATAGCTTTGTTGAGTACTTGTCATTAATATATAGATATAACTAACAGTTTTGAGGAAGTGTGATTAAAAATCCTTTAGGATGATTCTATTGTTTATATTTTTAAAGAATTGTTGTTACTTTTATTGTTATTTACGTGTTCAATAATGAAAGAGGTCTTCATTTTTGTATTTTTAAATTTTTAGGCCATTTTTCTCTTTTTTTATTTTTTTTATTCTCATTATCCTCTGGTCTTTATAATCTAGCACTAATTTTTTTCTCTATTTTTTATTATTTTGTCATTTTCCCCCATTCTTTATTTTTTTAATCCATTATTCTCAATTCTGTAAACCAACTCAATACCCTTGTACACTCCAGGAGGACACCTATAATATTTACCTGAATGTAAAGATTTCTTTACAACCACTTGACCTCTGTCCATATCCCACACCTGAAGGTCACCTGAATTGCTCCCGGTTAGTAACAAATCTCCACACCACATAAAACACCTGCAAAAGGAGAAATTTAATAATTTTAAATGTAAACTTAAGGTGGTACATAACACTACAGGGAGATAACTCTGTAAAAATCAGCTGAACGTTTTAATCACGTTCTATTGTTAAGGAAATATTAAGATTCCCAATGATCAAAATTAGTGTTTGTCAAACTGCTATATTTCCGATGAAATTTTTCCAATAAAGTGTGTGGTGCAAGTTTTTTGAAATTTTCATATTTTTGTCAAAGGGTCAAAGTAAATATTTTGTCAAAATTTTATGAAAATTAAACGAGCCAAATGAATTTTAGTCAAGGTGTTTGGTACTACCTTAAGGGAATGATGTATCAAAACTCTAAATATTATTATCTTTGTTTATGGTATCCAGTTTGTTCTATTTTTGGATCATCTAGTATAAACATTGACATTTTTTTTGGACTTAATATTATTTATGATAGTCTATCTCTTGAAGCAGAGAATTTCTAGTAACACATTTAATGACCTTCATATAATCCAACTCTATCCCCCATACAAATATAAAGACAAGTAGAGAGATAAAAAACCCAGATAAAACAAATATTAAAATGTGATTAAATATTCATAGCTGTGTTGAGCATGTAACTAAATTGACTAACAAAAGGCATCTGAATATATGTATAACGGACTTACATAATTTGGTCCTGTAAATCTTTGACAAATATTTCAGTTCCTGTCTCAATATCCAGCACTTTCAGGTAACAATCTTCTCCGCTGGACAAAATTCTCTTATTATCTATAACAAAATAAATAAGCCATAGCTGTAGCACAGTCTTCTACACTGTAGAATCTCATACAGGGGTTTTGTCATGTCCTATAGTTTTAACCTGGCCTTAATTACTCTGACCAGGCCTTATCATAGGCAGCATAATGTTTGACCTTACATTTACAAGTTATAATTTATAACAAAAAATATTAACAAGATCGTGGAAAAAGAAAAACTATGGTTTCAATCATAAAATCAACACTAATACACTAAAATAAATTGATTATCAGATTTCATTATACATACAGCTGTAAAATAGAAGGGCAATTGCATGAAAATTAGTGAATACTATCACTCTCAAAATTTTACTGTTTTCTTGCAAGCTCATGCAATATATACAGATTATAACATGGCCTTTTTCATATCAGACCCCTTATCAGCCCTAGGTCATGTTATCAGCACGAGAGCCAACAGGCTCGAAAGATGATTTTTACCATGGGCTGATAAGGGGTCTGATATGAAAAACAACATGTTATGTTCTTTTTATCATATAATTCAGCAGAAGACATACAGACAAAACTATTTTTAAAACTTTGAAACAATGCATTTGTTGTAATATTTGTTTTGTATTTTTTAATAATATATTTTCCTGATTATTAATATTTTCTTTTTCTCCAACTTTGTTATGTTTTATTAAAAAAAAAACGTACCATTGAGGTACATTTTCCGGAATTTGCCGAATGATGTTGAACTGTCATGTGATAACGTTACAAAAAAGCATGCGATAATAACCGGAAGCAGTTGATATGAAACGGAAGCAGTTGATATAAACCGGAAGCAGTTAATAACAAAAGTCATATCACACAGCTAAGGCAATTCTTCAAATTTAATGAATAAATATATATACAAATAAGTTTTATCATGGGGTACAATTATACCATTATTTTCTATATAAGTATATGATAAATTATCATACTCAGGACTACCTCATCCATATTAAAGCAATAATTCTTTATTTCATTAGTACTAATCAAGCCAATATTTACCTTGACTCAAAGTTACTGCATTGACTTTTGACGAATGCACTGAAAGGAAGAAGGATATTCATCAAAATATGACATACATTGACAGTTTCTTCTTAGTAATTGCTTAAAGGGTCTACTTCTAATTAATGTATAAAAAAATTCTCTTGTGCAAATCCCCACCCATCGATATATTTCATGACAGAATCATAACCGTTATTCATATATTTAATTACGGTATACTTCTTGGTAATAAATTATACAACCTGTTAGATCTTAAATTAGATGAAAATAAAACATTATTGAACTGGTGTCAGTTAAGCTTTAGTTTCAAAAGATGGGATTTTTCATACTCATTAGATATTTGGATTGGTGTACCATATTTACAGACACCTCACTAATTGATTTATGAAGATGAAAATTTATGACCAATTGATACATTACCTCTGTGAGATTGCACCTTATTGGTATATTTGACATATAAAAAAATGATCATTTAATAGGCATGTCTACCTTTACATAGGAAGGGACACCCAACCCCCACCCCTGTGACTGGTTTATGTAATAACCAGACTGCTGTTTGTCCTTCATTTTACCTGGTAACCTGCAAAAATTAACAATTGTGCTCCATTATAGTTAATTCATCTGTCCTTCCTTCCAGTAAACAGTGAAAACTTACGATTGTGTTCTGTTAACTGGTACATAGATCTAATATCCCATATTACTATTTGTCCTTCTTTTGAACCAGTAACCAGTATCTGACAGTTACTATCAATGCACTGACAGTTCACACCAGATTCATGATCAAGTTGTCCCTGTAAAATTTATTAAACCGTCACAAATTTCTACAGGCTTATTTCAATTTAATTCATTCTTCATTTAATCCAAACCTTGCTTTACTCATAAATAACTCTATAATGTTAAAACTTCAGATGTATTCAATAGACAGCAAGTATTACCAAACATTTTGGACAAGACAGCAAACTACCATCATCCAAAATCAACTACTGTGTCAAAACAGAAAATGACAAGATAAAACAACAAAAAATGTGGTGCACACTTTTAAATAACCTGCTACGCATATTTTTCAGTATGCACAACATTTTTGATGTTATTTTTTCATAGACAGAAAAATTATTAGTCATTCCTTAAATAAAATACACAGACAGTTAGTTCATTAAATTTTCTTATAAAAAAACATACCACAAACTGAGCTGGAACAAAAGGATTGGATGGTGATGGCGGTGTAAAACTCCACATCTATAAATAAATATAAAATAAATTGATGGGATGGTCATGTAAAACTCCACATCTATAAATAGTTATACAATGTTTATATTAATTTGATTGGATGGTAATTTTAACTCCAAATCTATAAATAAATATAAAATAATTAAATTGGATGGTGACAGTGGTTTAAAATTCCACATCTATAAATAGATGTAAATTATTTGATTGGATGGTGATGTAAAACTCTACATCTATAGATACATTTAAAACAAGAATGTGTCCATAGTAAACGGATGCCCCACTCGCACTATCATTTTCTATGTTCAGTGGACTGTGAAATTGGGGTGAAAACTCTAATTTGGCATTAAAATTAGAAAGATCATATTATAGGGAACATGTGTACTAAGTTTCAAATTGATCGGACTTCAACTTCATCAAAAACTACCTTGACCAAAAACTGTAACCAAAAACTTTAACCTGAAGCGGGACAGACGGACAACTGAACGGACAGATGAACGAATGGACGCACAGACCGAAAAACATAATGCCCTTAGGTAAGGCATAAAAATTAAATTGGGTGGTGTTGCTGGCGTAAAACTTCACATCTATAATTAAATATAAATAACAAGATTGGATGGTGACAGTGGTTTAAAACTCCAAAATTATATATAGATATAAAACAGTTAAATCTAACTTTTTCTGCACTTTATTACTTTGATTCTCATTCTATTTGTTTGTAATGAAGTCTTTGACAGAAGAACTTAAAAAAAAAGAAGCATCAACTAAGTAATTTATACCACATTAAGCAACATAACATATTTTTAAATGGTTTATACATTAGTAGTGAAAAGTGTGTAATTTGTTTATGTTTTAATTTCCTCAACATCAGCTGTGTCTGTAGAACTATTTACAGTATTACCTTTACTGTCGAATCCCAGGAAGATGTAAATAAAATCTTGTTTATCCAAAAAACATCAGAAACTGAAATACAAATTAATGGAAGAAATTCAATGAAAGTTACTGAAAGTTTACTCATCGATAAGTATTCAGATTTCATTGATAATAATTACAGAAATGACAAAATCTGAATAAAATGATTCCTCCAAATATAACTAAGATACATATTCAGATGACTGAAAAACAACTATTTTATATTCTAATATGACGACCTATTATCTTCAACCAGTATAATCACATTATATCTACCTTTAGCGCAAACGCAGTAATACACATAAACGGCTGTTCCGTGTTACGACCAACTTATTTATACTGCCAGATATTCTCAATTTTTCGACATCAAAATCCCCAGTTTATGAAGGCCAAGCTTCAGATACAATATATTTATCTCTATTCTACAGCAAAATAAACAAATCAGTCCATTTCAATTTATTTTTCATGGTAAAATTTCATAAAACGAAAATTCCACGAAATGATGTTATTGTCTTGACATGGCAACGAAACAAGGTGACGTCACAAATATGTTTCCGTAAACAAAAAATCAAATGTAAATACCTGGTGTTTTAAAGCTTCTTGTACGCCTCAGAACGAATAAAATCACATTGGAAGAAAATATATAAGTGAAAAATGTGATTAAAAAAAAAAAATCATTGAATTATATAATATTACTAATATTATCAAAATTGGGTAAAACGGAACAGCCAAAACAGTATCGTATGTATAGGGCTTTCACGGTTAACAAAATTACCGAATTTGTCCTAATAGAATCGAAATAATTCCTGGCAGCCGTAGATTTGTTTTCATTTAACCATGGGTTGGGCATTTATATTCGTATTTTACCCCTCGCTAACGCTCAGGATAAAATAATCGAATATAAATGCCCAACCCATGGTTAAATGAAAACAAATCTACGGCTCGCTAACGCTCAGGGTAAAATAATCGAACATAAATGCCCAACCCATGGTTAAATGAAAACAAATCTACGGCTGCCATGAATTATTTCTTAATATACATTACACTTTTGTATTCTATTATATGTGTATTTTCCAAAAAATTTCAACTATAAAATATTCAAGATTATTTGTTACTTAAGCCTCATCCATATGTAATTCATCTGAACTCTATGATATCTAAAGAATGTGTATCTAACCTGCATCATCATGTGCTATTAAAGTTTCTAAAATTCTGCCAAACTCAATACTATAAAAATATCTACAAAAAAAATATACATCATTAGATAATGAAAAAATAAATTACAGATCAAACAGTGCACTACTCAATTATACTTCATCAGATAAGATGGTGGTCTTTTCATTTATGTTTTTTGGATAATGAAAAAATAACAGATGACAAAATAAGCAGCAATATGAAGGAATTTTCTGCACCTGTTTAGGTAGTAAATAATAGCAATTCAGGCCTTTGGTTTGATTCACATTTTGTCATGCAGAAGCTACTTATAGTTTGTAAATATACTGAATGGGTATTGCTCATTGTTAACGGTAATAATGATTTTATGGTCTATCTAGATTGCAGTCAAACAAACTTAACTTCAGTAAAAAAATAAGGAGATGAGGTATTATTGCCAATGAGACAACTTATCCACCAGAATGGTGTAGAAATTAGCAACTATAGGTCACTGTATGTCTTTCAACTATGAGCAAGACCCATATCACAAAGCAAGCTATAAAAGGCTCCAAAATGACCAATGTTCATTTCACACACTCAAGACATATGATGTTATTGATTTAAGAAATGGTCACAGATTTAAAGGTCATATGGTAAATATACTCACACATTATTGTCCCAGGATCCAACCACTATGGTTAAATTGTCTGGTAATAGCTGACATGAAGATAAAGCCTGGAAGGAAAGTATTCTTAAATTATAATATAATCCTGAAAAAAAAACTTGATTTAACAACTGGTGCCTTCTTTTACTTAACGTAAACACAATAAAATAAGGAATTTTTCGTTTATTGGAGAAAGAAAAAAATTAAACTAATTCACGAATAAAGATTGCATTCTTTATAGTGATTCTATAAAAGGTTTACATTGCATCCTAACAAGCTAGCCTGTACAGAAACAGATTGTCCTTGACAAGACCTTTTTCCATATCTAGATTGTCCTTGACAAGACCTTTTTCCAACTCTAGATTGTCCTTGACAAGACCTTTTTCCAACTCTTGTTATATATTATTACCACAAATATGTATATTGTAAATTCAGAAATTATTGCGTGCATTTATTATTGCGATTTTTGAAGAATTAACAAGAATGCGAGTTTAATTATTGCGATTTTAGGAAAAGATACATACAGATATATGTATTTGATATCAGAATGCGAGTTCTTATTATTGAGATACTCAAGTAGTCGCATTATTTCGCATTGATAAAAACCTCGCAATAATTTCTAAATTTACAGTAAATCAAACACTTTATAACTAACTCACCATGCTAGATACATTAACACTTCTTAATTGCCTCTGTTCTTCTAATGAATACATCTTCAAAAAACTGTCTGTAAAATATATAAATATTAAAAACACACAAAAAGAGGAACAAATTTTGTTTAAGTACAGTATCTCTTTTCATTGAAAATGTTACCAGTAAAATTGATTGCAAATTACACTGAATTGCCACTGATTTATTTAACAAGCATTTGAATTATTTAAAGTTTCATCCAATGTATTTATGTATTTACCTGTATACTTTTAATTTCACTGGGAGATATACAACTTTAGGAGACAATTGTCCATTTGTAAATACCAGTTCAAAACTTTTTTTTTACCTTAACAGTTGCCAACTGTCAATCTTTGCGAAAAAAAACATTTAAAATCTTTATCATAATTTTACCTTGAGAAACAGAGAAAATATTTCTGCCATCTCTGGCTAAACAAAGATCTGTTACTGAGCTGCAAAAAGAAACAAAAATAAATCTAAAAAAATTGTGAAGTTAACAATACAGTCAGTTGTATAACAAATATATATGTAAGACTCAGATCAACGTCCGTTCCTCAAATCGACGTCCAAATCTGACGTCATAATGAAATAAGATTCCAAATCAACGGCCAATTATATGACCCTCTAATCAACATCTTTTTTTTCGTTCTCAATATTTGGCTTCTCTAATGGACGTCCTTTTTACGGACTTGTCGCAATGACGTCACAACTTTATTGAAAGAAAACAACTGTCATATTCCTGATTTGATAGAGGCATTTTCCAAATACAAATGGTTGGTTGAACATAAAAACTTAAAAAAGATCTTGTAGAGTCAAAATGATAATACTTTTCAACAATTGACTATACTTCTTTATTCTGTCTATTGTTTGAGACTGTATATTGCCCCTGATGTCTTTCGGTTATCTTCATATTTGGGTTTCTGTCTCATTGTCTTACATCCACATGTCATTTATTTATATGAATATGAAAGGAATAAAACAACGTAGATCAAATGGATTAACTTTTTTTACCAAATATATCAATATGCATGTACATCTTATATGATGTTAGTGTTTGTCTTATTGTTATTTACTGATGCGTGTCCTTTGATGTTTTTTAAGTTGATTGGACGGGATGTTGTCTACCTTGTTGTTCAATCTTATATACGTCAACTAAGTCTGTATGATTTGTAAAGTATATAAAGATATATGAAAACAATTAGTTTCTTTCAGCAGCTTTACACAAAGACAAAACAATAAAGATAATAGAAAAAAGATCAAACTCAAATTAAATAATTAAATGATATATAAGACATCGATGAGAGGATACTCCAATCCATCGGACTTCGTTTTGGAAATACATGACGTCACATTGGACGTAGATTAGAGGGTAAAAATATTGTACACTGATTTGAGAATGTGATGCCACACTGGATGTCGATTAGAGGAACGGATGTCGATTAGAGACCGGACATCGATCTGAGTCTAACATTTTATTGTAGATCACTACATGCACTACATAACCAAGCACTATAAATATTAATATGATATGTTTGAAATAAAGTATTGAATGGCAGACATGTTCAAGAGACACTGAAATTGAATTATCCGAGGATATTTTCTTCATGCTATTGCAAAATAAACTATCATAATACAAGGTTAATTTTGTAATAAATCTACATGCTTTTTTCAGCCCTATAATATATGAAAGTGTTTTTTAGAACAGTTTCCATATGAAGGAGTTTAATAAACTGTTGACAGTGAGATGTGTCTTGCTTGTATGCAATTTCCGTAGAATAATGAATACTGAGGAGACAGGGCCAAATAATCTCAATGAAAATGAAATGTGTCAATGCTAATTTAAATGCATACATATATAAAGCTGATCAAATCACAAACTTTAACAATTGTTGATGCCACCACCATCAAAAGACACAAAATGCCTAAGTCATGGTTCTGCAACTTTGTAACAGGCAATACAATAACCAAATGTCATAATTCTTATATATCAATTTCAATAAAAAATTTCTACATTTATACCACAAAACTTACTCTTTATGTAGTGTATACTGGTGAAATAATTCTAAATTGTTTAACTCCTGCACATCAAAAACTGTTGTAGTGGAGTGAGTCTGGTCCTCATCTGCAAGACATATATAATATGAAAAGGCTACTGATAGAATATGTTATTGTTTATTCAAGGTTTGTAGAAGAGAGTATGAGTTCGTTTTTCTCTTTTAGATATGATCAAAATTAGGTGTTGGTAGAACATAAAAAGACTAAAACAAAACCACTGTTAAAAAAATATGTCAGAAAATATTCACTTGAAACATTCTATTTAGGTAAATTATTCTTTTACAACTTGTTTTATAAATACAATTAATATTTCCTACTGAAATTATATCAACTATGAGTTGACAAAATGCAATATATTTCTGGAAAGAAAAATAGAATTCTGTTTTTTATATTTCAGCTAAGTCAGTAACATGGTGTTCATCTTTTTTTTTCTAGTTTTCTTCATAATACAGTCAAACTGAAATGTTTTAAATTGTATGTATTTATAAATGAATGAAATTTTTACCATATTGTATTTTGTAATTACCTGTGTCTGTAGACAGCATATCATCAGAGTTTTCTGGTGTAGGACTATTTCTTTCCTTAGCTTCCTGTGTACACTGTACAATACTTTGTGGACTAGGATGTTGGAACTTCTGTGGATGTTGTGTTTTAAACAACTGTTTGGGTGTTTGACCAAACTCCATAATCTGGATCTCCATACGAGCTCTCTCATTTGGATCTGATATACTGCCAATTAAAATATAATTTTATTGCAATAACTTTTCTTTAAAAATACATAAAAAAAAAATTAATGACCAAAATTATTGGACAGCACAACATACTTCACCAATCACATATCAAAGAAAAACATAAATGTAAAATATTATTAGTTTTGTTACACTTGTACCTGTGGTTTAAAATAAAACAGATTTTTTAAGGTAAATTATACATAGATATTGTGCTGTAAATTTGTCATCTATTATAATGATATTATTGAGTGTTTTTTTTTCTGATTTGCTTTTTTATTCAGCATGCATTGTTTAGTAACAACCAGTTTTCAGTGATAGAGTTATATTTGGTATTTCACACATGTACTTGTGTTTTTGAGATCTATTATACCAATATAACTGAGTTGAGAGCTTTCCCTGAATTTAGTGTTCCTAAAAAAAAAAAAAAAAAAAAAAAAAAAAGAAAAGAATTTAGTGTTCCTTTTTTAGCTGTCTATTATTTTACTAGAGCAGAAAAAGTGAGAGGGCTGAGTAATAAAAAATGAAGGTTATTTCAATCACAAGTTAAAACATTTATTTTTTTAAATTACTGTATTAAGAACAAAAAGGAGTAAACATTTGGATGTGCTATAAACATTCTCATAATCATATTTCAAACAGCAAATATTAATAAGACCCATACATTAAATTGATTCTGTGAGGTAATTAGGAAATAAGGTTGTTCCAATGTACAAATGAATGCCAATTATATTCTTATGTCATTGGTCATGGATTTGTTGCTATAAGTAAGTTTTTTACTCCTGCTGAAACCAAAATCCAACAATATTAATTCAATATATGAACTTACCTGTCTAAATCCACTGCACCTTCATAAGTCATGTAGTAAAACACTGCAAAGATACAGTTGTATTTGATTAAAAAACAGTTGTTATTTGTATTGTTCATTTTTTCTATACTTATACTGAATGAGATTTGAGAAATGCCAACAAGGCAACACAAAAATGCAAATAAAAAAAAACCATCAACATATTATTTTTAAATCTCTGATTGCCGACCAAAGTCTAGAAAAGTAGTAAAAGAATACAACTTGAACTATGAAAGACCTACATTGAATATAAGATAAAAATATCAGGATCAATATTAATCTTTGAAGGTGTTCCTGAGCAGGAATATTAACATGTGGTGAGGTTAACCATATTTTTAGCACTCCATATTTTATGCCAATGAAATTTATTGAAAATAAAAGTATTTTAAAAGTAAATATTTTCTCCCATTGACAGACTCTTTTATACAAGACTCAGTCAAATGGTTAAAAATATTTAAACATCATGTGGGGTACAAGATCTGACACAATAATTCTATATTATGTCAGGTTCTGTCATTGGTAACTACCAGTAGTTGCATGGGCAATAGAATTATTCTTGTACTATCTAAGCACAGAGCTTAATGCAAGAAATGCTGAAAAATATATTAGAGAAATAAATTCTCCCTCTATTTAATGGTTGTTACCTGCTGAATTCCAGATTTTACCATGCTCTCTAATGCTGGCATAGTAATATTATAAAATACTATCTAGAGTGGAGACAAATTATAACTAACTCACAACAGAAGCAGAATTAATATCTATATGTAGTTTGTAATACAACTATTTATGGCACAGTCTGTAAATCCCAAGTCTAATCCACTCCACTCAGATATAATTTACACAACTCTAACAGGTCCATATTCATTAGAGTTAATTTTCCTAGTTTTTTTGTTGTTTTTGTTCATTTGTGGATGTGGGTCAATTTTTGAAATTACATTTTGAAGAATGAAATCTAATTTCATTCAATCAATGTTGACATAATATTATCCTTACCATTATCAGCTTTCTCAGCTTCCTCTCCTCTCTGTTTATATCCAAAGATTAAATCAATCCAATGATGAAGATGTAATGATACATAATCTGACTCTAATGCCATTCTCAGGGACTGTTTAAAATCCTCTGGACCTACAAATAAAATGAAGATCTGACTCTAATGCCATCCTCAGGGACTGTTTAAAATATGCAAATAAAGATCTGACTATAATGACATTCTCAGGGACTGTTTAAAATCCTCTGGACCTAAAACTGAAATAAAGATCTGACTCTAATGCCATTCTAAGGGACTGTTTAAAATCCTCTGGACCTAAAATTGAAATAAAGATCTGACTCTAATGCCATTCTCAGAGACTGTTTAAAATCCTCTGGACCTTAAAGAGAAATAAAGATCTGACTCTAATGCCATCCTCAGGGACTGTTTAAAATCCTCTGGACCTAAAACTGAAATAAAGATCTGACTCTTATGCCATTCTCAGGGACTATTCAAAATCCTCTGGACCTTAAAGAGAAATAAAGATCTGACTCTAATGCCATTCTCAGGGACTGTTTAAAATCCTCTGGACCTAAAACTGAAATAAAGATCTGACTCTAATGCCATTCTCATGGACTGTTTAAAATCCTCTGGACCTTAAAGAGAAATAAAGATCTGACTCTAATGCCATTCTAAGGGACTGTTTAAAATCCTCTGGACCTAAAATTGAAATACAGATCTGACTCTAATGCCATTCTCAGAGACTGTTTAAAATCCTCTGGACCTTAAAGAGAAATAAAGATCTGACTCTAATGCCATCCTCAGGGACTGTTCAAAATCCTCTGGACCTAAAACTGAAATAAAGATCTGACTCTTATGCCATTCTCAGAGACTGTTTAAAATCCTCTGGACCTGGCTTAAAGAGAAATAAAGATCTGACTCTAATGCCATTCTCAGGGACTGTTTAAAATCCTCTGGACCTTAAAGAGAAATAAAGATCTGACTCTAATGCCATTCTCAGAGACTGTTTAACATCCTCTGGACCTAAAACTGAAATTAAGATCTGACTCTTATGCCATTCTAAGGGACTGTTTAAAATCCTCTGGACCTTAAATGGAAACAAGTATTCTGAGAGTATTGCAAGGCAATACATAGTCCCCTACTGGTTAAAAATTCATTGTACTGGAACAAAATGCTAACTTGATCTATAACTTGTCATGGTGTAAACTATATAACAAATATCAAGTCAATATTTTCAACGAAAAAAAGTGTGGAAAACTGATTATTTAAATGAATTTTCTAAGTCCAAGGACCATAACTCTGCACAAAATCATCAGACCGGTACAAAATTCGAACTTGATCTGTAACTTGTCATGATAAAACTATATACCAATTATCAAATCAATATCTTCAAGCATGACGAAAAAAAGTGTAGAAAACTGATTATTTGAGTGAATTTTCTAAGTCCAAGGACCATAACTCTGCACAAAATCATCAGACCAGAACAAAATTCGAACTTGATCTTGAACTTCGGTAGGGGACTAATAAAGATCTGACTCTAGTGCCATTCTCAGGGACTGTTTAAAATCCTCTGGACCTAAAACTGAAATAAAGATCTGACTCTAATGCCCTTCTCAGGGACTGTTTAAAATCCTTTGGACCTAAAATGCAAATAAAAATCGGACTCTAATGACATTCTCAGGAACCTAAAATTAAAAGCATTTTGAAGTTATGTCTGTATTTGATTAATTCTGTTCTTAGTATGATTTGTTACGAAATTTTAAACACAATTTTTAGAAGGAAGTGCCTTTGCAAAATGCATTATGGTATAGTGCTTTAAGACTGTTAGATGAACCATTAATGGAAACATCTATAATACTACACAGAAAATTAATTAAAGCCAAATAAAAAGATATCTGTCTCTGAATGTGTTCTCCCTTAGAATAATATGAATATAAAACTTACTACATGCCCATGGTGGTAGATCAACATCACCAATTGGTTTACCATCTTGTCTGATCCCAAAATTAGTGACCTGTAACAAAATAAAATTACCAAAAAGTGACATTGCACAAAATGTTTATTATTTGAAAATAATTGGAAATCTCTCATCTTTAATTAGACTTCCAGTGCTGTTCTGTTTCATGTATGGTATATCAAGCGTACACCATGATTAGTTTGTACACATATTATATAAATATTTGTGGTTTTAGCAAAGAATGATTTTTTTTGTTATGTTCAAGGAAAATAACGATTCAATTTTTTGTAAATAAAAATAAATAGCATAAGCTTTAAAATAGCGTAGTTTGAACAACACAGATAATTTGGATCAAGCCTGCTAATTGCTGAAATCTTTGCTCATTTAGAAAAAAATATTTACCCCTTTGTTGTAAAGGAAATCTGGATGGTCAGGAGAATAAAATTCTGGTATCAATTCTTTAAAATCAGCTGCACCTTCTAAACAATTCTGCCAAGTATCTAACAAACTGAAATGAAAAATTTTTCATTTATATATTATTTCTATAATAAAATATATAAAATGTTTCATCATAACAACACTGATGATATCCAAGATAATGTCCATTTGAAATGCATAGAAACAAGGGAATGCAAAACGTATCAGACAAGAAACATACTAACATTAACAACAAGAGTTAAGTTAGTGTTAGTCTTCCTGCTGGGTCATTGAATTCACCACTATTTGTATTTCATATAAATTTTACCTGTTAAACATTCTATCTGGCTGATCAAATTTACCATTCTGTAAACACAGCACATATTCTGGGGCTGAAAAATATAAATAAGCATTACTAAAGTTTATCTGAGCAAAAATATTTCATTTTATTTTTTTCCTCACATAATATAAGTTTAGTTCTTAACTTCTATGTCATTTGGTCTCTGGTGGGGAGTTGTTTTGTTGGCAATCATACCACATCTTCTTATTCAATATTAGGAAAAAATAACCAATAGACAAAAATATGGTTAAACAAAAAAGATAAACAGTCTACACAACACTGTACAGAATTGTGAAGGTCCTGAAATATATAATTATGGAGCTCCATCCATTTTTAGGATATCCTTAAAAATTAAAAGGGGCCTCAGCGGTCGAGTGGTCTAAGTAGTTGAACTACTGTATCACAAGCCTGTCAACACTGAGGTTGTGAGTTCGTACTCGGCATGGGGAAGGTGCGTTTGAATCCAATCTTATAATTGACTAGGATTGTCAGTTTTCCTACTGAAGGGTCTGTGGTTCTCTCCGGGCACTTACGCTTCCTCCACCAATAAAAACTGACCGCATCTATAGAGTACAATAGTGCTGAAAGTGGCTTCAAACACAAAACAATAAAGCTGTACAGAACTGAATATTTAATAATTTAAATCTCAATTTTGTAAAATGAAATACAATGTATGGCATAATACGTATCATGCACTAAATTCCTATACTCCAAGAAATTAAACATTAATTATTATTCAATGGAAGAGTTTTAAAACAACTTATCCAAAAGAATCAAATCACCTAAAAAGTATAAAAAATAGAGAAATTTTTAATGCAATATGAAAAAAAGCAATATTTTCTTGTGCATTAGTTACGCTCACATATTGATTTCTGAATTTACTTGTCTTCCATCAAATTTTGACTCAGTTGTATTGTGAAAGGACAAAACTTTTCATATTACCAATGTAACAAAATGATTCCAGTAATTTTAATATATTTACCTATTCTAGCCAGGTAAAACAAGACATAGCCTGGTGTAGAATAATGAGATCCATATAAAAACTTAGGTTCTGGCATTTCTCTGTACCTTTCCTGAAAAAGGTTAGATATTATCAATTATTGAAGTTTTAGAAAAAAAACAAGACTATAGTAAATTGATCCGTTACAGAGGGCCCCATCAATGATAATTAATACTGAAAAATATGAATAATTTCAACTGATTTGTCAAGGGTTAAGTTTTAAACAACTAAAAAAATGTAAAAACAAATGATATTTTTACAAACCATAAAATAATACATCAATAATAAAAATAACAATTATTAGTGTTAAGATAGTTACCCTTGTTTTCTCAATTCTTTCTTCATTTAATGCTCCAATAGGTTTGGATAAATCTCTAAAAACTGATGAGTCATTTAAATCTAAAACAAACAAGAAAACAGAATTTTCTCTTACATGGCTATTACAGTTGAGTTATAGCTATAAACAGAGAATATTTATAATTTTTTAAATTGCGACATGATAGCCTTTGTAAGAGTGAAAACTCACATTTTAGATTTGATAGCATATTATATATATGCAACATTTTCTGAAATCACAACTAGAGGCTCTCAAGAGCCTGTGTTGCTCACCTGTATTTACTGATGCTTTGGAAATCATGTAAAATAAGGTTAAAATCATAATTAATAATATTAGATATTAGATATTATAATGATATCTAAGATAATAACAAAAAACTGCAAAATTTCTGTAAAATTACTAACTCAGGGGCAGCAACCCAACAACAGGTTGTCGCATTCGTCTGAAAATTTCAGGGCAGATAAACCTAAATCTGATGAACATTTTTGCAACCTGTCAGATTTGCTCTAAATGCTTTAGTTTCAGAGATATAAACCAAAAACTGCATTTTACCCCTATGTTCTATTTTGAACCAAGTCGGCCATGATGGTTGAAAGGCGGGGTCATCAGACAAATTTTTTGAACTAGATACCCTAATAATGATTATGGCCAAGTATGGTTAACTATGTCTCAGTAGTTTCAGAGAAGAAGATTTTTGTAAAAGATTACAAAAATTTACGAAAAATTGTTAAAAATTGACTATAAAGGGCAATAACTCCTAAAGGAGTCGACTGACAATTTTGGTCATGACTTATTTGTAGATCTTACTTTGCTGAACATTATTGCTGTTTACAGTTTATCTCTATCTATAATAATATTCAAGATAATAACCAACAACTGCAAAATGTCCTTAAAATTACCAATTCAGGGGCAGCAACCCAACAACAGGTTGTCAGATTTGTCTGAAAATTTCAGGGCAGCTAGATCTTGACCTGATAATCAGTTTTACTCGATGTCAGATTTACTCTAAATGCTTTGGTTTCAGAGATATAAGCCAAAATCTACATTTTACCCCTATGTTCTATTTTTAACCATGGCGGCCATCTTGGTTGGTTGGCTGGGTCATCGGACACATTTTTAAAACTAGACACCCTAATGATGATTGTGGCCAAGTTTGGTTACATTTGGCCCAGTGGTTTCGGAGGAGAATATTTTTGTAAAAAGCTAACGATGACGGACGACGACGGACGCCAAGTGATGAGAAAAGCTCACTTGGCCTTTTGGGCCAGGTGAGCTGAAAATTGATCTCACATTTTTTTTCATTGATAAAAAATGTCAATAATAAATCCACACAAAAATTTCAGAATTTACAATATTTCCCTTGTTGATTTGAATGAGTAAAATTTAGATTTTTTTAATCAATATGGTAGAATCTGTGAACAGGAAAATTTATCTTAATAACCTATAAGTATTCAACTTAATCTAAGAATCATTACCAAGGTGACTAGATGAGTAATCTGATATGATCCAAGGCATCACTGGGTACTGTGTTAGGTCACTAAAACTTCTGTCGGCTAAACTGAAAAATTAGTTTATTCACATCTTAGTATTTTTACCCTTTCCCCAAAACTGTTAGTTTTTTATTCATAACTAAGTTGTGTTTTGCATGTTTTCAGCTATTTACATAACTTATTGATACTAAGAATTCTGTTACACTTGACCATATATTCATTGTTCATTTACCAATGTTACGATTAATTTCTTGTTTGCTGGAATTCATAGATAAACTAACAACATTTAAATAATTAGTCAGTTGTTATGGCTATTTTAAGTAATAACAAATGGAAGTTTTTAACGACCTTGACTGGCTATACAGCCCTTGCACGGTCGTTAAGTAATAAGAGATCTAATTATGAACCAAAAGCATTGTAAGGTGTACATATCATTCTGACAGTGGTTAACTGACCTTGACAACATAAGTTTGATACATTCAAATATCTCATTGAATTCCAAAATGTTACTTTGTCAGTGTGTCCAGTTCTTCCAATTCACAAAAAAAATGCTTTATTCTGTGTATAATCCTTACAAAATTGTAATTTTTTTACAACCTGCAGCATGTATGAAAAGATTCTGTCACATTTTGTTTATATCCCCATACGACCTTAATATCCTCATACAAGGTAATTCTAAAAGTTATAACATACCTATTTAAATACATAAGATATTCATAATTAGAAATATTGCCACTTTGCCACCGTAAGGTCATATCCTCTTGACCAGGTAACTCTAAATCTAAATCTGAAATTAAAATGTTATAAATCATTTTTCATTTTAAAACATTTCAATTAAAAGTACTTTTTTAATCACTTTTACTCTTCATTCACAAGAAACCCCAGAATTCAACGAACTTAAAATATCAAAATACGAGGTGAAAAACTTCTTTTTCTGTTAAAAGTGTTAAGTGTCTGACAAATGGCTTAGGAGGAGTTTCCCTATGAACCAGAAATAAGTGTTTTCAAACATGAAATAGTTCAGTTGTGCAACTCCACTTTCTGTTGGTCTGTACTAGTTAAGTAAATTTCTGTCTAATGGTTTCAGACAAGTTGTGGATTAATGAAAGAGTGACAAAGAAGATACTAATGACAAATATGACATAAGGCAGATAGTGAAATCCATTATTCTGACCTCACAGGGGGATGTGACCCAAATGTCTTTATTGATCCATAATTGTAACTTATTAATTAATGAATGTAACAGTGAATATACTCTGACATAAAGGTAGCTTCTATAAATATTTCAACTTTTAACAGTACTGCACTGTAAAATTCTAACTCAATTTTTTTTATATGCCCTATAAATCTATATAGCTCAAATCTTACCACTTTGTTCCTTCATTTTGAAGAAAAGGTCGTTGCGTAACTCTGGACTAGATAATGATAAATACAGATGTGTACAGGGGCTGCCGTCTTTGCAGAAAATTTCTATACCCTAAAAAATAAATAGGTGTGTTAACTCTGGGCTAGCGTATGATAAGAACAGATGTTTACAGGAGATGCCTTCTCTACAGAAACTTTTATGCTCTAAATAAATATAGGTGTGATCCTATGCTATTTGTACAAAAAGCATTCAAGTTCTGCATGTGATTACCACAGTAGTAGAGTTTTAGCCTTTTTTCATTTACAAAGTTAAATTTAACTTATACTTTTAATAAATTTCTTTGGAAAATAGGATATGACAATGCCAAAAAGATATGAAAATGAAAAATTCTAAAATTTTGAATAACCGTAAAACAGAATTTTAATTCTTTTTTTTTTAAGTTTGACCTTATGCTTCAAAATTTTCCAACAAAATCCCAATGCTTTACTGATCAATTGGTATAATTTTTTATGTAAAAAATACTTACTATCTGTCTCAATAAAAATCTCCTTTTTATGAGTCTATTTATATCTTTTAATCTGATTTTTATTACTGGTATCTGGAATATAATGATAATCTAATCAATATCAGCTTTGGATCATTTACTGCAGAGACACCAGAGAAGTAAAAATTAAAAAACAAAAGAATCAATTTTCAATGCAACTGCATTTCTAGAGAAGAATGAGATTTTTTCCACATTTTTGGTAATCCATTAATTAATATTCTAATATTTGACCTTTGAAGACTTCCACAATAAAAATAAGCACGATCAATTTGATTGATTTATAAAGCAATTGACATATTTCTACTGTACTTACACTTTCTATGTTATTAAAAGGTTGGAAGTACAATATTTTATTGGTCAACATAATACGGCCAGGATTGGTCACCAATGGTGTAATTCTGTCACCTTGGGTTTCCAAGATGATATTTTCGTATAAATCTTCCAACCTGAAGATCAGAAAAGACAACCATTATTTAAGCTTTATATAAAATCCAAGGTTATATATGTGGCATAATTGCAAAGAGACAAGTAAGGAAAACCATTCATGCTCCATAAAAGGGCATGTGCGGTTTTACTTATGACACTTAAAAATCTGGTGATTAGTCATGAACAGAGAAAGGTCAAGGTGGTTTTATCTTCTACAAATTGGAAATATCTGTGGTTTTCTGTCACATATATTTCATATTTGTCAAGCAAGTCATGATGACTTACATAGAATTATAAAATAGATGACTTCACTTTACCATTAGGAACCCTTACTTTAGAAGCTTTTTTAGTCAGCAGCAATCCTCAATCAAGGAAAATCCTGCTAGAAAAACAGGCTTGGTTACCAGTATATCTTATCACATGTGAAGGATTGCTCCATATCATAGAAAGATCGCAATTAAAAAAGTTAAATCCACAATTGAAAAAGTAAAGTCATCTCTTTTGCCAAAAAGTTAAGTACTCATTTGACCCTGATTGTTGATTTCTTTGTGTAATATAAGTACTGGCGCTAAGCAGTGGTATCCTTTATTTCAACTTCAATATGATAATTGTGATGAACATAATCACACAATTAGTACAAGTACAAGTATTCAGTGAAATCTTTTCAATCAAAGTGCAGTGGCCATAAATAAGCAATAAGTCCATGAAAGAAACACAGAGGTAACAATATTTGAATATAGATATAGCTCGATTTGGTACAAGAACAAATTTTCGCAACTTTAACTTTGTACCTTAACCTTTCCTTATATAAATAGACCATAAATAAAAGATAGTACCAACAGTCAAACATCTGTATTATGTATTCAAATTACTTGTTTATACGTACCAACTTGTATTGAACTTGACTCTTGACCTTCTAGACAGAACAATAGCATTGATCTGTAATCAATAAAAATAATGTAATGAAAAATTTTGTAAAGGATTCCATAGAACTCTGGGTCTAGTGTGCGACTGTCATTATGAAAGCATTATGTTGAATAACAAAAAGTAAATCTATTCATCAGTAAAATATGGAAATTAAATAAAAAATATTCAAAATATTCTTCAGAAGGTATTTCTTGATAATCAAAAAGCTTCTGTCCATGTTTCATAAAATTCAATGACACTTTTACAAAATTATTGATGTCTTTGAAACCTTTAATCTCAGACTGAACCAAAATGTTGATAAAACCATATATGACAACTATGACAAATCTATGATCACTAGTCTCTTCTTTGTAACAGGTGAGACAAAATTACAAAAATATCATAACTATGTTGCCTAAGTGGTATAGAAGATTATAAATTACTGTAAATTCAGAAATTATTGGGAGGTTTTGATTAAGCTAATAATGAGACTGGGTGAGTATCGCAATAATAAGAACTCACATTCCGAAATAAAATAAATATATCAGCTTGCAGATTTTCCTGAAATCACAATAATTAACCTTGCATTATTGTCCTTTCTTAAAAAATCGCAATAATAAATACACACAATAATTTCTGAATTTACAATACTAAATTTATAGTCTGATGTACCTTTTAATAAACTTATATCTTTTCCCCTAACATAATACATGTGCACACTTAATTTTTCAGTTGAATTAAACCTGTATCAGTTACAAGATTCTGAAAGTGTTTATCTTTAATGTAATAATAACACAAAACAGCATCCAAATACTGTTAGAGACTCACCATAGCATTCTGTTCAGTATGCGGGAGTGTAGAGGCTCGGTGTAGTTGACAGATTTGTGGTAAACAATCATCAACAACAACATAATTCAGTGAAAAAATGTGTTCTGATGGTTCCTAAAAAAACAATTTTATAGCATTGAAATCAAAACTCAATAATTGCCATTACAAAGTTTCAGAATTTATCGACATAGAAAAAACATATATTAAAACATATTTTAAAATTCTACAATAAATTTGATTGTCTTCCCTATCAGTCCTTCCTGTCCAAGTTGACACCAATATTTTGCTTTTTGGCTCAACATTACTCTCAGATGAGATACATAGGCTTTCATTTAGTTAAGTGTAGAGATACTTTATCAAAAGCACATTCGAACCCTTGATGTTAAGGGTGCTATAAACAGTTAATTATAAAATACTAGGGGTTATTCCCTGCATAAAAAAGCCATTGGGGAATCCTAGTTTAATACAAGTATCTTTATAAACAATATCTCCACTAAGGGTCACTTATGCATGGTCTTTCAAAATATATTGTTACACAAAAAAACTGTTGATTGCACCCTAATGTCCATCATTCAAAATGAACCAAAGTATGTCACACTGTATAAATTACAAATTGATTTCATGTTTATTCATTATTTTCTATTTCATTTTCACCTTTCTTTTTCATCTTTATATATTTATTGCAGAGCATGCTATTTTTTACACTTCAAGTGTAGCAAAGTTGCTATGTTTATTATTGATTTCCATTTCAAAATAAGCAGATAAACAAATTTATTTCAATATCATATATTTTATACACTTTCCATTACCTTAATGAAGACATAAGGACTTAGTATGTTATTTTCTTTCATTGCTACAGTTTGTTTGCAGGCCACTTTTATCATTTTATCTTTATGGTCTATTCTGAAAAAAAAACAAAGATCAAATATGAGGTAAAAATTCTTCCAAGCTAACTATAGTCAACAATTATTTTGTGTACTATTGTTTGTCTGTTGGTCTTTTTCTTTTTTAGCCATGGTGTTGTCAGTTTATTTTCGACTTATGAGTTTGAATGTCCCTTTGGTATCTTTCGCCTCTCTTTTTTTATTCTAAAGTTTTTACAAACTCTAGTCTGTTACAAAAAAGTATGGAATGTGTTTTAACGAAACTATCATATATAAATGGTTGTTTCAATGGGAGATAACCAATGGTAGATGTATGTGGATGTTCCAATCTCACCAAAAAAAGTTAAATCCTAGTTCATGATATAATTGTCATTTGATTAATTGAGCAAATCAAGCCAACGTTGAAATACATGTGGCTGGCTCAAAGTGAGTTTTTTATGTTAGGTCCTAGATGTGTGAAATAAGAATACATGTGTCAACATTCAGGGAAAAAAATAAGAATTTTATTTGTCCAAAAGTTGAAGATGGCAAATCTTCAAATCATGTATGGAATTTAGTGTTTAATCAGCAGCTCTCTGCTTGGAAGGGACAAGATTTATGAGACTCACAAATCTAACACAAACAAAACTCAGGTGTTATGAATAAGATTAGGGATAAAGAATGATTAGGGCAAAGACATTTTAAATATGGCAACAAATAAATGGATAGAACTAGAGGCTTTAGGACAAGGACTTGCTGTTAACATAAGGTTAAACAAGCATTCTGAGAGTATTGCATGGCAATACATAGTCCCCTACCGGGTAAAAATTCTTTATACTGGAACAAAATGCTAACTTGTTCTATAACTTGTCATGGTGTAAACAAAAAGTAAATATCATGTCAATATCTTCAAGCATGACTGAAAACAGTGTTGAAAACTGATTATATGAGGGAATTTTTCCAAGTCCAAGGACAATAACTCTGCACAAAATTATTAGACCAAAACAAAAATTTGAACTTGATCTGTTACTTGTCATGATAAAAACTATATACCAATTATCAATCAATATCCTTTAAGCATGATAAAAAAAACATTAGATATGATTAATAGTTCTCTAGAATTAGATATGATGTAATACAGTGTATATCTATTTCAAATTATAATCAGATATAATTAATAGTTCCAAATATTTTTTTCTTTCATTTGTCACAAACTAATATAGATTTGTAACTTATCTATAAAATGTCAACAACTTTTATCTACACAATATAATGTATTGAAATATATACATTAATAAAAATAGATTATTATCTAATTAAAGGATTTCTCTTCATAATTTTTTTTGATATATATAGCATTCAGAAAATTAGTTTATACTAAATAACAAACAAGCCTGTCAAAAAATTCTTCAAATAATTTAACAAAGAATGTCTTTTAAAAAATGAGTTATCTCCCTTTGTACAGAAATATAGTTTAACATAGTACTCTAACATTAGATATGGTCCAGAGTTATGGTCCATAACTCTGGACTAAATCATCAGACCGGAACAAAATTGAACTTGATCTATAACATGTCATGATAAAACTATATACCAAATATCAAATCAATATCTTCAAGTACGAAGAAAAAAAGGGTGGAAAGCTGATTTGCCGGACTGACGGATGGACAGACGGACAGACGGACGGAGTGCAAACCTAAAGTCCCCTTCGACTTCGTCGGTAGGGGACTAATAAGAATTTGAGAAGTGAATGAAATTAACTTTGTCCATTCATGCAAGTGGCATGGTAGATAAAAATGAGAATAAACCACATTAAAACAATTATACATAAAAAGACAGTGTCTGTTTAATTGTTGTACTTCATCTGGGCTGTAAAAAAGTTAATTCTTATACCAAGCAGGATTCTTATATATAAGTTGGACCAAAAGTAGCATTATTTTGATATTTTATTTTTCAGTTACGGTAGATATAGAAGTACACTTACTTAGAAAACAATCCACCAGACCATTCATCTACTTCTGTCACATATCTTAATGGAAACTGTAATAGAAACAGAGACCGTTTATGAAACTTCCTTACAAAGCTTGGGAAATGCCCATGTTGACTGAAAATTTCTGCATTTGCTTCAGATTTCATTTCTTTGCATTCTTTTTAGGTAATTACCTATACTACTAAAGGAAGAGACCGATTTCATTGAGCTTCAACTCCTCTGAAACCATACAAAGTCGGAAATATTTGTGATATGACATAAAAATGTAGTGTTTTGTACTTCCTGAATTTATCTTATAAACAATCTTTTTTCAACAGAAAACGGCCAATTTTTGAGAAAATATCCAAATTCGGAGACCGTTATCGATCCGTGTCATATACGCTTTCGCGCATGCTCAGTCGACGTACTGCCCGACAACTCGGCCCACAGCCAACTCGCACCACTCAAACACTCTCACTAATCATTACTTGCATCACTTTATCAAACTCGCACCACTCAAAAAAAAGAAATATAACAAACTCGAAGATTATGGTCATGGACTTGATACATGTAATTACCTAGTAAAAAAAGTCCAGGGACAAATTTTACTACTGAACCCAATTTACTGTTACATATTGCCTGTTGACTTGACAAGTTGTTATGTTATTGTACCTTTCAAAACTAAATATACATTAATTTATAGCTCAAACAGTTCCTTAATATCTGACAATATTTTTTGGTCAATTATAATATAATATAGATTAAGTCTTTAACTTAAATCATACCTTCAGAATAGGGTACTGGCTTTCCTTAGGAACAAAAACAACTGATTTGGAACATATTTTCAAATGTCCCCTCTGTTTCCTATCAGAAGAACAACAAATAGAATGATTTATTACTACCATATAAGACAAATTTTGAAAAAATCATCTTAACATTGGCAATCAAAAAGAAATCCGAAAAAAATACCAGTAAAAGATTTGCAGGGGAATGCAGGATCTCTGACCAAAATATATATATTATGTTTGATTTTTGTCATAAAGAAAAAAAAAAATCTCTCATCATTCAAAAGAAATTTTATCAGAGAAATAAATTGTGGAAGAAGCTAAAAAAAAAAAATTACATTACCATGGCTTGTACAACTAGATACCCATATCTTTGTCAGTTCATTGTTGTACTGTCTCTATTATCTGTCATAGTTTTATTAATTATAAAATCAATTTCGATCAAAAAAGGTAGATCCAACTATTTTTATAATATTGTTTTAACAATGTAAATGGGAAAGTATGGATACCATTAACAGAAAAACATTTTGTACCTTTTGATAGCTTCGTGTTCTGGAAGACCACTAGGATAATAAAATACACTGTAATCCTCAAAATAGATTTCTCCTGGATCTAGCAATAACAGATTAAACCTGGAATACAATGGATAACCTTCTTATATACCAGTCATAAAAACATAATTAAATAATTAATATAAAAAAATATGTCCAGCTTCTACAGACTAGTGGTAGTTTTTATGGCTATTTAGAATTACTTTTAAAAATGAAAACTATACCAAATAACACATGACGACATTTAGCATGTTTAGTTTTAAAATAAATCTAAATAAGAAGGAGATCAGTAGCATAAACTTAGTAAATTATATCAACCTTTTCTCCATCTTAGTTGTACATTTTGCATTTGTTGTAAGATATACATGTTAACTGTGGATTCATTTACTTTTGTGGATATCAATTTTCATGGCTTGAGGGAAATTTGTACTTTGGTGGATGTTTGGTTTCTCGGTTTTGACAAAGTCTGCATTTATGCCAATATAGAAAATTTGTACTTCGTTGAACATTTAAATTTGTGGTTACTTCTTCCCATGAAATCTATGAAAATTGGTATCCAATGAATAACATTGAATCCACAGTTCGTACAAGTTGTATGTTCCTGTTTTTATCTTTTTTATTGAACAATTTCTAACTAAAACTGATTGAAAATAAATGGAGAATATGTCGATGGGCCACAATGCCCCCACTTGTAAATATGCATTGGTCAAATTCCACATACAGATGCAGGAGTCACTTAGTTAAGACCATTTTGTGATTATAAGTATTGTGTATAAGCTTCATTTGGTTGACATGGTTGAGGCAAACTAAAGTTGGAAAACGGAAACGACAGATTTAGCAATTTTTCCATTTATAAAGGGGCATAACTCAAGAACGGTAAAAGTGACGCCACCAAATTTCGAACTTGATCTGTGTTTTGTGTAATAAGCATTGTGTATAAGTTTTATAACATTTGGTTGAGGCAAACTAAAGTTAGAGAACGGAAACCAATTTTGGGACATACGGACAGACAAGGGTAAAACTTAATGCCCCCTACGATATGGCGGGGGCATAAAAAATCTGCTCTTCAGTCTTAGCCTTTAATACATCACATTGTAATTTTCCAAATGTTCTTTTTTAGGACACATGGATTTGGCAAATTGAAAAATGTAACATGTTGATAGTTCAATGGAACAATTAATTTACTAGTTTATTCATCTATGGAGTCTTAAAAATGATTGGTCATCTTGCTGAATATGCTTCTTATAAGCAAATATACTGTTAATATGCCTTATTAAAGTGGCCTATTTATGGTTACAGATGGATAATATGGTTGCAATATTTTAATCATTTTAAATCGGCTCTGGTCATCATGTCAGCAAAGAAAAGGGACCACGATAAGTGAGACATATAAAAATACTGTTAAGTTCAAACCCTTCATTCAGTTAAAATCCTTGATTAACAGAAGTTTGATGTTTCGTTCAATTACTATCAGACAGATAAAACTTAACTAAGAAAAATAACATAAGTCATAACCCAACAAACATGTGACAAAGGCAAACTTTTGTGAATATGTATAAATTCTTATGAAACTTCGTAATTTATGCTGAAAAAAATCATAAACCTTTCTTTTGAAGCAGTGTCATTTTCTAGAAAAGACATTATTCAAAGATTTATGTGAAATTTAGTCTTGTGTACATTCCATTTGGTCTGTTTCCGGGTTCTGTTTGGAGTTTTATTCTATTTCCGGTTTGAAGGTTAAATTTCGGGACAATTAATTTTATCAATAAAATTTTTAATTTTTAAATGAAATAACATTTGAATTCTTTTACATTTGCTTGTATGATTCAGTTTTAATAAACTTTAAATTAAATTATTATCTTGTTTTATGTTTTGATCGGAATACGTGTTCTAACAGTAAAAATATTGTTCATGAAAAATAGCCAGTCCCTAAAAAGTGCCAACATGGCTGAAAAGAAAAACAAATATTCTGTTCTCCTTCCAACTTACAACGAAAAAGACAATTTACCACTAATAGTGTGGCTTCTTGTCAAATATTTTACAGAGAGGTAACACAATCATGCCATGAAATGAATGAATCACTATTTACATTAAGTGTTGTAGAAAAAAATACATTTTTATGAATTATCATTATCTGACAACCAGTAGGCAGTTATAAATATTGTTTCTTTGCAGATATATGTACCATGCATTGATGCATTCAAAATAAACTTTTTCGAAAGAAAGGAAAAAAATTCTTGTAAATTATTGACAAAATATTTCTTAAAAACTTTTGATAGAATTTTTTTTAAATACTTGTTTTTAAGTTTTCCATACAGTCATGACAGTATTGCATCAGAATCGACAATCTTCCAATCAATATTTTCCTAGTCAAAAATCAAATATCTTTATGTCACAATGTCCTATGACATGCTTTTGCCAAAAGACCCCAACAGTACTGCCAAGTTTTCATGAAGCAAATGCGTGAGATTTGGCCAAAATTGTAAAGATCAAAGAGAAAAAACAATAGATCAAAGGAAAATGCAGCCAAATATGCATGAAAATGCGTGAGTCTCACGGTAATAGCGTGAGACTTGGCAGCCCTGCCCCAAGCCAACTGGGGCAGTTCATTCATAAAACTGAAATTGGAAAGTCATCTGAGTATGTTGGATTTAGAAAAGTTTGATACATACCTATACAGGCCACTAAATATTCATTTTACCAAATAAACTCGTACCTATTGATGTTTTAAAATGTACTGCACTTGTTTCTGACAGCAGATCCCAATATATAATTATTCTCAGATCTTAAACCTCTCCATATGTAAAATAAAAAAAGACACTGTACATTGATTTAACCATAATATACAGAACATAAACTGTTAACACAGAGATATGTCTCCCCTTTTTGTAATTTTGATAATGCAAATGTTGAAATTGAAATAGCAATACTTTAACATGCAAGTAATGCAAATATTCAAAGTCAATGAACCATGACTGAAGGTACATGGCTAAACAATCTCCATGGAAATGAGATGTGCCAATTCTAATACAACTGCATACCCAATACCACTGACTTATCATAAGTCGTTCCCTTTAAACAAACGTAAACACAAACGTTAACTTGTGAATTATGTAAAAGTTTCAAAGTCAATGAACCATGATGAGGGGTGGGGCTATATAATGGAAATGAGACTTGCAACTGCCAATAAATTTGCATACTAAATATCATGACTTAAAATTAGCGGTTCATCTTAAACTGATCTAATCACAAACTAATACATGTAAATTAAGCAAAAGTTTCAAAGTCTTTAGACCATGACAGGGGGAGGGGCCAAATATCTTTTAACAATATCAATTAACATTGGCCTACCACTAATGGTTCCCCTTGAACTGACCTAATCACAAACTAATACATGTAAACTAAGCAAAAGTTTCAAAGGCAATAGACCATGACTGAGGGGGCGGAGCCAAATAATTTTCATGGAAATGAGACATGCAAATGCTTATACAACTGCATTCCAAATATCATTGACCTATAGCTACCACTAGTGATTCACCATAAACTGACCTAATCACAAACTAATACATGTAAACTGAGCAAAAGTTTCAAAGTCAATAGACCATGACTGAGGGGACAGGGCTAAATAATCTCCGTGGAAATGAATTGTGCCAATGTTAATACAACTGCATACCAAATATCATTGACCTACCACTAATGGTTCACCATAAACTAGACCTAATCACAAACTAATACATTGTTGACGCCGCCGCCACCGCCGGAAACAGCATACCTATCATACCATCAAGGCGAGACAAAAATCAGAAAAAAAGGAAATAAAATTAGCTATTAATATATTTTATAATTTTTTATTTGTATCAGTGCCCAGCAGTTATGATCAATATGTTGAAGTAGTGCTCAACTATAAATAAGAAGAAACGAATGTGGCTACTTTGCAAATCTTTCAAAATAAATATCATGTTGAATAATTTGTACCATTACATAACCCGTTTAAATTGTTATGATGCTTTTGAATAATAAAAAAGAAGGATAACACGAAGCACCAAAAATATTGGACAGTACAACAGACCACATCAAACACTAACAACCAAAAACAAACAAAAGACCAACAACAATGGATCAGATTTAATACAATGTACATGCACAAAATGTTATGTGGTTCAACCAGTTTTACATGAACACTCCGCCCCCTTTATCTTCATTTGTATCTAACATGAATGAATATAAGGTAAAACACAGAATGAAAACCCTGCACAATCCTGTTACAGCTACCAACAGGATGACCATAAACATTTTGTACCACATGTATTTAATATAGACTAGGTCATGTTACTGTGTATGTAAAACTGCTCATTTTTGCTTCTTTTTTTTTACAACAAAACTGCTACTCACAGGTAGTAAAATAAGTATAATTTTTGATAAAGAAAATGACTTACTGGAAAGAACTATAGATATATTTGAATACATTTAATTACATATTGTATCTTATAATTTGGGGGAAATTTGCAACTATCCATACATCATGTACATATATAGCATGTTTGTATTTCTTTTATTGCAGTAAATATGATTTTGAAATCATTGTAATAGATGATGGCAGTCCTGATGGAACATTAGAGGTGGCCAAACAACTAGAGAAAATCTATGGCAAAGACAAAATTGTAAGTTATAACTTCAAATGCATTTCAGCAAGTTTTAATCCATATGGAGACTTCTTTTATAAAATGTTGTAACCCATATTTGTCTTATTGGAATTACAGTTACGATAAATAAATCAGCCTCTATATTTCAGATAAACATGATAAATTGCAAAATTTGAAAAAAAACATCTTCATTACATTTTTTAAGACTTTTGAAAACCATCAATATGGATATCTTTGAAATTGAATTTTATAGTTCAATCATCATTAATAGCCTGTAAGAAAACCTGTTTTGTCATCATAATTTAAATTTGAATGCAAATTTCTATGTAAGACATTTTTAGAAATACTAGTACTTTAATACAATATCCCCTTGTTCTGTCTTGTTCACTAATGCAGCCAGGTCCACATTTCAGAACCTGTAGTCTTGTTAATAATTTTAATCATTGTTTACAGGTATTGAGACCAAGAGAGAAAAAACTAGGATTAGGTAAATATAGAACCTGTTTCTTTTAACTGTTTAATACTCATTGATCATCACCGTGTTATCAAGCGTTAGTAAAATTAGATGTTCCAAGCACAAAATTATAAGTTTAATCATTCAGACTCAAATTTCAAAAACTTTAAATTTCATGAAATATATTGAAGTGTGACACCAAACTATAAGCACAGAAGAAAACCGATATAAACTGAAATTTAATTTAGTTGGTCTATTGACTGCATTCTACAATAAGAAATCATTAAACACCAGATTACGGTTTATAACAAATAGTGACCAATAATGGACATGACCCCAATTAGGAAATTCTTTTATGGAATTCTGTATGATAATGTAAATCCTATATGGGTCCTTCAATCTCTGAAAACAGTTTTTCATGAATATTTCTGTTATAACAAGAGGGAAGTCCATCATTTTAATTTAGTTGTGAGTGTTAATGCCCTTTGTAAGCACATGGTATTATATTATTATTTACAAACATGATTGTTTCATTATAAAAACTGCATATTGAATATTTCTATATTTCAGGGACTGCCTACATTCATGGAATGAAACATGCTACAGGAAATTTTATTGTCATAATGGATGCAGATCTTTCCCATCATGTGAGTTAAGTTTAGAAGTGAACTGTGTATGTACAGCTGTTAATTAAGGATAATTTGAGAAAATGACATCATTTGTGGTTTTTCTTCCATAAAACAAAATAGGCAAATTACAATACAATTTATTATGAACATGATGAAATTAAGTAATACGAGTTTCCTCCCCTTATCCATGTTATCTATAAAATTATGTAAAAATTTCTGAGCGAGTTACATGTACAGTTTTATGTTTTTGTGAAACATTTATATGCAAGTTTAAAAAAAAATATGGCAGCATACTTATGAAAATTCAGGCAAGTGAATTGTATTTCTATATCGTTTTCAGTAAAAACCACATCAAGCATTTGAAATTCAAATTGACTAGTCACTACTACAGTTTCTAGACACACCTTTGAAGAATTTAAATTATTGTGATATTAGATTGAAAAAAGAAGATAAAACAGTAAAGCATAAATATCTTTGCATATCAGACAGCCTGTTTAATTGTACTTAAGATTTTACGTCAATAGTCTTAGTCTAAGTTAAAGGGACTTTTCTTTTTTTTAGCCAAAGTTTATACCAGAATTTATAAAGTAAGTATCTACAAATATAATACTTTATGAAGAAGCCAACAATATACAGTAACATTGTCTGTAAATAAAAGATATCTATAAGATTGATAAAAACTTTAGGTATTGTTGTAATTCTATGTTGTTATGGTGCTCTTGTATGGAACTTTGCCGTTTAGAGATTTATCTTATGTACAGTGATTTAACAAAATAACAAAAGAATTATTGTAAAGTGGTTCTCAGAATGAAAGGAAATGTTGAGGATCTTAGGTAAATGGATAGAACCATCTAAGGTAAAAATTTAAATGATAAAAATTGTGCAAATTAGTTATTTTTGATGTTTTTTATGCTCTGTTTATATGTTTATACCATAACACCGGAATATTTGGTCATTTTCCTTATTATTTCCCTTGCAATGATAATTCATAGGCATATTATTTATTGTCTGTCTATGGTTACTCCTCCTATAAATGAACAGCTTTTAAGTTAGCCATAAACCTCTTTATTAAAGGACATTTTACATAAACTTTATGATAGATAAACACTATGAATAACACATGTTGGATTTTTCTTAAACTTCCTTGAAATGTTCAAAATTCAATTAAACTGGTCTATGTACTGCTTCTTGAGAAATATGGCTGTAAAAATTTATCAATTTTATAAAGATTGTAAAGAGAAAAATCCCTTTTTTAGTGAATAAAACGAAAAGTTATCTATAGAAATTAGTTTTTTGGAAGATTATTATTAGGATCAAAGTAATTTGAAGGAAGTAGAAAGAATTAAATGGAGAATGTGTCCATGGGACACAGATGATGCCCCCACTTGCACATAACGTTTTAAAGGGGGATAACTCGAGAACGTTAAAAGTGACACCACCCAACTTTGAATTTGATCTGTGTTTTGTTGTAATAAGCAATTAGTTTAAGTTTAGAGAAGGGAAACCAATTTTGGGATGTACGTATGGACGGACAAGGGTAACACTTAAAATGGGGGTTTTCTTGTTTTATTGCTATTTCACAAAATGGGGTAAAATTTTGTTGATTTTGCTTCCAGTTTGATTATCTCCCATGAAAAGAAGAGACTTGTTTTAAAAGTTATTATACCCCACAGAACGTTATAATGTTTTAGACCCGTCTGTCCATCGGTCCGTCCGTCAGTCCTGTTCTTGTTATCGCAACTCCTCTGAAACCGCACAACAGACTTTCATGAAACTTTGTAGATAATAAGGATATACTATGTAGATGTGCATATTGACAAGAATTACAATTCAACTTTTTTTCAAGGAGTTATGCCCCTTTGAACTAGAATTTTGGGCTAAATATACTACTGCAACAGTTTGTCATCGCAATTCCTCTGCGACCACACAACAGAATTTCAATAAACTTTGTAGATAATAAGGACATACTATGTAGATGTGCATATAAACAGGATATTATGGTTTCAAACTTTTTTTCTAAAAGTTATGCCACTTTGTTCTTAAAATTTTGGTCTAAATATACTACTGCAACAGTTTGTCATCACAATAGAAATAAAAAGATGTGTTATGAGTGCCAATGAGACAACTCTCCATCCAAGTCACAATGTGTAAAAAGTAAACAATTATAGGTCAAAGTACGGCCTTCAACACAGAGCCTTGGCTCACATCGAACATCAAGCTATAAAGGGCACCAAAATGACTAGTGTAAAACAATTCAAACAACTCCACTGAAACCACACAACAGAATTTCATGAAACTTTGTAGATAATAAGGACATAATATGTAGATGTGCATATCCACAAGAATTTCTTATCAGTTGACTTTTGTAGGAGTTATGAGTCTTTGAACTGTGGAATCTGGTGATATTTTGTTTGCCCAGTGGCAATGTGGGGGCGTGGGGTATGTGAGCATGCTCACAAAAGTTCTTTAATTTCTTGAATTTTGTATTTGTAACACTACCAATATTTACTCTTTTATCTTTTAGAAAACAAAAAGAAGGAGATTATGATGTAGTTTCCGGGACCAGATATAGTGGAGATGGGGGAGTCTATGGATGGGATATTAAAAGAAAAGTAGTGAGGTAATAGTTTAAATTATCAAGATGGTCTTAAATTTTTGAATATTCTATTGTATAATCAAATGTATTAATGATAAGGTCATGCTTTTCTCAGATTGTTTATGACGTCTTTACACTAAATCCGTAAAAAGGATAAATATCCAAGATTGACATCTATAACAAAGTTTAAAATTGGTGTAGAATTCTTCTTATAAAAATAAGGAGATATGGTATAATTGCCAACGAGACATCTATTTATAAATGTATTTGCTTTAAAATGAAGGTATGGCCTTAGGATGTCTCTGAAATGAACATACAGATACCCCAATTGTTAAGTATAAATGTGACATGAGAATGGATATAAAAAAAAAACCAAAAAATAGGAAAAACAACCTTTTAATCACATCTAAAAAGATGCATCATAAATATCCTAAAATACATTATACAACAATCAGCAGATATACTACACGATTAATGTATAATGTCCAAAAAAAAAACCCAGGTACACACTCACAGATAAACAGCAAACAAATATATAGTATAGGCAGCATTTAAATTTAATAGATAATTGTATTACACTACAAAAACAACAGCATAAAGATATGCTTACAAAAAGTATACATAAATTCATAAATAACAGTAGAAAATTTATGACCACAATAAAGTGCACAATAAACACCGTACAGGAGAGGGGAAAGATAATAAAGGGACATTCAAACTCTTAAGTCCAAAACAAACAAACAATGCAATGTCAAAATACGAAAAAATGACCAAACAACAATACACAAAACACAACATAGATAATCAAAGATGGAGCAACGAAAACCCCACCAAAAACTTGAGGTGATCTCTGTTGGTTTGAGAGGGTAAGCAGAATCTTTCCACATTTGACACCCATTGTGTTACTCCTATGAAATATGTTGATATGTTAGGCATCACGCAATAACGGATTGTTGAAGGCCATACAGTGGCCTATAATTGCTTACATCCACTGCATTTGAACTTTGGTGGATAGTTATCTCATTGGCAATCATACTACATCTCCTTATTTTTAAAATAAACTACAAACGGGTTTCCATGTCATTTGGTCGCTGGTGGAGAGTTGTCTCAATGGCAATCATACCACATCTTCTTATTTTTATATTTAAACAAAAATAAGAAAAAAATAGATTTTGCCCGCACAAAATAAAGTATTGAAAATATTTTTGACTGAATCAAATTCAAAGGATAAATGATCATTTCTTGACATCTAAACATAGAAGTTATCAGGGTTTTTCCCTCAAATTAAACTGCATAAAGATACAGCTATATATCCATTGTTTTCTGTACATGTACTATATAAGCGTAATTTGTCCTTATTAGAATTTGGTGTTGATGGGAGGATCTTTGTAACTCTGCCATATTTATTAATAATAATAATAATAATAATAAATTCTTTATTTAAAGAGGGTAAACTCAGTTAGTTACAATAAACTAATCTTCCCTGAGGCCCTCACATACAAATTACAATACAATCAAAAACAGATATTTACACATAGTTAATTTACAGTCAATTAGTTCAATGTAATATTACTAACATGATAAGATATAAGGCTGTTCAAGATGCACATGTAGTCAAAAATATTTGTGGTATTTGATTCTATTGTCAACTGTCATCCACCCAAGTTCTTTAAATAAGGGGGCTGAGGGGGATAAAGGATCTGCATCTTGAATTAATCTTGCTGCCCTTTTTTGGAGTTTTAAAATTCTTGTTATCCCTTCATTTTTACATTCACCCCAAATAATACAACAGTAGTCAATCAGGGGCAGAATATACCCATTGTAATATGTTTTCCTTGCATTTATATCTAAAAATTTCTTTATTTTAGAAAGAAGGTATATTCTGGATGATATATTAGCACAAACTTGGTCAATTTGATTTCTCCAGTTAAGTGTGCTGTCAATTTTAACACCTAATAATTTTTCACATGGAGAATTTTGTAATACTTTTGAATTTATTATCAAGTTTGGTTGATAAGTCTGAATTGATAGTTTCTGCTTTGTTCCAGTAACCAAACATTTTGTTTTATTTGCATTAATGAACATGTTATTCATTTTGCACCACTCTTCAACCCTGTATAAATCTTCTTGAATATCATCATGTATATTTTCTATGTTTTTCCCTGATTTATGAAGAGTGGTGTCATCAGCATATAGGTCTGTTTCACAATTTTCAATGCATAAGGGAAGGTCGTTTATAAATAGCACAAACAATAGAGGACCAAGTATAGAACCTTGGGGGACACCAAATTTTACATGTTGTTGTTCAGAGTAAACATTACAAATGTTTACCTGCTGTTTTCTGTTATTCAGGTATGACTTGAAAAAACTAACAGTAGCAGCAAGTATTCATATCTTGCCTACATTAATGGTGACATGGAGCTTGTTACATGGAAAATCACTTGCCTATTGTTGAAGACATTATGTTAAACTCTAGATTTTTTGTGTTGTTAAGTTGCTGTCTCATTTAATCTAAATATTTGAATTAAATAACCAGTTGTTTTTTTTTGTTTCAGTCGAACAGCTAATTATTTAACACAAGTATTACTCAGGCCAGGTGCATCAGATGTCACTGGTAGCTTCAGGTAAGACTTGATAACTTATCTTGTAACATGTACAAATGTAATAAATATAAGGACTTTACTTATTTTTAATGCTGTTAAATTTATTTTTAATTTCTTTAAACAATTTTAACAACTCATCTTAAGACTAGCTGCATTTAATTTGAAATACAACAAAATTTTGAATATTTATTTTTTTCGGAACTAACTTTTGCCTTTATTCAATCTGATTTCTTATGTGTTGTTGACAAATAAGTTATAAGGTTTTTATGTCGTTATTGCCAAGAAGCATGGAGATATAGTTTTTCCCATCTTTTCATCAATCTGCCATTCATCATGGTTTCCTGATGATAAATCTAAGGCTTTACATTGGATTACAACCTCATATGGATATATGATCACATATAATGAGAGGAAAATCCCTAGTGATTTTGAGATCACTACATCTAAGGTCAAAATCATAATAACTAAAAATAGACTGAAATAAACACAGAAAAGAGGGGTCTGGATAACCCCAGTACCTTTTATGTAAATGCAATCTTACTTAGGTATGCACTCACACTGAACAAGGGTACTGGGGGTAAGTTCTCCATTGATTTTAAGGTAATTTTGTTTTAGGTCAAGATTATAGTTGCTAGAAATAGCCTGAAATCAGTATTGGAAAGGAGTTTACATGAGATTAGAACTTAACTTAACATATGGTCACATATAGTGAGTGGAAGATTCTTGCTCATTTTGAGATTAATGTGTCCATGATCTAGGTCATAATAATCAAAATATCCTAAAATAAATTAAGGAAAGGATTTTCCAAATAACAACTCAAGAACCCTACATGGGATTGGTACCAAACTTATACATTAAACATATGTACCAAGTCAGGCTATTTCCAATAAATGAAAATTGTGAAAATAATTCCAGGAAAATTTATGCATACATTTGGTACTTTCTAATAGAAAGCTTTTCGTGAACAATCTATTTTTTCAGGTTGGCAGGTCAATAACGCTATATGTTAGTTGTAACAACATAAATTCCAACACTTTGCACATATATGATTAATTAGTGAAAGTAATATATGAGTGTAAGGTACTCTGTCTGGTATTTTTCCCTTATTAATTATCATCAAATTTATATAAGAGTTGTAAGTCACTCTTGATAATTTTATAACCTAATTAGTACATCAAAGGTTCGGTCAATTTCGCAACTAATCAACCGTAACATTAACAAGAAGTTTGTATACCTGTGACAAATATGTAAGTTTCCTGTATTCTATTGAAATTTATGTATTTATGAACAGGTTATCATTCTGACTGTTTATGAAATATTTTCTGCTGACTAATGATAATGACAGTTAACAATATATAGTTCAATGTGTCATATGTAAAGATAAAACAGACCAGGAGTTGCATATGATATAATTAAAAAAAATTATATAAATATCAAATTAATACAATTTAAAAAATGTATATGTAAGCTTATCATGACCATGATGACTATGTCAAGTTTTTCTTTATATTTTATTTACTATAAATTCAGAAATTTTTGCAAGGTTATTATTAATGCACATAATGCAGCTGGGTGAATATTTCAATGATAAGAACTTGCATTCTTATATCTGATACATACATGTATATCTGTATGCAGCTTTTCCTGAAATCGCAATAATTGATCTCAAATTTTGGTTGGTCCTGTTTAAATCACAATGATAAATACTGGCAATAAGTTATGAATTTACAATAAATTATAATTGAAATAGTGCTTTATACTTTATGTATTTTGTATGTTAGTCCATTCCATAGAACTTAGTCCATTCCAGTATAAGCAGACAATTTCCTAAATAGCTCAGGTTTTTGGCTTGGGAACTATCAGATTAGCTTAGCCTTAAGTAATACCTCTTGAGGAGTAGTCTAACTGATTGGACCTAAAACAACTATCAATTAGTTTTTTTATTCAGTTTATGACCAGAAGTGCATTTTAGGGAGCTACCATTTGATTTTTATGGAGGGGCTAGGATGAAATTTGAAAAAATAGGCAGGACAGGAGTTTTGAGTAAAAAAAAAAGGCAGGATGAGACACTTTGCAAAAAAAAAAGGCAGGATGACAATTTATGTAAAAAAAAAGGCAGGATAAACTAAAAAAAAAGAAGGCAGGACCGAATAGAGTGAAAAATAAAAAGGCAGGACAGAGATTACAAATTAAAAAAAATGCAGGACAAAATTTTTCATCCTAGCCCCCCCATAAATATCAAATGGTAGCTCCCTTATCTCATTCAACTTTAGAAAATGGTAATAGCAAAAATGATAGGCCTTTAAAAGTTATTTCAGTTGAATAATGTTGTTTGCTTACACCTTCCATTGAAATTGTCCTCATAGATTCAATTAATTGTATCACAAGCAATAATGCTTTCTTATGCAGAACAAGTTTAGTTGCATAAATAGCAGAAAAGAACCTGATGAATGAATTTTTTTTTAAATACCGGTATTATTTACTCGAACAGTCAAACAAGTTAGTCAGTTTGTCAGAAAACTATTTCAATTCATCATGGTTAATTTTATGTTCTAAGAGTAAATAGTTTTTTTTTTATTACAGGCTTTATAAAAAAGAAATATTAGAGAAATTGATAAATGCATGTGTGTCTAAAGGATATGTCTTCCAAATGGAAATGATCGTCAGAGCAACACAGTTTGGATTCAGTATAGGAGAGGTACAATTTTATTTATTGTCAATTGGATTCATTTAAAAGAGAGGCGAAAGATACCAGAGGGATATTCAAATTTATAAGTTAGAAATAAACTGACAACGCCATGGCAATAAAAGAAAAAGACCAACCGACAAACAACAGTACACCAAACACAACATAGAAAACTAAAGACTGAGCAACATGAACCCCACCAAAAACCGGGAACCATTTAAGTTGCATTGAATGACTGCGATGTCTGAGGAAAAGAAAAATATAATGTAACAAAATAGATGTAATTTTTACCTTTTTGATGAGGGGTGTTCCAGAATAAAATGCATGTGTTTGTGGGGGGGGGGGGGGACCCTTTTTAGCTCACCTAGCCCAATGGGCCAAGTGAGCTTTTCTCATCACTTGGAGTCTGTTAACTTTTACAAAAATAATGATCAGCAAGACAAGATCTACAAATAAGCCATAATGACCGAAATCTTCAGTTGACTCGTTATTTGAGTTTTTGCCCTTAAATGATAATTTTTAACATTTTTATGCATTTTTGCCTATTATCTTGAAACTATAATAGATAAATAAAAACTTTAAAAAAGAAAAATTATCAGCTGGATCAGATCTACAAATATGTAAACATGACTGAAATTTTAACTCTAATTCCCCTTTAATGATGATTTTTACTAAAAAGTGGCCATTGTTGAAGATGCAGGTGAGCAACACAGGCTCTTTAGAGCCTCTAACTTATAACCACAGCCACGAACAATATAGTTTTCTATATGATTTGTTAAGTTGTTTGACAAAAAAAACAACCACCCATCAAATTTTTAACATAACTTATTTATTTAGTGCCTCCCAATATCCCCACCACTTACACACATTCAATAATAGACCAGTCCTAAGGCATTTTGTCTATTAAGTTATATAAACACAGTGAGAAACTATTGAGGTTGGTTTTGTGTTTTGAACTCTTGTGGAAATAACAGGATTGAGGAATTAAGTGGAGTCCACAATATTCAGCTTCTCACAATGTCTACACTGTATTCAACTGTTATATCTTTCAAAATAAAGCTATCCACCTTTTATGATCTCTATGGTACAATGAATAAAATGTTTATTTGATAGTACATAATGTAGTGAGGCATTATGTTACTGGTCTACACGTACGTCTGTCCGTCCTTGTCCTGGAAATTCTATACTTCTGTCCCATATCACAATATAAAGTATTTGGTCAACGTAGTTTACAATGAAATTGTTGTCATGTCAACTTAAAAATTAATACATATGTACATTATGATGTTAGCTTTTGAAATTGTTTGTCAAATAACAGTTTTGCCCCCAATTTCATTGTCCACTGAACATGGAAATGTGTTAGTGTGAAACCTGTACATTCTCAAGTTATAGTTTTTGGTCAAAGAAATTAACCACAAGGTTGTGATCACATTAACTTGAAGCTTAGTACGCATATTCTGATGTGAACTTTTAAAACTATATGTAAGGGACAACATCAAAAGATTGATGTAGGATAAAAAACTTAATTCTCATAGTTAGGGGGTTGGGGGTCAAACTGGCTGCAAGTTTTGTTATCCTACATTGATTTTTCTGGTTGAAGAAATACATATGAAAGTTCGATCCTACATAGGACCTTTGGCGCTCTGATAAAAACATTTTGAAGGCCAACTCAAATATGAAGTGCATTAAACATGGAAAATTTTAAAAAGTGAACTGTATCATGGTATCTGTGTCATTGGAACCATAATTACATGGCAATTTTGAAACATTATACAGATCAACAAAGATTTGGCTTAATAATTAAAAAAACCTATGTTAAATAGAAAATTTGAAAGTCATATAGTATTCAGGGGAACGGATGAAAAATGACATATAGGATATAGATTTTAAATTATAGAGATCATTTTATGTACACTAGAAATCATTGATTTTTCCATGGCCACTCTCCATAGTCGGCACAATTGTACAGCTCACTCATATTTAAGCTACCATAAATTTACAGTTAAAATGGATCCCTACTTAAATTTTAAGTACATATCTATCAGTCAGAGGTCTGACATAAACAAGTCAGAATCATCTGACTTCCATAGGTCAGAAATAAACAATGATTTTATTCAAATAAGCGTTAAAAAATATTAAATATATCAACAACATCCAAACTAGATGCAATTCCCCATACTGGGTACATAGAAAATGTAGGTTTCACACTGACTGTAGTGTGTGTAAAAAATAATTACTAGTATTAATGTTGATGCATCAGCATTTACACATCAATATTTCCAGTCAGATATGCCCAAAGTCAATACAAACAGTATACTAGACACCATTCATTGTTGAGGAACCCCAAGGGTGAATGGGGAATATAAATATGATGACATTGTTTTCTTCTTCCCATTGTCAAAGAAACCCTTGCCAAATTGGGGTGTCCATTTGGTTGGTTGGTTGGTTGGGGGGGGGGGTGTATAAATTCACATCACTTCCATTCAGAATGGGGACGTTAAATCTGATAGCTTGTGAAAAGAGAGTGCAACGCTTTCTGCACATTAAGAACCCTTGCAACAACTCTTTGATGTGTCAGTTTGTGGCCTGATGAAAAGCTTAATTTCTGGCATTTTCCAATATACCCTAAATTTCCATTGGCATACCAAATTTCCATTCCAGTCAACCCCTTTTACAGGACTTACCTATTGTTAATTTGTTCTTGTCCTGAACATGCACGAAATATTTGCCACTGGATTTGATTTGATTTGATTTTTGGTGTTTTAACGCCACTTTTAAGCACCGCTTTTGGGCTCTTTCGTGGCGGCCAGTTTTTATTGGTGGAGGAAGCCGGAGTGCCCGGAGAAAACCACCGACCTTCGATAGGAAAACTGACAATCCTAGTCAATTAAGATTGGAGTCGTGTGCACCCGCACGAGCGGGTTCGAACTCACAACCTAGTTGACTGGCTAGTGATTACAGTAGTTACTACTTAGACCACTCGGCCACCGAGGCCCCTATTTGCCACTGGACATTAAGCAACTACCAACCAATCAATCAATCATTGTTGAAGAAACAACACTCATGATATTATATGCTAAAATGGATTAAAACATTCTTTCAGTGCAAATGTCTATACCAGTTAATCAATATTTTCCAATTTAAGTTACAAAGAGGGGTAGGGGTGGTCTTGGAAAACTCTATGTGAATTAAGTTTTTTATCCTACATTGAAATTATAGGGAATTTCAAGGTCCACTGAACAAGGAAAATATTGGTGCAAGTGGAGTATGAGTTTGGTGATATTCGGACACATATTCTTGTTTAAGTTCTGAGTCATGCATGAATTGGATAAAATATAAGAAAGAGTTAATGTAAGAATAGCTCCATAAGAAAGAGTTATTAATCTAAGAATAGCTCCAAAGTCAGCCAGAACATATGTAAGTGTAGTTAAGATTTCTGATTTTCATCTTTACTATACCATTTAGATAGTACATGTATCTAACTCGATTAAGTTGTAAGAGGTGATTAAAAAGTAAAACTATAGTAAAATGTTCCACAAATGGACAAGGGTCATCTAAGCTCAAGGTCACACAATTTACATTGTCAGAATCCTGAACATTATAAGTTATCAGTATATGTCATCAGTTATCAAGTAATAGATAGGTGTAAATGTGTACAAAATCAGATAGGGGAGTAGTGTACAAATAAAAGATAACAATTGTCATATAGATTAAATTCATGAATTTTTATTGATGCCTCTATTTATTAACTTTAGGGGCCTCGGTGGCCGAGTGGTCTAAGTAGTTACTACTGTAATCACTAGCCAGTCAACACTGAGGTTGTGAGTTCGAACCCCGCTCGTGCGGGTGCACTCGACTCCAATCTTAATTGACTAGGATTGCCAGTTTTCCTATCGAAGGTCGGTGGGTTTCTCCGGGCACTCCGGCTTCCTCCACCAATAAAAACTGGCCGCCACGAAATAGCCCAAAAGCGGTGCTTAAAAGTGGCGTTAAAACACCAAAAATCAAAAAAAAAAAAAATTTATTAACTTTATGGATTATTTGAATGTAGTTGTGAGTTGTTGGTTTCTTAAGGTTTGAAGATGTAGCATGTTTTTATGCTTTGTACTTTGAGAATAGGTTGTGTTCTGTTTTCTCCACATTTTCAAATGATTTTACTTTAAAAGACTGTCATAAAATTGTGAAGACTAATGACAAAACCTGTTTACCATTTCCTAGGCAGATATATGACCATTGCTTTTTATTGGTCCAATGACTTGACTAAACAGGCTATCCTTTACCAAGGGGGCATTGATTTTTATTCGTTTAATTACTTGACTTAGTCTGCTATCCTCTACCAAGGCAGAGATATGACTTTTGCTTTGTATTCGTTCAATGACTTGACTAAGCCTACCATCCTTTACCAAAGCAGAGATATGACCATTGCTTTTTATTCATTCAATGACTTGACTAAGCCTGCTATCCTTTACTAATGCAGAGATATGACCATTGCTTTTTATTTGTTCAATGACTTGACTTAACCTACTATCCTTTACCAAGGCAGAGAATGCTATGATTTGATATGTTATGTTTTTGCCAGTGATTTCTGAATAAACTATGTTTAATCAGACTGGTTTAATAACACTCAGTCTGGTGTTTAGAACATTTTCTTGATTTAATTATTAGAACGAGTTATTATACCCAAGGGTATAATATTTTTGACCCGTCCGTCCATCAAGTCTGTCAGTCGGTCCGGCAGTCCGTCCGTCCAGCTGTCTGTCTGTCCGTCCGTCCGTCCGTCAGTCCTGTTCTTGTCATCTCAACTCCTCTGAAACCACACAACAGAATTTTATGAAACATTATATAGATAATAAGGACATACTATGTAGATGTGCATATCGACAGAAAATTATTATTCAACTTTTATTCAAGGAGTTATGCCCCTTTGGCCTAAATATTCTACTGCAACAGTTTGTCATTGCAACTCCTCTGAAACTAAACAACAGAATTTTATGAAACTTTGTAGATAATAGGGACATAATATGTAGATCTGCATTTCCACAAGAAATTTTTATCATTTGACTTTATTAGAATTTTGAGTCTTTTAACTTAGGAATCTAGTGAGATTTTGTTTGCCCAGTAACAATGTGGGGGTGTGGGGTATGTGAGTGTGCTCACATAGGTTCTTTAATTTTAGAAAAGGAGAGATTTAAAAAATTTTAGGAATATACATTCGATTTATTTTCATCTATTTTAGACATAGGAAATTAAGAGCTCAACTTATTGTATAGACACCTGGCTATATGGAGCTACCATTTGATTTTTATGAGGGGGGGGGGAGGGGGCTAGGATGAAATTTGAAAAAAAGGCAGGACAGGAGTTTTGAGTAAAAAAAAAGAGGCAGGATGAGCAACTTTGCAACAAAAAACAGGCGAGATGACAATTGACAGGACCGAATAGAGTGAAAAATAAAAAGGCAGAACAGAGATTACAACTAAAAAAAAATGAAGGACAAAATTTTTCATCCTAGACCCCCCCATAGAAATCAAATGGTAGCTCCCTTTACATGTCTTGTTTTCTTTTGTTTTGTTGCTATCTCAAAATGCCAATAAAAATAAGGAGTCATAGAAAGTTTAAGGTGTATTTGTTCTAAGCAAATTTGTAAAAATTCAAAACAGCACAAAATGATCTCTTTCTCTCAATTAAATGACCCACATATGACCAATCATTGTTGACATTTACCTTATCAAATAATTCCAAGTATTAGCTGATTCTGTAGTATATGCTGCAGTGATTGACACAACAACAGATGCTATATATAGGTACAACATGACTAATGTTATCTAAATGTAAAGTGACTGCTGTTTTGTATTTTACAGGTACCAATATCATTTGTAGACCGAGTGTACGGAACATCTAAGCTTGGTGGATCTGAAGTGTTTTTCTTTCTTAAAGGACTCTTATATTTATTTGCTACAACTTAATCTAATAAAAATACTATTTATTCATTGTTATTTTTAAACTCCATGCTACAATGTTCAGTAGGGTATAATGTTTTTGACCCATCCGTCCGTCCCTCAGTCCATCAGTCCTGTTCTTGTCATTGCAACACCTATGAAACCACACCACAGAATTTCACAAAACTTTGTAGATAACAAGTGCATACTATGTAGATGTGCATATCGACAGGAAATAATGATTCATTTTTTTTTATAGGAGTAATGCCCCTTTGAAAATTAGAATTGTGGCCTTAATAAACTACTGCAACAGTTTGTCATCGCAACTCCTCTGAATCCACACAACAGAATTTCATGAAACTTTAATATAATGAGAACATACTATGTAGATGTGCATATCGACAGGAAATTATGATTTGATTTTTTTTCTAGAAATTATGCCAATTTGAACTTAGAATTTTGGCCTAAATATACTACTGCAACAGCTTGTCATCACAACTCCTCTGAAACCACACAACAAAATTTCATGAAACATTGTAGATAACAAGGACATACTATGCAGATGTGTATATCGACAGGAATGATGATTCAATTTTTTTCTAGCAGTAATGCCCATTTGAACTTAAAATTTTGGCCTTAATAAACTACTGCAACAGTTTGTCATCGCAACTCCTCTGAATCCACACAACAGAATTTCATGAAACTTTGTAAATAATTAGGACATACTATGTAAATGTGCATTTCCACAAGAAATTTTTATCAGTTGACTTCTGTAGCAGTTATGACATGGACTTTGTTATATCTGCAAAATACAGTTCATATTTGCAACTGCTTTAATCCAGAATAGGAATTTATTATACCACACAGAACAAAGTTCTGTAGGGTTTAATGATTTTGACCCTTCCATCAGTCCGTCTGTCAGTCCTGTTCTCGTCATCTCAACTACTCTTAAACCAAATAACAGAATTTAATGAAACTTTGTAGATGATAAGGACATACAATGTAAATGTGCATATTGACAGGAAAATATGATTCCATTTTTTTCTAGGAGTATAAATGCCCCTGTAAACTTACTAAATATACTACTGCAACAGTTTGACATCGCAACTCCTCTGAATCCACAAAACAGAATTCCATGAAACTTTGAAACTCGCTCAGAATCTTTACGGTAAAAAGCCATTTTGCACCTCCGGTTTTGATTTTCAATTAGAACTATTTTTGGGGTTTTCCTTTAAAAGTCATGGAATTTACCTTATCTGGAGGTTTGGTACCCATTTTGTATTTGCAACTCCTCCTAAGTCCTTATTAGAATTTATTGAAATGTTCTCAGAATCTTTATAATATATTGCTATTGTGCCCATCCTATTTCTTGTCTCGCCTGCCACAAAAGTCACAGTATGCGATACATAGGGATTACAATCAGGTGGCGGCATAAGCTATTTGTAGAAAGCTTTATATTACAGAGGGTACAAGACCAGGATGCTTCATATATTGTCATGAACCCCTATGTATTGGTAACAAAATTTCTGTGTGCCATACGTCCATTGTCTTTGACCTCATTTTCCAAGTTCAGGGACTCCTTAAAAGAATGTTTAGTTTTTTTGTCATGTGAATTTCTTACTTATTATGAGGATAAATATATTTGGTATATGGGTTCCTTGCAAGGTGGGTGTACGTGTCTGTCAGACAGGATTCAGCTGACCTCAATCTCAATCTCATTTCATGGATCAGTAATCAAGGTTAAAGTTACGTGATTAGGTCCGTTTCTCAAAACTATAAGCAGTAGGTAGGCTATATTTGGTGTATGGAATGATTGTAAGATGTACATGTCAGTCTGGCAGGTTTCATTTGACCTTGACCTCATTTTCATGGTTCATTGGTCAATGCAATGTTTTCATAGTTAAGTCTGTTTCTTAGTTACTATGAGCAATAAGTCAACTATTTGGTGTATGGAATGATTGTAAGGGGAACATGTCTGTCTTTCTGTTATCATCTGCCCATAAACTCATTTTCAAGTTTTATTGATCAATGTTAAGTTTCAGTACATTGGTCCTCCTCTAAGATACCATAAGCAATATATAAACTATATTTTGTGTATGGAATAATTGTAAGGTGTACATGTCTGCCCTGCAGGTTTCATCTGACCTTGACATCATTTTCATAGTTCATTAGTCAATGTTTAGTTTTCCTGGTTTAGTGTGCTTCTTAGATACTATAAGCAATATGTCAACATTATTTGGTGCATGGAATGACTGTAAGGTGTACAAGTCTATCTGACATGTATTATCTGACCTTGACCTCATTTTCATGGTTCATTAGTCAATGTTAAGTTTTTCTAGTTAAGTCTGTTTCTACGATACTATAAGTAATAGGTCAACAAATTTTGGTGTATGATGTATTTGTTAGGTGTACTTGTCTGTCTGGCTTTGTTTATCTGAACTTGACCTTATTGGTATTGGTCTTTGACAATGTCAAGTTTTTGTGATACTTGTAGTTAAACTTCATCTTTGAGACTTCAATTTATCAACATAAAATCAATCATGGTCTGTAAAGCAGGAAAGACATTTCAGCATGTGCACTTTTTTTTTAATAAATTATAGACTCTGCCATTGCTTTATGTTGCAGCAGTTGGTATCATTTTGTGAGCTTTTCTCTCAGTACCTCTAGTTCCAGTACTGATGTAGTAAAACTTCCATAGACAAGAAATTTGTGCTTAAAAGTCATGTGTTTAGAAAAAAACCTTAAAGCTTAGACTGCACATTGATGGATGGTTCTTGGAATGCCAGATATTATTGATGAAAAAACAAGACATGATTGCAACAGGATGATGTTACCAAGTCTCTTAAGTGCAGTCCCTATAAATGAATCACCCTAAATATCATTGAATTTATCTTGACCTGACAAATAAGAAAATATATGGTTTAGGGTTGGCGATCTCAACCATTTACAAGATATTTGAACATTATCAAATGGCAGGGTAAGGGATGACCCCCCTGGATTTCATTCTTGATATAACAAACAACAAAATATACAGTTTAGGGTTGAGGATCTCAACCATTTACAAGATATTTAAACATTCTCAAATGGCAGGGTGTGGGAATGAGCCCTAGAGACCAACCCAATTTATTATTCAATTCATCTTGCCATATCAAATAAGAAACTGTATGTTTTGGGTGGGGATCCACCGTTTTCAATGTATTAATTTACAGGGGTTGGGGATAACCACTTAGTACTTTCCTATCTTTCATTCAATTCATCTTAACATGACAAACAAGAAAATATACGGTTTAGGGAGTGGGGATACAAAGATATTTGAACTGTCTCAAATTGCAGCTTTGGGATGACCCCCTTGGGACTCGCCTTCTATATCATTTAATTCATCTTGCTAAGACCAGAAGATATATGGTATTGGAGTTGAGATCTAAACAATAAGCATAATATTTGAACATTCTCAAATGACAGGGCGTGGGGATGTCCACTGGGGACTCACCCTATACATCATTCAATGCATCTTGACATGTTTAACAAAAATATATGATTTGGGGCGGGGACCTCAACCATATGCAAGATATTTCAATATTCTCAAATAGCAGGAGGTGGGGATTACCTCTGGAAACTTGCCTTATATTTCATTTGATATATCTTTTTATGTAGAACATTTTCCAATCGTTAGATTCTCCCACAGGCATTTAAAGTATGGAGGTAAAAAAAAAATTCAGAGACAAATAAAGTAAATAGTTTTTTTTCAGAGACAAATGCCTATGGATTCTCCTTATCATTTACAGTTTTTTCTGTAATCTGGAAAATAATGTTCAAGGTCAAGGTCAAAGGTGATCATTGACTTTTGATAATTAAGTAGATATACAATCCCATGATCATTACTGACGACTTAATTTATCTATTACTTACTGTTCTCAAGTTATCAAATTATAACCATTTAAACATGTAAAATAAAAAAACACATAGGTTTTTATAGTAGACCCCGCCACCCCTTGTGATTCTTCAAACCCCCCCCCCCCCCCAACAAAATCCCAAAAGCGTACTTCAAGTAATCACTTCATAATTCTATATTTTACATTAATTTTAGCAGCTGTGTTCTTGACCTGGGAAATAAATTATGGGATCCTTTCCCTTTTCCATCATTATAACCCCTCCCCCCCCCCCCCCCAAAAAAAAAATAAGTATCAGCGACCTTACTTGACCTATAGGTATTAAGATCAATATTCTTCTTCCCTTTCCTATATATTCTATCGTTATAAAATTCATTCCAATTACGAAAAACGAAACTCCATGTTTCAACTAGGGAGACATTTGTTTAAAAGTTCACTTTGTTAACAGCGACCTTGAACTTTGATGTTGATGGATTTTGGATGGCTATTACGTCCAGTGGAAAGTAAATGAACCCAAACTCCCAATTGTACCGATCTACACTTATACATTTGCAGTTTGAACATTGATGAGGATCCATGAAAACTAAATAATTCTTGTTGCGGACACTGTATTTTTCTGTTCAATTTATAGCTTTCTGTACAAATTCTGGATATCAGAAAAAGGATTACTTTTAATATATAATCTGCTTTCCGCGCTACGCTATCTACTTTTGATAAGGATTAATTGTCTGAAATGACTCCCTTTTCTTTGTGGTTTAAGATAGATTTATTCATTGGTATAATATTAATATGGGGTCATATGGCCCAGTCTATTTAATAAAGTTTTATCAAATTCCCTATTACATAATATAGTATTTTAACGCTCTTAAAGTTGTTCAAGTAGACAGGACACCTGCACATCATTTTTATTATTCATTAAACCTCATTAACTGATAACTTTTCACAAGCCAGTTAAATTTGTTTAAAACAGGAAAATAATCGCATATACTATCGTTATTATTGTGATTTTAAAAATTTCTTTATAAATTGCATTATTACTTTGCTTTGTTTTAATCAAAATCATTTATAATTTATATATTCTTATTATTTTTTAGATTAAATTTTCTGCATCACACTTTAACATAGTACCCTTACAAAAATATGTGACTGTAAAACCTGTTGCTTCATTATTCCCTTGCCTAACGAAGTTGGGTAGGGGATAGGGCATTTTGTGTCTGTTAAGGTCGAGATCTGAGCAAGGACAAATCATAGAGAAATGATCTGTTGTCGGTTGATGTATCATGTTTAGTGATGAAGGTCTACATTAACCTTTAGGTGACCTTGGCCTTTATATTAAGCATGATTGAATGTCTTTGCATTAAGGTCAAGATCAAAGCAGCTTCAAATAATAGAAAGATGATCTTTATCTTCGTCAGTTGAAACATGAAGTTTCTCACTAAAATTAGATAACCTTTACCAAGACTTTACACATTAATGGCTTAAGTTACGTTTTGCCACAATTTTGTATAAAGGATTAAATAATGGTTAGAGGGTTAGCTGTCGTTTTAACTTTAACATGTCTTTAAGGCAGTTCTATATCTTTATAGATTTTTGTCGAGCCTGTGACATTTTGTCTATGAAGCGAGACATAGCGATCCTACATTCCGTCGGCGTCGTCGTCAACATTTAGGTTTAGTCTGCGATTATAAAAGTTTTTAAACATAAATAACTTTCTCGAACCTTCATGAACACAGAACACATCAATATGAACATGGTGAATTTTACGGCAGTTCATTTGTATCCCAAATATGCACATTCCTTCAAATTCTTCAATTTTAGTTACACCTTTAGCACATTACTTTGGAAACAGAACAGATAAATTCTTAAATTTTCCATCAAAGATAGGTGAAAAAAAATCGCCAAACTTAGCGAAGGTGTGAAAAATGCTATCTTTATTATTTTTCGTACATAAGAACTCTTCCTAACAGCTCTTGAGGATTTTGGATTGTTGTTTTGCACTTAGTTTAATTTGAAACGCCTCTTGAAAGACGATAAATTATACGCTAAAAACCGGAAAACTCCTCTCCAAATGAAGAAATAAAACTAGTTCATGGAAAAGTCATTATTATGTCACTCAATAGTACATGTATACCATGTTTATCATGTGATAAAATAAGGGGTCAAACTCTAAATGTAATTGTGTTGTTAAAAACTTATCAGTGCAATTAATAGTATCATAACTTGTGGGACTGTTATGATTAACTTTTGCAACGACGGATTTTTATAATTGTTTATTACTTTTGAAGGAATGCGCATATTTGGGATAAAAATGAACTGCCGTAAAATTCCCCTAATTATTTTGCTCATACTGATGTGTTCTGTGTTTAGTCTTTATATGATCTTTTTCAATCATGGACCACCCGAGGAAATTTTGAAAACAAACCTTAAAAAGACTGCTGGAAAAAGGGTAGCAGAGGATGAAGATGAGTTAACTGATTCGGAAATATCATGGAGAAAGTTCATAAAAGACAATAATTATGTTGCTATAGGAACCTTGTGGGATTCTTGTGGTGAGTATTGGAAATACTACGTTTTAACAGTTTAATTTATAAGACACAGACGGAAATATGGGAGGGAGAGTTTTTGAGCATTAAATTAAGGTGACAGTAGTTTAAATCTCTTAATTAGACTAGGAACAAACAACTTAAGGTAACAAACAAAAACTTCAGGGGATCGCATTAACTCCAAAAGATGCGAGACCGGGTGCGTCGACCAGGATTTGTGTTACAGTTATATGTCGGATTTCGCGAAAAACAACTAATTATATAAAAGATATTCAAAATATGCAACCTTTGCGGCCGGTGCCATGACGAGTATTAAAAGCGTTAAGTTTACAACAGAATGTTTTCTTCTATCAGATCGGTAAATAATATAATTTCCCCAGCGTAGACATTGTACATAAACGTAATTTTTTTCAATATTAGAGAATTTAAGGCATTTTATTCCCTTTTTTTTGTAAATTATGAAAACATAAACGGTGTCTTGCATAAATCATAACAGTAGTATCAGACTAGAAGGTCACAACCATAAAAATATGCATGGATACCATTTCAAGCTGACTGTCTAGATACCAGTTTTCATGTATTACAATTTTTGTCTCACTCATAACTTTCTTTTATTACAGATGGAGACAAAGATACTATTGGAAAAGTTATTTTATTGCCAGATAAACAAACAGGAGGAATCAAATCTCGAACTTTTGTGAATGTAACTTTTGGTAAGGTTATAAACTGTTACGCTAAGTGTCGTTATCAAAAAGAATGACATTGAGTAAATATGTATATGCACAATGGGATACAACAAACATTGTGAAATATCATTTATAGTACATGCACAGCCACAAAAGCGAAAAAATAGTGTAAAATAACACTAAAAGTACATGCTCAACTGCAAATGCCACCAAAAAACGGTGTAAAAATAACATTGATAGTAAAATAACATTAATAGTACATGCACAGCAGCAAAGGCTACCAAAAAACAGTGAAAATAACATTGATAGTACATGGTCAGCCGTAGAGCTACCATAAAACAGTGTAAAATAACATTGATGGTACATGTTCAGCCGCATAGGCTACCATAAAACAGTGTAAAATAACATTGATAGTACATGAACAGTCGCAAAGGCTACCAAAAAAACTGTGTAAAATAACATTGATAGTACATGCACAGCCACAAAGGCTACCAAAAAACAGTGTAAATTAACATTGAAAGTACATGCACAGCAGCAAAGGCTACCAAAAAACAGTGTTAAATAACATTGATAATACATGTTCAGTGGAGCAAAGGCTACCATAAAACAGTGTAAAATAACATTGATAGTACATGCACAGCCGCAAAGGCTACCATAAAACAGTGTAAAATAACATTGATAGTACATGCACAGCCGCAAAGGCTACCAAAAAAAACAGTGTAAAATAACATTGATAGTACATGCACAGCCGCAAAGGCTACCAAAAAACAATGTAAAATAACATTGATAGAACATGCATATCCGCAAAGGCTACCAAAAAAGCATTGCAAAATAACACTGATAGTACAACTGCACAGCCGCAAATATAACCAAACATAGTGTACAATAAACTGATAGTACATGCATAGTCGTAAAGGCTACAAAAAAAACAGTGTAAAATAACATTGATAGTACATGCACAGCCACAAAGGCTATCAAAACACAGTGTAAAATAACATTGATAGTACACGCACAGTCACAAAGGCTACAGCACAGAACACAACAAAAATATGCAAAGAAACACTGAAAATACATACACAACCACACAAAATACAACAAATCAAAACATAGCAAAAATCACGGGTATTACAATCTGAAAATTATTTGACACTCTACGACATTGTCCTTAAAATGAACTCATCATAGATACTAAGCTTAAAACTTTGTAAGCCGGACTACAAAAGCAAAAGACTTATCAGTGACGCTCGAATCAAATGCCAAATAAAGGACGAAGTTGAAGAGCATTGTGGACCCAAAATTCCAAAATGTTTTGCCAAATACAGCTAAGATAATCTCATTCTTGTGTAGAAAATCTTTGGTGTTTCGAAAAGTTCAAAGGTATGTAAACAATTTATTTATAATAATGACCATATCAATGATAATTCAACACAGGCTTACAATTTTGTACGCCAGACACGTCTACAAAAGACTCACCAGCGACGCTCGAATCAAAAAACTTAAAAAGGCCAACTAAAGTACGAAGTTGAAGAGCATTGGGTACCCATAATTCCGAAAGGTTTTGCCAAATTGCTAAAAGCCTATAGAAATCAAAATTCCGAAAGGTTATGTCAAAATGACTGAAAGCATCTAGAAACCCTGTTTTATTTGACATTGTCCTCTTAAGAAACTTTTTCTAAAATGATTTCAAATGAATGGAGGTATGCAAAGCCTGTTTAATGACCTTTTACTAATACACTTTAGGTAAATCGTTCAGATGGTTTTTTTTATCGCTATCTAATCTGTATCTCTATCAATACTGACATAATCTATGTTTTAACTTAATATTCGTTTGATGGAAGGACAATGATAAAAAGGGATTATCTGGATGTTTAAAAGTTAGCCAGCTTAAATTAGGGCATGACAGGCATTTTTCAATAAAAGAACTATTCGTGATATTGAGAGAAATATCACATTATTCACTTTACAGTTACTGTAATGTAAATATAGATGATGAAAAAAGAAGCGTTTTTCCTCAGGAACGCCCAAACTAAACCATTTAAAAGTCAGGGATGTATAAATACGTAGAAACTTTAGGAGCTGTATGACCAAAGAGACCTCTAAAGAAGAGCAAAATCTATCTAAGGTCAATTTGCCTGAGGAAGTTGGAACCTTCGTACAAGTTTTTTTTACCATCCCGTGACTCACCCTTTCCCCAAAATCATGGCAGTAAACATCAAACGTACTGGTACTCATCAATGAGACACTAGTAGCAGTTCATATACAACGGTTTACCACGCATCACGTCTGCTCACCATACGCCTTCATTGATGTACAAGAATCAGGTATATATATGCCTTAAAGTCAAAATTACCATATTCTAACTGTATTGCAGCTAGTGGAAAATGGATGAGACTGTTCAACTCATTAATTTCACCTATAATGGCTTATGGATCTGAAATTTGGATCTCAGATTTTAATATTAACCTAGACACTGTAGATAAACTTCCATTTGAAAAGGTTCAGAATATGATTATTAAAAATATTCTTTGTGTCCATTATAAGGCTTCCTATCTAGCTTTAGGTACAGAACTGGAGCTTTATCCATTATAATATTCTTTGTGTCCATAGTAAGGCTTCCTATCTAGCTTTTGGTACAGAACTGGAGCTTTATCCATTATAATATTCTTTGTGTCCATAGTAAGGCTTCCTATCTAGCTTTAGGTACAGAACTGGAGCTTTATCCATTATAATATTCTTTGTGTCCATAGTAAGGCTTCCTATCTAGCTTTAGGTACAGAACTGGAGCTTTATCCATTATAATATTCTTTGTGTCCATAGTAAGGCTTCCTATCTAGCTTTAGGTACAGAACTGGAGCTTTATCCATTATAATATTCTTTGTGTCCATTATAAGGCTTCCTATCTAGCTTTAGGTACAGAACTGGAGCTTTATCCATTATAATATTCTTTGTGTCCATAGTAAGGCTTCCTATCTAGCTTTAGGTACAGAACTGGAGCTTTATCCATTATAATATTCTTTGTGTCCATAGTAAGGCTTCCTATCTAGCTTTTGGTACAGAACTGGAGCTTTATCCATTATAATATTCTTTGTGTCCATAGTAAGGCTTCCTATCTAGCTTTAGGTACAGAACTGGAGCTTTATCCATTATAATATTCTTTGTGTCCATAGTAAGGCTTCCTATCTAGCTTTTGGTACAGAACTGGAGCTTTATCCATTATAACATTATTTGTGTCAATGGTAAGGCTTCCTATCTAGCTTTACATACAGAACTGGAGCTTTATCCATTATAATATTCTCTGTGTCAATGGTAAGGCTTCCTATCTAGCTTTAGGTACAGAACTGGAGCTTTATCTATTATATTCTATCATATAAATTACTGTTTAAATATTATGTTAGATCAACTGACATTGAAGTTGGTAACAACAAACAAATTGATCTATTAAGGTCTGCATTCATAGAAGATAAACAATTTGTATTCACAGAAAAGCCCATGCTGGCTATAATAATTATATAAACTAAAAAAGTTACTTAATTTGGGTTCACTTCAAGTATCATATATTTGCAGTTTGTTTGAGGATTCACTTCAAAAGTTTTTTTAAATGCAAGATATTAAATCAACTTTAGCATATTAAATCTAATAACACAGGTAAACACAGATTTTGTAGTAAAATTTGCTCATCATTTGATTTAAACGCTTACCTAAGCTTTGATATGCCAAAATTTGAGAGATCACTTCTCACAAAAATTAGAATTAGTGCACATTCACTTGCCATTGAAACTGGGAGATACAGTAAACCAAAAACTTTAGCAACTGAAAGATTCTGCAAATCTTGCGGAGATAAAATAGAAGGTGAAGTGCACTTCCTTTTATGTTGTCCCCTATATAAAAACCTTCAAGAGAAGTTTAGTATTTTCCAAAATTTGATGAAACTAAAGATGATGATAGCAAATCAGAAATATATTTATTTAATCCAAATAATTTGGTTAATGCCAAACAAATATGTAATTATTTGAGACAAGCTTTTGTGTCAGTTGGTCTATCATAAGTAATGGAAGTACTATACAAAAAAATAGAATCATTCGTTGTCATTAACTTTCTCTTATTCATTATGTTTTAATTACAGTATTTGTCATGTTGTATATGTCATGTATATTGTACACTTGGATTACGCAATGTCGTATTTATCATATGTGCTTAATCCAATAAAATATTTGATTTGATTTGGTATATGCCAGCTCTAATCGGCCCTTGTCTTGATACATTGTGAATGAATAAAACGCCGAAGATGTGACACCAGAATAAAATAACCAGTTCACCAAAAGCAACAAGACAGGTGAATAGATAAAAAAAAATCAGACGTTTACAAACAGAGGTATGTCAATGGTAACGGTTCTCTGTCGCCCTCTCTCCTTTTTTCATTCACACCAAAACCTTATAAACGCTGAATGATATGTTATCTATTTATTTTACAGAGGAGGAATATAATGGAGGAGAGCTAGGTATATCAGTGAAGTATAATGGTAAGGACCTTTATGACAACAAATGGGACTTCTGTAGCATTGATGAGAACGAGGAAGAAGAGGACAGACAAGTATTCTGTCCATACAAACCCGGATATCACGCGTGGATCACGGATAGAAAGGTTCCCAAATATCTACCAAAGGTAAAACATTTGAAAGGTTAAACGTATATTCAGGTCATTGGTTGATATCTTATTAGGTTTTATCGCATACATATTGATAACTAAAAAGAAAATAGATACGCATATTATATCCAGTCGTTTTTTTATGCCCCCGCCGTCACCAGAGGGAGCATTAAGTGTTACCCTTGTCCGTACGTCCCAAAATTAACAGTCTCTAACTTTAGTTTTCCTCAACTAATGTTATGAAACTTATACACAATGCTTATTACTACAAAATACAAATCAAGTTCGAACTTGAGTGGCGTCACTTTATAACGTTATATGCAAGCGGGGGCATCATCTGTGTCCAATGGACACACTGTCCATTTTTTTTAGATTCCCTACACGTTGCTCAAAAATTACAAACAAAAATGGAACTACTAATTACAATTTGTAATCATTCAAAACATGACAACATAAAAGCAAGATAGCCTAAACAATCTAGTAAAAATAAAGAGATGTGGTATGATTGCAAATGAGACAAGTACTATAAGATCAACCAGAACCCAAAGAGGTAAACAACTATAGGGCACTGTACGACCTTCAACAATGAGCAAAACCCATACCGTATGTTAAGCTATGAAAGGCCCCGGCAAGACAAAATGTGAAACCTATGTTAACTTGATCTAAGGAATCGTTCATAGTATTAAATTTGTATTACTCCTTCGAGTGTATTCGAGTTTAGACTTTTCTGCTTGGGGTAGTTTTGGTTTGGATGTTCGCGCATGTTTTATTTATTTAATCTCTAGCGTACCTGAGGCCGGATGCTGAAAAAAAAACATGCACGTTAAATTACTGTCATTAATACTAGGTACGCAAATAATTGTACTATATTGAAGGTGACAACTCGATTAGACAATTCAAATCTACCTTTGGCTATTTGAGTAGCTTTATTTGGGTCCTTTTAGCATTTGATGTTCTTAAATGGTATTACAGAAACACATGTCTTTCCAGAAACACATGTCTTTCCAGAAACACATGTCTTTCCAGAAACACATGTCTTAAGCACAGAAATCGATAACAGAATAGGATGGTAAATGACCCATCGTTAGCCTTACGACTGTTATTTGCCAAACAACAGAAAACGTAAAAACAATCTATCAACAATTATACATATTTTACAAAGGTCAACTGTAGTAGGCTTCTGGAGTTTCTAACTAGAGAAACACGTGTTATAGATTGTTAGTCGAAGATTATATGTGTGTATTATAAGACTATGAATCGTGAGGCGTTGAGTAGTGGTGTTGCAGTAGGACAACTTTGGACATTGTGATTTACCAATACCAAACATATATATAGGAATATACATAATTCTACGCCTAACGAACCTCAGTGAGACCATATATGAACTTGAGCATTATTTTCAATACGTCCGCGTCAAATTACCATCGTACAGTACTAAAGCTTATAAAATAAGAAGATGTGGTATGATTGCCAATGTGACGACTCCCCACTAAAAGAAGTTTTATAGGTCACCTTACGGTACTATATACATATATATGATAGTGCTGTATTTAGACCCCTCTAATAAGAAATTTGTTTTTCATGCACACGTATAAAAATTGCGGTTTTTATCCAACGCAATCATAGGTTTGAACGTTGTTTTCAATTTAGACTTGTTTATATTTTTTCGTTTGGGCTTGTATTATATTTGCCTTCGGGTTTATATGATCCGTTCATCCTTTTTCGACTCTTTCAAAATTCAAGAGTCTATCCTAAATTGAGGTAAATTATATGGCCTTCCAAATACCATTTCGATTCCTAACATCACTGAAGAGACATTAATTGTCGAAATCCGGATATGGTGTACAAATTTTTGCACCTCATGTTTGCGATATACCATCTTTTCCGCAAGTTTATTGTTTTCTGTTTGGTAATAAATTAATAATAAGATCCATTTTTTTACAATCGCCAATGGCAGTCAGCAGGGTTTAAGAACATCAGTTGTTCGGCCTGTTAGTCAAATGCGTTTTGTTTAAATATACTTTTTCACTTTTTGGTCTTTTGGAAAATGTTGTTTGTGCTGTATTTAGACCCCTCTACCAAGAAATTTGTTTTGCATGCACACGTATAAAAATTGCGGTTTTTATCAAACGCAATCATAGGTTTGGACGTTGTTTTCAATTTAGACTTATATATATGATAGTATACACTATCATGGACAATCGAAAGTTTCTTATACAATTTATACCAAATAAAAACGTAACTTCTGATGTACAACTTATAAGATATTTTCGTTATCATCATTTTGTGATTCTTTTTTAGGGCACATATTTCTCGAAGACCTGGTTAACAGATGGGGACGGGGAACTCGTTGCCTGTGGATTCTCAGAATTTGTACTATAGTGACATATTATAGTGCTGGTTTTTATGAGATCTGAAGAATAGTTTTATATTAATAAAATCAAACATTTCGTTATTGAGCATGAGCGAATCAGAAAAATTGGATGAATATGATATGGACAAGTGCCAGTTTTTTTTTATATTAAGTTATTGGATCGATTCTCAAAGTTGTATTTGTTCAATTATAGACTTACAGAGTTGAAAATTATTGTGATATTTTGTACAGATTTTATTTTAACTTTCACGTGAGTTTGAATGGAATATATTTCGGTTTGATCAAGGATTTTTATAGTGAGACTATACAAATCCTTGGTTTGATTTAGGATAATTTGAACAAGCGCCAAGTTTATCAAAGACGAGTTAGACCTGTGTAAATTACAATACACGTACATACTTAAAACTTAAGTGGAAAGTAACATACATCTATGATATGGTGTCAATAAAAGTATTAGTGTACTGAAGTAATGTCCTTAAAGATGTGCACGTGGATAAGTGAATTTGTACATTTAATGAATTGATAATGACCTTGGATATGCCATACCATAAATATATAATATTATTTGTCATCTTAGCATTGTAACATACTACATAAATATTTATTGAGACTATCTTTATAAGTCTTGTTATAGCAACGCAATTTCAAATGTTAATATTAATCATTAAAATATGTTACTTTAACACCGGGCTTGTCACTTATATTTTGCGCCCGACATTAAATGTTTTACTTATTGATTCATAAGTCCATCTTAACAGTTGTGCACACATTTTCAGCTGACCTGACCCGAAGGGTAAAGTGAGCTGTTCTCGTCACTTGGCGTCCGTCGTCTTGTCGTTTTCCGTCTGTTAACTTTTTTCCGCCCGACAACCAACATGTGGCCGACATGCCTAGCAGTAGAACACATGGTAAAATGCAAGTTTTGCCTATTATCTTAAAAACCGCTATAGATAGAGAAGCATCTGACCGGTGGGTGGGGGGGGGGGGGGGATGTTGTTAATAATAACACCAATCTACCTACTGTCCTTTACATCAACACTAGCAAACGACTTTTTATAAAGAGTAACTGTCCTCGAATGATGATTTTTGCCCATTTTTGTGTTTTTGGCAAAACATATAGTAGGTTAAGTGAAACTAAACAGACAAAATGATCATAAATACCAGATCAACAAAAAAATAGATTTATACCTCATCATCTTATTTTCATATTAAGTCATGAATTATATGATCATGATTATATTAGGAAAAACAAAGGATATGGGGTTTCCATCCATGACACAAAATCAGTGCATGCACAGCAAAATACACACAAAAAGTATAGTCTGCAATGTTTGCGAGTTGCCATTGTTGAAGGTGCACTTAAATCCAGGTTAGGCGACACAGGCTCTTTATAACCTCTAGTTAATTATTCCCATCCCACCCAGTATGCAATGATTGTTATATCTGTTTGTTTATTCGTTCGTCAATCTCCACTTTGAAACCCTGGGTCATAAAATCGATGATGTTCGGTTTCTTTTGTAAATCTTTTCTTATCAAAATAAATTTCCAAAACATTTTCGCAATCAATGTATATTTGAAATGTGGTGGATATCTTGTACCCATACCTTCTCCTAAACCACTGACTCAATTTCAAGGAATAATCTACAGAATGGTATACACCTAATGACATCGCGACAGTCTTGGTGTTGATTTATATATTTTTTTAACATTTCCTTATATCAGAATGATTTTTTCGTTTTCAGAATCTGAGAAATTAAAAAAAAAACATTCAAAAGGAACCTTTTTATTCAAACAATGAACAGCGAGGTATCAAATAAATACCACATTGTAAGATAACTTCATCTTCTTGGGGGCCGAGTGGTCTTAGTAGTTACTACTGTTATCACTAGCCAGTCAACACTGCGCTCGTGCGGGTGCACTCGACTCCAATCTTAATTGACTAGGATTGTCAGTTTTCTTATCGAAGGTCGGTTGTTTTCTCCGGGCACTCCGGCTTCCTCCACAATAAAAACTGGCCGCCAGGAAATAGCCTAAAAGCGGTGCTTAAAAGTGGCGTTAAAACACAAAAAAAAAGAATCATCTTCTTGACAGTTATACTATAGCTTACAGTGCACGCTGGTTCTTTGTTATTCTTTAGATGTCACCTTTGTTTTTCATCTCACGAGATAATTAATTTTAACTACTACTTCCCACTTTAGGGTAGAGTTCAGCGCTCATAAACATTCTTAATTTGTAAATTTGTAATGCATATCTGCCATAAAAACAGATTACTGTACTTAGTTTATATATATATACGACTTTCAACATCCTGTCATAATAAATGATGAAAGGTCAAATGTCAACTTTTTTTGCAACCTTGTTATTTTCATATGAAAGTATTGTCGTTTAATGCAACACTATATATATCACAAACATGCATGCATAAAATGTTTAGTAGTCATAACGAATGCGTAATGCAGACATTATAGGATTTGGGATTAAGGACAATACTTAACACTGTCTGATAACAAAATTGTAGCTATACTTAGTGGGGAAAACTTCAATTTTGATCACAAATTTTTAAATCAAATTATCGCTCTAGGCGATAAGATAAAATTACCGTTATTTTTTAATAGTTTTAAAAACTTATTGGTTTCTCATAGATACTGCCGATTTAAATTGTATGAGGAAACTTCACAAAACCTGTGAGGAGTGTTGTTTCTAGTTATTTTTTTCTTTTCTTAAAGGGTGCAACCAACAGCTGTCACAGTGGCCAACTAGCTTCCTGTAAGTATTGGGAACATTTTTACCCTGCTTTCCAAATGATGTGCCATCTTTTGTTTCCTTGTTCGATTCAATGGTCATTCTGCTGGTGGTTGAACAGTGCAGGATTTTCATTATCTATTTTATTTTTACGACATATGTGTCCATGTTGTCAAAAATGAGAGATGTGTGCGCGTGTAGAACTGCCAGTTTGACCCAACCACACGTTGCACCTGTACCAGTCAAGTTATCTGGACCATATGTATAGTTAGTTGCATTTTGTTTGTACTTTATTTTGGCGTTGGAGTCGGAGAGTTGGTACTGTAATTGGTGTGGTCTTTTGTAGTCTCAAATGTTTTGTTGATTTCTGATATCCTTTTGATGTATTACTGAAACTGTTATCGCTTGGTACAGAGAAACTTTTAGCTATAAAATGAAACTATATACATGATTTAAATATAATATATCGCACTGTTTTATGTTCAAATATGACTCCATTTGTATCGTAGCTTCCAATTTTTACCACCTCGGTGGATTCATGGTAGCAGAATGACCTCAAGTGCGGGAGGCCTTGTGTTCGATCACCTGCACTGTGAGACCAGTCTTAAAATTTGTGTTATCTGCTTCTCCGATACGCTCTTGGCAATTAGTGGTAAGATTAAAGAAAGAAGATCTGTGATGCTTATAACTTAAAACTTGCAGCGTGGCACGATATATTTGAATTTTAATAAGATTTGGAGTCAGAATACTGTGTCTGTGTAGGGTGACATTGCTTTTTCTGTGGACTGTAACTTTGTGAAATCCGGCTCAGCAAGTCGATAAAGTACAAAAGCAGGGTTTATATTCATATCAAGTTAACATGTTCTTGTCCTGATATGTAACGAGTTTCTTGTAATTTAAATGTTAAGAAAATTATTGAACCAATGCATGCATATATACTAAAATAAGTCCTCTACATATGCACGCTTTTTACATTTATCACGAATCCATAACATATTATCGACAAATAGTAGTGCATTCAGTGATTGTTGATCGCAAGCTAATTGACTTTCGAGTTTGTTGCCGAAGTTTACCGGATAGTGGCATCGATCAACACAGAATCGTGGAGCTCGTGAAAAATAAGTGAATTGGTAGAGCGGTATTTTAATTTTTTTTTATATATTTTCCATGCGTTCCTAATTTTTAATTAAACTTTTTCATAACAGCTGTTAAATGAGTTGGGGTATTTATTTGTTCTTTAAGAATCAATTATTACTATTTACTTTCCAGTGCACGTTTGTCTTTCATCACGTTTTTTCCCTCGCACTTGCGCTGTACGATGGTCGATGTTCTAACGAGAGGTCTCGTAGTTAAGGTCACTGTATACTGAAAAACATAGGCGAATTAGAGTTCGGGACGGCAATCATTCAATAGCAGTACATTTCTGAAGATTTTGACTAGATAATGGATTTTCTTTTACAAGAAAGTTCACGTACACTTGTTTTATAAAAAAAAACTTAGCCATTCAAGTATATAAACCCTATTCAACCTTTTTTTACAAGTTGAAGTATCATATGACTTTAAGTACTTACGTGCATCGGAAGCACTCTAACTTCTAGATAAGTCTTTATCAAGAACACCCAGAGTCCGAAGTATATGGAAAGCCTAAGATATATAAACACATCTTAACCTCTTTATCGGATAAAATCTACACATTCATCGCATACTATTCATTGACTTGTAAAAGTATAAAACCAGAAATAAAGCTTTTTCAGAATAAAATAATACAAGGTCACACTTTCAAAGACTACATGTGCTTTCTTTATACTAATCCTTTGGAGGTGTACGGATTGGTAGATTTGTCTGGAAAAACATGGTTTATTCATAAGTTGCCATTGGCGGCAATGGCCTTTGAATTAGCTTTCAGTAACTGTGAGTACTCTTATACATCTCTTTTTTTTTTAATTTTGTCCTTTTGATATAACCGATCTTATAATTGTAAGTCAAAGCCTTTCCAACTGAGTTTTCAGTTTGTTTTATGTCGTGTATTAGACAAACCACTGTCCCAGGTTTTAACGGGGCTGACGTTAAACACTCATGAACATGATATACTCCATCACATTCGGTTATTGTGCCAAGCCAAGCCATGAATCCATAATACAGTGGTTGCTACTAACTGAAATTCTAGCAGACCACATCAACCAACAACACCGACTCCTTTGAAAACAGAATACAAACATACTTAGTAGGTGGGGTCTGTTATAGCTTGTTGTGCGGTATGGGTTTTGCTCATTGTCGAAGGCTGTACGGTGACCTATAATTGCTTAATTACTCTGGTACTACATGAAAATAGCTAAGGTTGCTACAGTTGTTGGTGTGATACTGCTGCCGCCTAAGAATGTAAAAAAAAAAATATCAGAAACTTCAAGGGGGACCCAGGGGTACAAACGTTAACAGTTATAACTCTCTATTGGGAGCCACCATCAAACATATATAAACTGAGAAAGACATCAATAGAAAATCAGCAAAGATATGGAATAATAATATATCAAGGCTCAAATCACCAAATGATTAAGCATAGAACAGAATAATAATATTTTTGGTGTTTTGGACAACTATGATGTTTGGGAAAGCATTATACAGAAGAAGTGGGATATAATCAACTACAAGTTACATATAGAACAAAAGACAGAGATTCAAAAGGAAACGCAAGAAAAAATAAGGGTGTCATTTGGAAGACCTGGCTAAAAAGACAGAACAAGCAGCCATTCTATGAGAGTTAAGTACTACATACAAAATCAACATCTACATAGAGCCACCAAGTATAGAAGAAGTAAGGAATGTCATTCATATCTGAAAACAGGCAAGGCAAAAATTCGATTCAATCCACCCAGATATGGTAAAGACAGATCAGGATGCATAGTTCAAGGTACTTTACATTCTTTTCCTCGTCATGTTATACCATCCGGGTAAAACAAAACTCTTATCAATTTCATTCGTCAGAAGCTCTTTTCTGGATCAATTAATCTTCATCAGGAAAGCTTAAAGTCGAATATTTGAAAGAAGAATGTATAGGAACCGAAACAGTAAACGTCGCATTGTGAAAATACCAAAGGAAAGGCTACCTACTTAATCGTGACATCAGGAGAGATATATCATTATATTTTGTCTCTATCAAAAGTGTACAGCGATTTTTTTTTTCTATTAACTAGAGATCAAAGGCAACCTTTAGAAGATGGAGATGATGCATTGATTAATTTTGCACTCTCTGGGACATCATTCATTGATTTAACTTTTGATAACATCTTTGATCATTGTAAGATTATATGAAATTCCAACACACATTTTGATGCAATTAAAGGCCTTTAACAACAGCTTTGACTGAAGTGTGTTCCTAGGAAGCTCCATCTCATATGAAGTAAAATCTGATGTAATACAGGAAGTGTTATGTCACTAACTACTTCGCTATTGACTGGATACCAAGCAAGATAACAGGTCAGCAGACAAGAGAACGGGTATCCAGTAGACCCAGTTAGAAGATTTGAATTTTGCTGCTGATCAACAAGTGAACATCTCCAAAGAGAAGACCAATATATTTAAAAACTATGATCTGAATGTTAAGACCAATGTAGTGAAAATAAACACCAGACATAAAACACCAATAATTATCAATCGGAGGTATTGTCACCAATTAATAGGCTGGATACAAAAGCTGCAGACAACGGCAGACAAGATAAGGGGATATTGAGCCTAACTAAGGTTGAAATGTCCAACTGCTGATTTTTACAATCAAAGTTAGAAATTCAAGATGCCAATCTACAGCAAAGAAAATTCATGTCACGTCATTATTTCCTATCCTAAATGTTGTTGAAATATATCATTCTGAAATATAAACATCAATCCATCCACTATTTAGACTACCTCATAGAGATAAATAAACTTTTGACAGAGAAATATCTCTATGTTACTTTGATAGTATACTGCATGGAAAATGGACACGGGATGTACCAACATTACCAATGCTTATACAACTGCATACCAAATATAATTGATTTCCCCTTAGTGGTTCCCCATAAAATGACCAGTCAACTTAACAGTAACATGCAAACTGCAAAGTTTCATAGTTGATGGACTATGACTGAGGGAGCAGGACCAAATAACCTCCATGGAAATATGATTTATAGTTCTTAGTGGTTCCTCTTGTGAGCACTGAAGGGTAAAGATTGCATTCATTTTGCAGAGGAAAATAAAAACTAATTATTGCAATGTATTAAGCATTGGAGGGCATTACTATGAATTGGAGATATATTTGTATATTTGTAGATGTTTTAACTACACTTATGTATAAAGGAAGATAACTCCAATTTTAAATATTACTTCAACAATTACTTCATTGATATTAATAGAACAGATACTGAATTCCTGCACCATACACAATTTATGTAATTTTGTAACTTGAGTATCTGAGTAAATGTCTCATTGATAAATTTCTAGGTAGGGTGTATAGAATGTTGTACTCAATGCCCTATGTTTTGTGTATATCAAAAGTAGTGATAAAATCTGGAAAATTGATAACTATCAACTAGCCACATAAGGGTTTTGATTACATAAATGCAATCCTTACCCCAAAAATTATTAATGTCACCACAGAAATAGCACACCTTACTCTCAGGCATCTGACTTAGTCACAGGACAGACAAAAAGTTATTTGACAACGTTAACATTAATTGCACCATACTTTATTATCATGATACAGGTTTAACAATTTAACACAATAAAATTTATACATTCAACACATTCATGTAAAAGTATAAAAGTTCCATAACGAAACATATTTCTAGTTTTCTATATATGTAATTAAGAATTAAGGTTCAAGTATTGCAGTTCTTGGCTAAAATCTTTGAAAATTAAAACATATATAGACTATCTGGGATATACAGTGACCATACAATATTTGAAGTATTAGTATTGTTGATCATTATTGTCCCTTACTTTAAAATAGTCAATGAAAATTTCATCTAAAAAAGGTGGTGTTTGTTTTTATAATTTTTTTCTGGCATAAAGCGTCTTCATAAAAGCAAAGCTATTTTCTTTTTTTTGTTTTAAAGTACTTTGTTTTAAAGTGCAAATTCATTTATTATCATACAACATTCACACATTATCACATATATAAACATATATACAGTACAGTTCGGCTTGTTCTATCAATGAAATCAGTCAATATAGTGGAAGAAAAGTAGAAAAGCAACGCTAAATTTGAAAACCAAAGTGGTATTGTACAAAACAGAAAATGGCTGCCCTATTTGTTTTAATACACAATAACTATTTGTATGGTGAAATTACAATTGTTTTTGATCAAACTTTCTTAATCTAATCATAAAGATTTGTATTTGTCAGTTTCTGTGCACTTTTTTTTCAAACAATTACATTCTTGAGTATGTCCCAAGTTTTTCTTAAAAATTCACAAAAAAAAATGTTTAAATAAAAACTGTTCATACTAGAAGCAGCAGAATGTCCAGAAAACACAATTAATACTGTTTTTCAGCAGCCAATTCTAAATAAATTAGGTTATAAACTTGTTGGTTTTATCATGTTTATAGCTGGTACTTGAAAAAGTTATACGAAAGCATCACATGTATCATGTTGTTCAGTTAAATAAATTATGTCACGAAATAGTAGCCTACATTGTATATGATATATAATGAAAAATACCCATAATACCTTATGATTCACTGGTAGTACATAAAACACCCTTGATCTAATAAAATTAAATAACAAAAATTCATGGCTAGTGTCATTTCTTATACATGTATTATACAGGTGGATCTGTCAAAAATAATCTAGCTTCACAATACCAAACACATTGATTCTAAAGTATGATCTGGTGAATTCGAATGCCTAGCACAATAGAATTAACACGGAAAAACCAATGTGAAACTTTCTTCATTTTATGTTACAGGTAGTATATATATATCAGGAAATTATTATTCTTAAAAATTATTCCAAAATGGGTAAATGACAACGTTCAATGTTACACTTTAGAAATACCAAATTTTTTTTGAAAAAGAGTTTTTACATGTTTCATAATTTTTGACATTTATTTCAAAATTGTCAATATTTGAATAACTGCAACAAAATATTTGACATTCCATTGAAAATCTCCCAAAAAGTAATTTTTCCAAAATTTTCACATTTAATTTATTATCGTTCCAGGAAGGTCCTTGGTTAAGTCATAAAATCAACATCCAAATGTATTTTCTCCACTATAAGCAATGTATAAGAAACCATCATCGTCTTTATGTTCTTCGTAAACTTGTCCCATGCTTGCACTGAAATGAAAGATAACAATATGAATAACAGTATAAGTAAATATGTTCTTCGTAAACTTGTCCCATGCTTGCACTGAAATGAAAGATAACAATATGAATAACAGTATAAGTAAACATGTTCTTCGTAAACTTGTCCCATGCTAACAATGAAATGAAAGATAACAATATGAATAACAGTATAAGTAAACATGTTCTTCGTAAACTTGTCCCATGCTAACAATGAAATAATAGATAACAATTTAAATAACAGTGTAAATTTAACATGTTCTTCATAAAAACTGGTCCCAAGCTTACACTTTTTACCCTTGCATTTTACTCCTATGTTCTACTTTAGGCCAAATCGGCCATGTTGAATTGCAGACCAGATTATTTGACAATTACTTTTCAACAAAGCACAGAAAAAATGATTGTTGCCAAGTTTGGTTCCAATCCACCCAGCAGTTTCAGAGGAGACATTTTTTGTAAAAGTTAATGGAGGTTAAGTGACGAAATAACTCGCTTAACCTTTAGGGTCAGGTGAGCTAAAAAAAAAAAAAGGAATTGATCAGAAACTGATTGTCAAACATAGTGTACCTGGATTGTGGCAAGACTTTGCCAACAAACAAGAAGATAGCTTTCTCCGATGGCAGTTGAATTCTTTTTCGGATAATCCACATAAACTGAGCTACAGAAATGTCATTAGGTACAAGGAATTTTCTTTTGTCTATATCTTGTATGTGAGACTTTGGATCTTTTTCTACTATCACCTAAAAATAGAAAAAATATAAATAAATGGATGTGTGTACAGGTAGCACAGGAAATTTGAAAATAAAAAATCAGCTTATCATGTGAAGGCATTTTAAAAACAAATAAATGTGGAATATGTCCATGGGACACAGATAATGCCCCCGATGGCATATCATATAAAATTATAAACTGACATAACTGAAGAACGGTGAAAGTGACCCTACCCAAATTTGAACTTGATCTGAGTTTTGTGGTAATAAGCCCTGTGTATAAGTTTCATAGCATTTGGTTGAGGCAAACTAAAGTTAGAGAACGGAAACAAAAAATTCAGCAATTTTTCCCTTTGTAAAGGGGCATTACTCTAGAACGGTTAAAGTGACACCACCAAAATTCACACTTGATCTGTATTTTGTGGTAATAAGCATTGTGTATAAGTTTCATAACATTTGGTTGAGGCAAACTAAAGTTAGAGAACGGAAACGAAATTCAGCAATTTTTCCCTTTGTAAAGGGGCATAACTCTAGAACGGTTAAAGTGACACCACCAAAACTCAAACCTGATTTGTATTTTGTGGTAATAAGCATTGTGTATAAGTTTCATTACATTTGGTTGAGGCAAACCAACTTTGGGACGTACGGACGGAGGCATAAAAATCAATAGCGCTGGGATGTGATTGGAAAAAGTTGTGGTCTGTTCAATAACACAGCATTTAAACAACTTGGGGAGAACACTGTACAGTGGGGTATATTTCAATGCGATAACAACCCAAATACTAACAAGCGTGCACACGCTGAAATGTCTCGCCTGTTTTACTTATCATTGAATTAATGTTGAAAGTTTGTAACATGAAGGTTTTACTATAAGTATCACATAAACCTAACATTATCAATGTTCTATGATAATGAGGTCATGGTCAGATGAACCAAGCCAGACAGACATGTACACCTTACAATCATTCCAAAAATTACGAAAACTTATTATTGACCAATGAACCATGAAAATGAAGTCAACATCAGATAATACCTGCCAGACAGATATGTACATCTTACACTTGTTCCATACATCAAACATAGCTGACATATTGCTATTACTAATTAGTATCTGGAAAACCGACCTAAACACAAAAACCTATCATTAACAAATGAACCATGAAAATGAGATCAAGGTCAGATAATACCAGTCTGTTCATTGATAATATTTTCTATGTTTTCTATGTATTGTGTGCGATTTTGTCCCATGTACATTTACTCCATATCCTTTCATTTTCTATTGACCCTCATGTACACCTTACATTACATACACCAAATAATGTTGACCTATTGCTTTTAGTACTTGAAAAACAGACCAAAACACAAAAACTTAACATTGACCAATGAACCATGGTCTGATGAAACCCGCCAGACTGACATGTACCCCTTACAATCATTCTATACACCACATATAGTTGACCTACTGCTTATGGTATCTGAGAAACGGACCTTATCAAGTAACTTTAACCTTGATCACTGATCCATGAAATGAGGGTGAGGTCAGATGAACCCTGTCTGACCAACATGTAGGCGTTGCAAGGAACCAAATATAGTTATCATACTACTCATAATAAGTGAGAAATTCACATGACAAAAAAAATGTTATTTTTTTTCAAGTAGTTGCTGAACCATGAAAATGAGGTCAAGGACAATGGACATATGACAGATGGACACTTCCTAACATAAGTTATCTGCATACAAGGTATGAAGCATCCAGGTCTTCTACCTTCTGAAATTAAAAGCATTATACAAATAGTTTAAGCTGCCACCGGATAGTAATACCTGTGTCTCACATACTACGACTTTCGTCGCAGGCTAGAAAAAATACAGAAAAACATCAGGAATTAATTTATACAAAACTAATCAATGTCCATAAGAACAAAATTGTCAAAAAACAAAAGATTTAACTCTTTTTAATAAACAAGCTTCAGGTATGGAGATGAGATAATAAAATAATTTATTCTAATACATGTATCAATGTATTGATTGCATTAAAAATAGAAATAGTACACAGTTACTTGGTCAGTTCCACAGCTGCAATTTGGTTTGGTTAAGTAATGACTCTTTGAGGGGTATAATTCAAGAAGAAGCACAGCTTAGCCCTAAAACCTGTGAATATCCATACATTCTGGAATGGTCAATCTAATGATACCATTGGAAAATGATCAATGTAATGTAAGACACTCCAGAATGGTACATGGAGGTCTGTTTTTTTTATTCCAAAATGGCAAAGATAATATTGTCACGTTTCCAGAATGGCCAAATGCCAGGTTGTACAGGCATGTAATGAGCCATTCAAAATGTATCAAAATTGTGTGAAAAGCAAAATGGAAATGATGTGTGCTCAAAGTACCTTGACGCTGGACAATAGTGTCAATACACAAAAGTTGTGTTTCTTTTTTACATAACAAAATCTCTGTGGAAATTCTTATTTAAAATCTATCTTCATTCTACAATTTTTAATAAACTCCTAATTTAAAATAAATGATGAATGTGTTCATGGGACACAGATGATGCCCCCACTTGCATATCATATTGAGTTATAAAGGGACATAACTGAAGAACAGTAAAAGTGACACTACCAAAATTTGTTCTTGATCTGAATTTTGTAGTAATAAGTATTGTGTATAAGTTTCATAATATTTGGTTGAGGCAAACTTAAGTTAGAGAACGGAAACAAAAAATTCAGCAATTTTTCCGTTTGTAAAGGGGCATAACTCTAGAACGGTTAAAGTGACACCACCAAAATTCAAACTTGATCTGTATTTTGTGGTAATAAGCATTGTGTATAAGTTTCATTACATTTGGTTGAGGCAAACTAAAGTTAGAGAACGGAAAACAACTATGGGACGTATGTACGGACAAGGGTAAAACTTAATGCCCCCTCCGCTACGGCATAAAAAAATTAAATCAAATCAAATCAAATCAAATCAAATCAAGTTTATTGTACAAAAAAGGCCTCCAGCCCACGGTACAAATATTAAATTACACAATTTATAATTTTGCCATCTACAGTTACATATTACACAATAAACAATAATCACATTACATATTCACATATCATCATATTTATAAATCAGTCATCAGTAGTGTTCATTTCCACTTATATTTTACTATAAAAATTAAAAGTAGAGGACTATAAAATGAAGAACCTGTCAAAATAGAAGAGTGAGAATTGAAGTCGAAAATTAGGAAATAAGTTAAGACCAAGGCTTGCAAAACGATCATATATTCCGGACATTTGTATAATGTCCGGTAAAAGTCCGGCTGGGCAAAGCATGAAACGGTCATCTACTTTTTAGTTTTAATCAAAAAGATTTAAATTATCAGAAATACGTTTACAAATATCATTTGATGAAAATTTTAAAAGGTGAAAATGAAAAATCGTCATGACCACGTTGTTTGAACCAGAGACATGTCTCTGTTTGAACTAGTACACGTGTGCGCAGGTGTGAAATTTAATTTCTTTAAAATCTAATTTCTTTAAAAAATGCTTAAATTGTCATTGATACCTTTATCTCACGTCTATTTCGAATATTTTCTTGAAGAAATAATGTAGAAAGAGCTTCTTACACTCATTCATCCTTTGCAACCGTACACAGAATTTATGTATCCGTCTCTGGTCCATGTTTTACCATTGTCAAGATAACATCCGGTATTAGATTTAAAAACGAAAGTAAAGTTTTTGACAACTTTATTTTGCTCAAATAAAGAGTCTAAGGCAGATATAAGTACGCTTATGTTGCACACTTCGAATGATGCACTGCCAATTTAACAGTTTACGTCAGAACTTCGAATTTGAATTATAGAAAGTTTAATATCGTTTTTTTTTTTTTTAATATCAATCATTGGGATGGCCAACTCGGCAACTGATTACCATAATTGCCTTTTGTTTATTTAGTCTTAAGGAATAATATATAAAATGTCCGGCTGGCTAAAAATAATTTTGGAAGCCCTGGTTAAGACTACATAATTATGATACCTACAGGTATTCTCTCTGGGTATTTATCTTTTATTTTTGTTGATTCTGCTTTTCTTTGTTCTGTAATAAACAAAATAATTTGTCATTTTTAAAACACATAAATTAAAAAAAATTATTAACACATGTAGATCAGATACTGTTATGACTGTTGGATAGATTGACTCTTTTGTTGTCTTGGCATAAAAGGACATTTGTCATCCAAAATAATTCAGTTTCTGTAGAAAGTGGTAATTTTTTATCTTAAGGTTTCTACTATTAAAGAACTGGTTAAAAAAAAACACTTCCAACATAATGTAAACTTGATTATGATTTATTTTCACCAGATCAATGGCACTACTGGTAGAATGTTTGTGTTTCATCTTGTTGAGTGTAAATGTGTCTGTTCAGATGATAAATTTTCTAATTTTGCAAAGGCTTAAATTTTTACTCCTTCATTGAATACATAAGGATGCTAAGCATTATAATTTTTGTCTCTTTATGAATAACGAAAAAATATTCAAAGTTAATTAGTTTGAATATGACTTTAATTCATACCTTAAAAAAATATTCAGATAATCATGATAATTTTACCGATATTTAACCAAGAGTCATCCTTTCATTTTCTAGGTTTTTGCTTTGTTTACTTTTAAGAAACAATTTTTTTAACAGATATAATTATATTTATAGATGATATGCATATTTTTTGTAAAAATATGAATATCAAACAAATTATTCAAAGTTAACTTGTATATCTTTATTACCAAAGTTTATATAAACTATAGGTACACATTTGAATTACATCCACATCAATAATACATATATAAACACAAAATATGTGACAGAATAGCAGACGGTGTTTTAATTATCAATAAACACTGTTTTAACATATCAGTTCCACTTAACTTAATTAATACCTATGTTTATAAAATGTAAAAATGTATGAACAAAAAATTACCAAGAGTCATCCTTCAATTTTCTAGGTTATGGTCTTTGTTTACATGTACAATGTATGTGTATATATATTTTTGTCTTACACCTGTTGCTACATGTACACTGTACCTGTAATCAACAACTTGATCAATGTGTCAAAATCATCAGTGTTAATTTAATTGTGTAATCATATGACATTTACTCTAATTGAATCACAGATTAGTATAATTTGTAAATAACAATTTTGGATTGAATTAACTAATTTAGACTATTGACTACACAACCTTAGGCTATACAATAAATTATGTAATACAATAAATAATTCCCTTTAATCATGAGTAATTTGAAAGTTCACTAATGATGATCTTCAATCCCCTAAAGCATTTAAAATGTAAAAAAATACTGTTTAGTACAAATTCATAAAAATCAACAATTATAAGAAAGGAAAGACTACTGTGCAATACAGTAACATTTTGTAACATAAACACTACAGAGTATGGGATGTATTACTCAAACAACAATAATAAATACATTATATTAAGTAGTGAAATACAAGAGCCATAACCATATATCATTGTAAACCTGGTTAATAGAATCTTTTCTATACTATGGCTGATTTGGAATAATTCCAAGTTTGATGTACATGTATGTATGGACAGTTAATCTACATGTATCATTTACAAGCTCTAGTGTGTCTTTAATGTAAATTGTAAATAAGAATGTGGGGTGAATGCAAACAAGACAGAACCCAAAATATAACAGCCTTATAAAGCTGTCAACCATCGTAATCATAATGTAGACAAGTTGGAATTCTGGACCAACTAAGAATGACTTGCCACTTTATTGAATGTGAAGTTAACCATCCACCATTTGTGAACTCTGTAACTTATTTCAAAAACAAACTACAACCCAGTTAGGGAAAGGTTGGGCACAGCTAACATGTTTAACTGAGACAAATTCTATATATGCCTGTCCTAAGTCAGGAATTCAGGGGTTGATGTTTGTTGCTGGATACCATATTTGTTGTTTTGTACATACATGTACATGCTAATCAGGCTGGTATGGTTTCTCGTTACAATTGTGTTACATTTTGTTATGTTAGGTTTTTCATAGCTTGAAATGCAGTTTGACCTATATACAGTCTTCTATGGTTGCTAACAGCTACACAATGTACTTCATTTGGTTTCTGATGGATAATTATCTCATTGGCAATCAAACTGCATCTCATTTTTGTATATTCTACTGGAATACAAACTTCAAACAAACAACTGAGACCATCATCTAACTTTTTAAAAACAACTGATTTCCTTCAATTAAGATGTACTTCTTTTTTTGAAAGTGTAACGCCTGCCTCTGGGTACAGGATGTTCTCACTGTGTTGAACATGTTGAAGACCCATTAATTTGTGGCCTTGAGCTGTTTTCTGCTCTTTAATCAGGTGGTTGTTCTTTGACACATTACCCATTTCTATTCTATTCTAACAGCTCTTATGTCAGAAGAATTAAAAACAAAAACTATTTCTTTTAAGTTTAGCATGAAAAAAATGAATGAGAAACATCATTATTACCAACACATAAAATAAATCCTGTAGTATACATGGAACATACATTTGTACATACAATGTAACCTGACAATCACGATATTGTTTAATAAAAAAATAGTGTTTTCAGATTTAATGGAAGATTATCATAAACATACTTGTCCTTTGTTCCTCGATGATAAGGTGTTCAACTGCAAATCTTATGATTTTTGGTATACACAAACAAGGATTTCTATAGTGACTATACAAATCCTTGACACGAAGAACATTTTACACAAATAAAAAGTTAGAGAATTGCAATTGGTTCATGATTAAATATGTGAACGTTAATGGAATAACCGAATAAGCTTTAACTTAACATAACTTATGACATCTATTGTACTGCATGTATGAGTGGATCTATTAGTTAAATTTTAACGGTTATGTAATCCATCAGAAAAATCACAAGAAATAGAAAATCTAAGTTTAAAATTAATTTATCCTTTAAATGGTTTATTGTGCAGTTATGGTTTAGTATTTAAGTAAATATTTCATTTGAATACACATAAAATCTATAACTATGCTGGCTGTCTAACAGTCTTAAGTAGGACAGATCAACAATGGCGTTTGTTTACAAACAAATCACAAGTGTATGGTAAAAACACCATTATGTCCTATTTTGACCTTGTTTTCACGAAACCTAAGATTGTCACGCTTCCATAACTGCAGCTTTAACCAAAATAATATATAAGATACAAACCGAATGTGTGCTCTTCCCTAAACTTGAACTTCATCCTGTTAAAATGCGGAAAGTAAAACTATGTGTGACGATTTGACAGCTGACTTCGACTATGGTTTCTTCTTTTGTGACGTAAAACCGGAAGCGGAAGAAAGAAGAAACGAGGCAACAACGAAGAAAAATGGCGAATGCTGAAGTCTATACAAATCATGTTTCTTCAAGACAAAACGAAATATTAAGGTGTAAAGCGCACTTTTTTTATAATTGCTTTTTGATATTTTTACTGTTTTTTCGTATGAAAGGTTGTTATTCTGTCAAACTTGTTGTTCAGACTTGCTTAACATTGGATCCATTCACCAAGTTAATGAAAATTATGTTTCTTTTCCTTGTTGACATTCTGATGTAGCCTCACTATCACATCCTATTTTACTTGAGTTATGTCCTTTTTGCTTTGAGAATGGTTTTATTTGTGAAATAAACACTATATCATCAATTGCCTGACTTGGTAAGTAAAAAACTTGACTCTATAAATAAGAAGATGTGGTTTGACTTTGAGTGCCAATACACCTACCTTATCGCTATTTATTCCATTCCGCGTAAGTTCTGAAATAACATAACATTCTTTTTCATCCAGTTGAAGCTATCTGGGGCCCTGTTTAAACAATGTATCATGCATAATACTTTTTAAAGAGACCTGTTTAAACCATCGTAAACATGGTAAACTCTTCAAACAAAATATTTTTTTCTACTGTAATTAGAGTTTTGAAAAAGTGGATCATAATCTATGAAAGTTTCAAAGTGTTCGCTTTCTAAATTTTTTCCTTCTTCAGCTCGTTACTGATGACCTTTTTTTTGGCGCTGGATGACCCAAACAGGAAGTTGTCTAAGTGACTGCTTTTTCCGGATTGGACTAAATAGCGATAAGGTGTATGAGACAACTTGCCATCCAAATCACAATGTATTAAAAGTTAACCAATTATACCCAAAATGACAAGTGTAAAACAATTCAAACAGGAAAACCAACGGTCTAATCTGTATAAAAAACAAGAAATGAGAAACACCTTTGAACCACACCAACAAACAACAACCACTGAACAACAGGCTCCTGACTTAGGACAGGTGCATTAAAATGCAGCTGGTTTGAACTAGTTAGATGGCACCAAATCCTCCACCTAACCTGGGACATCTGTACTCTTTGAGTACAAAATTTGTGCTCCAAACACCAAATCCAGTATTTTGAGTGAGTACGATAAATGACTTGAAACTTTATGGCTGCAAATTTTGGGCTCGGTTTCATTAGACTAGGTATAAATTATCTTGTTTTGTATGCATTGATATCGATAAATATCAGCCCCAAGTCAAAATGTGAACCTTTTTTTGGCAAGTGAGCACAGTGCAGAAGCAAAAAACTTCAGGTTATGTCGAGTGGCAGCTATTTTATGATATCAATATGTAAAAAACCTGATTATCTGTTTATTAGTTCCCTACCGACGAAGTAGAAGGGGACTTCAGGTTTGCACTCCGTCTGTCTGTCCATCTGTCAGTCTTGCAAATCAGTTTTCCACACTTTTTTTCGTCATGCTTGAAGATATTGATTTGATAACTGGTAAATAGTTTTATCATGACAAGTTACAGATCAAGTTAGAATTTTGTTCCGGTCTGATGATTTGATGATTTTGTGCAGAGTAATGGTCCTTGGCAAGGCTTCCAAAACGGTCATATATTCCGGACATTTGTATAATGTCCGGTAAAAGTCCGGCTGGGCAAAGCATGAAACGGTCATCTACTTTTTAGTTTTCAAGGCTTTCTTAAGAGAGGGTCATTTTAACATAATTCGCGATCTTTTTGACCCAACCTTTTGCCTTTAACAGCCACACATTTCCGGTCATAAAAGTGACATGATCATTAAGTACTATCAAAACATCCCCTACTTTAATACTTTCTCATTTTAATCAAGGCTAATTAGTTGTCGAACAGCTGAAATTTACCTGTTCAGGTGACAGGTAAACTATTTTTAACCGGACATTTATCGGTCTATTCAAAGTTATTTTCTTACATTTCAGCGGTTTGCATCTACAAATGTAATTAATTTAGTCAAAAAGATTTAAATTATCAGAAATACTTTTACAAATATGATTTGATGAAAAAATTAAAAAGGTGAAAATGAAAAATCGTCATAACCTCGTTGTTTGAACCAGAGACATGTCTCTGTTTGAACTAGTACACGTGTGCGCATGGGCGCAGGTGTGAAATTTAATTATGCATTCTAATTTCTTCAAAAAATGCTTAAATTGCCATTGATACCTTTATCTCACGTTTATTTCGAATATTTTCTTGAAGAAATAACGTAGAAAGAGCTACATACACTCATTCATACTTTGCAAACGTACACGGAATTTACGTATCCGTCTCTGGTCCATGTTTTACCATTGTCAAGATAACATCCGGTATAAGATTTTAACGAATGTAAAGTTTTTGACAACGTTATTTTGCACTAATAAAGAGTCTAAGGCAGATATAAGTACGCTGATGTTGCACACTTCGAATGATGCACTGCCAATTTAACAGTTTACGTCAGAACTTCGAATTTGAATCAAAGAAAGTTTAATATCGTTTTTTTTTTAATGTCAATCATTGGGATGGCCAACTCAGCAACTGAATACCATAATTGCCTTTTGTTTATTTAGTCTTAAGGGATTAAAATCGGGATAATATATAAAATGTCCGGCTGGCTAAAAATAGTTTTGGAAGCCCTGGTCCTTGGACTTAGAAAATTCACTCAATCAGTTTTCCACTTTTTTTAGTCACTAGACGATATTGACTTGATATTTGTTATAAAGTTTACACCATGACAATTTATAGATCAAGTTAGGATTTTGTTCCAATACAATGAATTTTTAATTGGTAGGGGACTATGTATTGCCATGCAATACTCTCAGAATGCTTGTTGTTCTAGAGCTTTTTCCCCTCCCTTAGACAGTTGTACATTTGATGAAATCCAGCTTGATAACATCTCATCACACATTTTGACATTGCTGATAATGCCTGCTCACGTCTCCAAAGCCATGATACAAGAATTATGTAGCACATGAGCAGGGTGATATCCATAATGTTGGTTCAAATTTCAAAGTATATAGATGTCTATAAATGTTTCCTCTAGTTCTACCTATTTCATAAAAATGCTGAAGTAACTTCTGTTTAGAATTATGAAGTGAGATGAGGTTTTGATTTACACATTCAGTAGATGTTTGAAGAAATACATAATCATTGTAAAGATCAAATATATAGTTAGTGAAAGCTTCCAAAGACTAATAAGCTACACATGTACATGTATATTATAATTATCAACATTGATGACATTCCTGTTATCTGTAACCTGAGGAAAATGTTGATGAAGGTGAATGGAAATTTTGCCTTAAATGTCTTTGTGAAGCTGAAGGAAAGAGTTCATTATAACAAGTAAAAAATGTTTGCTGACACATCTATTAAGTCTTAGAAGACTCCTGTAAATACTGTTTTTGATTTTATTTTATGCACATGTTTGATAACATTTAATTTTATTTCAGTGATGGGGAAACTTCAGGTAGCGAAGAACCACCAGTTGTAGATGAAGGAGAAGGGGTAGATGAAGAAGAAGGGGAAGTAACTCCTGTTTCCATATCTAAAGACAAAAAGGACAAGAAGAAGAAAAAACATAAACACAAGCATAAACATAAAACTGATAAACATGAACGCCATGGAAGTGATAAACACAAACATAAAAAACGCAAGAAACATAAAATGGAAAAGGCTGAGGAAGAAGAGGAAGAAATTGATGAAGATAATGTTGAAAAGAAGAAGCGAAAGTTTGATGAGGACATTGCTAAGTTAGAAAAAGCTAGAGAGGTTTTGAAAGCTGTACTTAGTGTAGATAGTAACAGTAATCAAGAAGCTGAAATGAACCCAATGGACATGATCGCTCAGGGATATGCTGCATCTGAATCCGAGGAAGAAGATGGAGAGGTTGATCATGAAGAAACAAAAATAGAAAAGAAGATCTCACGTGAATGGCAAATATTAGAACAGGCTTTAGCAGAGAAAGTTAAACAGGAAAAGAAAGAAGATGGAGACACTGAACATAGAAATGTTAAACGTGACAAACAATCACATTCAGATAGACATAGATCTAAAGAAAACGATCCATACTCTAGTGAAAATAAAAAACATAGATCTAAATCTCCTGTTGTAATTGATCTCACCAATGATTCAGTACCGGACAGAAAAAGATCAAGAGAAAAGGATAATAGAAGTGATTCAAGATATCGGGAAGGGAGACGATCATCCCCACATAGGTCACCCACATACAGGTCACAGAGTAGAGATCAAACGAGGGAATCACACAGGTCAAAAAGTAGAGACCCTCATTGGGTCAGATCTCCTGGTAGAGAAAGACCTAGGTAGGTTGTATGGTTATCACTTACAAAAAAAATTCAGGCCTTTTAAGAATGACCACCTCTAGTCTTAAGAAAAATTGTAATTATATATAATTATCTCTTCAAGAATTACCATTTTATTGGATTCCAGCTTTATTCAAGCAATACAAAAATTAAGTTCAACATCTGACCACAATCAAAACAAATTCAAATTATACACATTAAAAAGACATTAATAAATTATCAGTAAACTTCAACTTGTGTTAAAATTTTTTTTTACTCAACCGCCAATCTTGACAGTCAACATCTACCATGTCTACTTGTCGGTTGCAAAAAGGTTGTAAAAATCATTAATCCAAAGAATGCAGTATACCAGTACTATACTATTGACTAAGTATTTTGAAATTTTTAATTTTCACAGCTAATGGAAAGAGCCTTTCAAAGCACATCATCTAATTTTATTGCCCTTTAATCCAAAGAATGTATTGTTGTTTAGCATATGTTAGTGTACTCTCAGTAAATAAAGTTACTTCAATGACATGAATGTTCCTAATCGCTTATAGTCACCAACAATGTGTAGAGAAGACTAAAGGGCACTGAAGATGTGCAAAAAGATTTTAGGATACCAAAATACTGGAAAAAAAGACAAAGACACTGAAAATGAATATCAATGGCTGTAATTATCCAACTTTAAGCATGACCATTATTAACAAATTGGCATAAAGTCTAACTTGGCTAAACACGATACATGTATGAAGATTTTCTTGAAGCAAACAATTTTCACAATGAAATCATTGTTTTGACTTCTACATTGAAGGCCAAAATGCATTGACATTAAGAATTCCCCTGGGAATACCACACACTTTATAAGACCACTTTCGTCATGTACACAATGTTGTGGACAACTGCATTTCGTTCATAGACATACATTTGTAAAAAAAGTTCTAACCTCGTACAATCAGTATAAACCAAGATGACTTTGTACATGTTGTAAACAAGAAAAAACGAATTTGAATTTTTTTAACTCGAGTCAAAGCATTAGTTCTCCTAGTACAAAGGTATGTATATCATAATGTATTATTATATTTTCCATTTATATTACAGAGACACAAGGAATAGGTCACCAGAAAGAAGAAGATCTCCTGATCGACGATTAGATTCCAGACGACTTGATGAAAGGAGAAGATCACCTGACTGGGGCAGACCGGTAGATAGAAATGATAGAGGTCGTGATAGACCTTTAGAAAATAATGATAGAGGTCGTGATAGACCTTTAGAAAATAGAGGATCTCCAGAGAAAAGAAAATCTCCTTTTGTTTCTGCATTTAAAAGCTACAGGTAAACATTATGGCTACTGTTTTGACATTAATTTAATTAAAATACATTCTTTCCTGTTAACTTTTAAAATAGACAGTATCAGCTGTATGTTCAGCTGTATCTAAATCAATTGAAACTACTGTATAAACTTAAATCTTATGTCAACACATTTTGATTTTAAATTCATGTATATTAATCAGTCACAAATATTAAAGACTCCTTAAAGTATGAATAGGATGATGATTATAGATTTTTAGACAAAAACGTAAATGTTTTATCACCAACAGTGAAATTACTTGCAAAATATCCATTCCTCGGATTAACACACAAATTATACATCCACAGACTCTAATAAAGAATTCTTAAAACAGTAAATTGAAATTTCTCAGTATTCATTTTTACATAACACACATGGACCAAAAGCTGACAGGGATCTAAAATAAACAAAACATTCTTTATTGATGAACAAAGTTAAACGAATGAAAAAATTTAATCCAAGTAAAGCATTTAAATTTTTTGAATGCTCATGTACATGAAGTTTTCAAACCGAGACCAATTTCTCACTAAAAATTGTATTCATGGGTTGAATTCATCTCATTCAAAGCAATTATTTTTATTGTCTCTTGTTTAAGAAGTTCAGAAATGGAATTTATTCACCCAGTATTTGAAATAATGAAATATTGGGATTTGTACTTAGTATATTTGAAATAATAAGATATAGAGTATTTTTCAGGGATTTATATGGTGGAAGAGGCAGAGGACAAGACCGAGGTCGTGACAGGAGAAGTCGATCACGTGACAGACGACACCGGAGTCGATCTAGAGACCGACGAAGACGTGATAGAAAGAAGGAAGATAAATTTAAAGGCAGCCTATCTGAAGGCATGGCAACAAACCAGGATGATTCTGATGATGAAAAGTAAGGTTTTTGTCGAGCCTGCGACTTTTGTCGCAGAAAGCTCGACATAGGGATAGTGATGTTGGGGTGGCGGTGGCGGCGTTAGCTAACTTCTTAACAGCTTTATATTTCAGAAGCTAGAAGACCTGGATGCTTCATACTTTGTATATAGATGCCTTATGATATGAAGTTTCTGTCTGTCATATGTCCATTGTCCTTGACCTCATTTTCATGGTTCAGTGACTACTTGAAAAAAAAGTCAATATTTTTTGTAATGTTTATTTCTTTCTTATTATGAGTAATAGGATAACTATATTTAGTATGTGTGTACCTTGCAAGGTCCTCATGCCCGTCAGACAATTTTCATTCGACCTGAACCTCATTTCATGGATCAGTGAACAAGGTTAAGTTTTCGTGGTCAAGTCCATATATCAGATACTAAAAGCAGCAGGTCTACTATATTTAGTATATGGAATGATTGTAAGGTGTACATGTTCAACTGGTAGGTGTCATCTGACCTTAACCTAATTTTCATGGTTCAGTGGTCAAAGTTAAGTTTTTGAGTTTTGGTCTTTTTTTCTAATACTATATGCAATAGGTCAACTATATTTGGTGTATGGAAATATTTTATGATGTACATGTCAGTCTCGCAGGTTTTATTTGACCTTGACCTCATTTTCACTGTTCATTTCTCAGTGTTTAAGTTTTTGTGTTTTGGTCTGTTTTTCTTCAACTATAAGCAGTAAATCAACTATATTTGTTGTATGGAAGGATTGTAAGGTGTATATGTCTGTCTGGCAGGTATCATCTGACCTTGACCTCATTTTCATGGTTCATTGGTCAATGTTAAGTTTTCATGGTTAAGTTTGTTTCTTAGATACTATAAGCAATAGGTCAACTATATTTAATGCATAAATTGATTGTAAGGTGTACATGTCTGTCTGGCATGGTTCATCTGACCTTGACCTCATTTTCATGGTTCATTGGTCAATGTTAAGTTTTCTTGGTTAAGACTGTTTCTTAGAAACTATAAGCAATAGGTCAACTATGTTTGGTTTATTGAATGATTGTAAGGTGTACATGTATTTCTCGTTTTGTTTATCTGACCTTGACCTCATTTTCTTGGATCATGTTAAGTTTATGTGTTACTTGTAGTAAAGCTTTATATTTAGGACTATCAACATAAAATCAATGGTTAGTAAAGAAGGCGAGACATTTCCGCGTGTGCACTCTTGTTAATTTCATGTATTATTCCTGAAAATCCAGGTAAGAGTTAAATGATTGGTCGCTTTCTGAAAGTTCTTAAAAGTTGGAGCTTTGAAATATGTTGTTTTTATACAACCGCAAAATCATATATTGGTATGACGTTGGCGTCGTAGTCATCCGAACCCACATTGGTTTTCGCACTCTAACTTTAGTTTAAGTGAATGGATCTCTATGAAATTTTACCATAAGGTTCAATACCACAAAAGGAAGGTTGGAATTGATTTTGGGGGTTATGGTACAAACAGTTAAGGAATTAGGGGCCAAAAATAAGCATTTTTGGAAAATGACGCTATCAGCGGCATGTTTCCGATACCATTGACCAGAACTAACGGAAGTTGATTATGCCTCCGCCTACCGCACTCGGTTTCATATTTACTATTTTACATACTAACTGGAATCTGCTTGTATTACGCTACACTCGAACAAAGTCTTTGTTAAAGTGTTGTAGTCGGACGGGAACCAGTTTACATACGTTATTTTATTTACCAAAAAGATATCTTGACCTGTCCATATGTTTTTTGTTATTAAATGGCATTTGGAGCTATCCCTTTGTTATATTTTTCATATTTATTCGAGCTTTCACTTTTATGCACATGTCTTACAATCGTAAACAATCGGTATGTATACATGATAAATAGATCCGTTTTGTTATGGTGTTGGACTTTTTACCCTCCAATGATCACCAATCGCTAGACAAAATAGTTCTCCTAAATAATGTCAGCCTTTCATGCCATTTCAACTTTACAATCATTAAAAAAGTAATAATCGGAATCATTTTGATATCCATTGGATAGAAACTGGTCTTTATCAAGATTTACGAAGATTTTAATAATCGGAAATTACCCACGCGGTGCGTATGAATCTTTGTTCACAAAGTTATAGCAGCAGAGTCTGTAACTGTATCATTATTAATTAACTACACTGTTATTGTACTTAAAATGATGAAAACTGCATATGCAATATAAGATGTCAACTCGGCCAATACAGATTTTTTTTCCGTATTGGCCGAGTTCTGATCCGGGCCAAAACAGGATTTCGGAACGTCTCTAGTTTTTAGATCGTAAGTCACGATAAACTCAAACTGAAAGTAAACAGTTGTTTGTACGACGCAGTTTTTATTTACTCACCATAAACAAGCTGAAACGTTCAGTATGGCATATATTTTAGGTTAAAGACGGTCCCATTCATTTGAAAAGCATTTTGAAAGTAGACGATGGAATTATTTCAGGTTTAGGGAACGAGTAAATTATCACAAAGTTCATTTCTTGACGACCTCATAATTTCATCATGTCGATTTTTACTGTTCACTTTCGCTTCTCATGTTTTGTAAACGGTCTTTTTTTTTTAAACCCGAACCAGGCATATGCATTCTGTAATTGCGCAAATCTTCGTTCTTTGGTCAATTGGCTTATGGATAGTTGTATCAATTTCAACTCTTACATTATTTTTTTTTTAAATATATTTGCATTACACATGCAATGGCAGTACCTTTCCAATTACTATTTATGTGTTGTGTCTAAATTAAAGTTGTAACACTTTATAGTGACTGGAAAGGGTAGAAAAATTCATCAGATGAAAAAGGCAGAAGATGCATGGAAACGGCACCAAATCATTAGATATTGCATCTTATAAAAAGAAACTGAGATTTGGATAGTTCCACTTCAAGGTAAAAATGTTTATCTCTTGTGAAATGAAATAAAAAAATATTGTAACACTGTAGTTATTAATAAAGATACTATTACATGTATTTCTGTATTGGCCTTATTGTTGGTCCTCGGCCAGCAGTATTGGCCTTCGGCTTCGCCTCGGACCAATACACCAAGACATGGACCAATAACAAGGACAATACAGAAATACTTACGCAATAATATTATAGAAAGACAGTATGGTTCAATAGCGGGAATCAGCCCCTCAACTACTTTTTACATAAATATTAACTTCTGGCTTCAACTCCTTGTTCGTCTTGTCTGGAGATCTTGTTGTAGTTCCAGTTAGGCAAGCATTTTAGAGACGTATCCCGTCCATCCTCTCTTGACTTGTAATTTCTGGTGATAGATTTTGCCGCTTGACGTATCTTTTCAAGCTTGTTTTTTTTTTTTGTTACCGTGTAGGGGTCCCATACTATGGCTCCATATTAAATTGTAAGATCCATTCCTAAAGGTCTAGATCATTGTTCTAATCTGACACAAATTTCAATAACTGGAATGCTACCCGAGTTGAATATATGGTGACCTACTAGAACAGCATTATCACTATTGGAATTGTGTTTAATACCATGATTGTTCAATGTCATTAACTTAAATGGAGACAGACATTTGACCTGAAAGGTGGTGTGGGAGTGCAAAATCAAAAACTAACTGACTATGATATATGGTTAAAGAATGAATATCAATTACATGTGTCAACATGGTCAATGGCAGAGTTGTTATGAAATAACAATATGGCAGAGAAGTGGTTTCAAGTTTCATATAAAGCGACCTGGCTGACATGAAATAAAAAATCAAAGGAGTATCCCTATTTGTCTAATCTTCAAGGTGAAATAAAACTAGTAAAACAATATTATACAATTGTCTAAATCTACAGAAATATAATTTGCTTCAAGTAACAGAAATAACTAGGTCACTAGTAACTTATTTAATGAGTATGTGGGGTATAAGAGCTTGATAACAACAGGCTCTTCATAATCATTTGGTTTGAAAAGGATACTAGTAGTCTATATTCTTGATTTAGAAAAATGTAATTGCAAGACAAAAATCACATTACTTAGAATACTTTAGATCATTCAGGTAGTCTTTATTTATATGTACAAAAGAACAGCCAGTAGTCATTGGATATTGTAGATCATTCAAATAGTCTTGACCTATTTATTAGTACAAAAGAACAGCCAGTAGTCATTGGATATTGTAGATCATTGTGGTAGTCTTGACCTATTTATTTATAGAAAAAAACAGCCAGTAGTCATTGGATACTGTAGATCATTCTGGTAGTCTTGACCTATACATTTGTACTAAAAAAACAGCCAGTTGTCATCTTCACATAACACATACATATACGAATATCAATTATATGCTTATGAGACATGTTGGAATGTTAAACTAATTACGGTATGTGAAAATCAAGACTTGCATAAAAAATATCACAATATTAGAGACAGTGGCGTCATTTTTCCTCAGAGCTTTCAGCTCTTTGATTGTAACTTCCAGACATAACTTGTGTGTTAGTGTATGGATCTCTCTGACATTGTACCACAAGGTTCCATATCACAAAGGGAATGCTGGGATTGATTTTTGGGGTAATTGCCTCCAAATTTTAGGAATTGGGGGCAAAAAAGGGGCAAAAAACAAGCATTTTTTTAGTTTCATAACAATAACTTGTGTGTAAGTGTATGGATCTTTCTGAAATTGTACTACAAGGCTCCATATCACAAAGGGAAAGCTGGAATTGAGTTTGGGGGTAATTGCCCAAAACGTTTAGGAATAAGGGGCCAAAAATAAGCATTTTTCTAGTTTCCAGACAATAACTTTTTGTTCAAGTGTATGGATCTCTCTGAAATTTTTTTTTCTTTAAAATTTTCCATTTGAAATTGGTTATTTCTGATTTATGTATAAAAGCAAATAATAATGATATGGTTTGAATAGGTAAATTAAATTTTTTTAAGTTCTTAGACCACATTCATTCTGTGTCAGAAACCTATGCTGTGTCAAATATTTAATCACAATCCAAATTCAGTGTTGTATCAAGCTTGAATGTTGTGTCCATACTTGCCCCAACTGTTCAGGGTTCGACCTCTGAGGTCGTATAAAACTGCGCCCAGCGGAGCATTTTATTGGAATTTGCTGTAAAATAATGTTAAATTTTAATACTTGAGATTAGAACAATCTAGATATTATTTTTCTACAATTAATAGATGGGAGGAATTTTGGTGATATTGCTGTCTTAGGTTTGAGTTATATATTTTTCAATATTGTAAATGAACTTAAACTTTTCATCACACATTTCTCAAGTACTAAGTACTGTACAGAATGACTGCATATTTGTTCAGTAGCTTTGCAATGATAAGTGATAAGGGTTATTTGGATATGTCTCCTGTTAACCAATACTTTGAATAACAATAGGGGTTATGCTTAGCATTAAAACATGTGTTCCTCGACCAATAAATCTTGACTGCCACGAAATAGCACAATAGTGCTGAAAGTGGTGTTAAACACCAATCAATCAATCAATCAATACAACATGTGCATTCATGTTGTTATTCACCAAGTTAGATACTGGTCCTGAACATGCATGACTAATTTGCCACTGGACGTTGTGCAACCAACAATCAATCAACCAAGTTAAATACATCCTTAGTTGATTTTCAAAATTATGTTTTCATTTCAGTCTTGATATAGACATTCCAGATGATGATGAAGATGAAGAAGATATGATAGCAAGAAGGAGGAAGGAAAGAGAAGAACTGTTACAGGTACAATGTTTCATACTATTGATGTGTTATATGATTAAGGGCTATTCCATTAAAATAGATGTGAGATGGAAGGAAGGAAGGGAAGTTTTATTTTTGGAGATGGGTTGTAGCCTGTAGTCTGTAGGGCATTTATGGCTGTATGTCCCATCATTGTATGCAATGTGACTCAAAGAGAGTATTTGGGGGGGGGGGATGTTCTTGAAGTCTCTTCCTACTCTCATGACCCTCCCACATCCATTAATTTAATAGCCTAAATAAAACCAGACTGTTGTATGACAATATAGAGCACTAACTCTGCAATTTGTCATGCACCCAAACTCATACAAGTGTTACATAAATTTCTTGCAACTGGTCAATCTGAATTTTATCTAGAACTAACAAAAAAATGGTTCAGAAATGCAATCCATATTGTCCAATCAGTTTGCTTCAAGTGAGGTTACTAAGATTGAACTGAGCTCCTCCTGAACAATTTTGATTTTAATACCCTAGACAGCTCTAAAAGAGAATTAGAATTGACCATATGCAAAATATTTTTTAATTTTAAGATATTAGTTGTTAATATGAAATACAAATGTAGCTAATTATATGATTGAACAATACAGGGTACTACTGGTTGAATTTACTGTCTGAATCAAGGCTTCCAAAACGGTCATATATTCCGGACATTTGTATAATGTCCGGTAAAAGTCCGGCTGGGCAAAGCATGAAACGGACATCTACTTTTTAGTTTTCAAGGCTTAAGAGACGGTCATTTTAACATAATTCGCGATCTTTTTGACCCAACCTTTTGCCTTTAACAGCCACACATTTCCGGTCATAAAAGTGACATGATCATTAAGTACTATCAAAACAACCCCTACTTTAATACCTTCTCATTTTAATCAAGGCTAATTAGTTGTTGAACAGCTGAAATTTACCTGTTTAGGTGACAGGTAAACTATTTTGAACCGGACATTGATCGGTCTATTTAAAGTTATTTTCTTACATTTCAGCGGTTTGCATCTAATTAATTTGGTTAAAAAGATTTAAATTATCAGAAATACGTTTACAAATATGATTTGATGAAAAATTTAAAAAGGTGAAAATGAAAAATCGTAATAACCACTTGAACCAGAGACATGTCTCTGTTTGAACTAGTACACGTGTGCGCATGTACGCAGGTGTGAAATTTAATTATGCATCCTAATTTCTTCAAAAAATGCTTAAATTGTCATTGATACCTTTATCTCACGTTTATTTCGAATATTTTCTTGAAGAAATAACGTAGAAAGAGCTACTTGCACTCATTCATACTTTGCAAACGTACATGGAATTTACGTATCCGTCTCTGGTCCATGTTTTACCATTGTCAAGATAACATCCGGTTTAGATTTAAAAACGAAAGTAAAGTTTTTGACAACGTTATTTTGCACAAATAAAGAGTCTAAGCAGTTATAAGTACGCTGATGTTGCACACTTCGAATGATGCACTGCCAATTTAACAGTTTACGTCAGAACTTTGAATTTGAATCAAAGAAAGTTTAATATCGTTTTTTTTTTTAATGTCAATCATTGGGATGGCCAACTCGGCAACTGATTACCATAATTGCCTTTTATTTATTTAGTCTTAAGGGATTAAAATCGGGATAATATATTAAATGTCCGGCTGGCTAAAAATAATTTTGGAAGCCCTGGTCTGAATACTTCTAAAGATGTCAGATTTTTAAAGAGCAGTAACAACTTATATCCATGATAAAGTACACTTAAATGTTTTTTGATGTAGAATTTGCATGGACTAAAATATCAAAAATATATGAAATCCTGTTGTTAATTTTAGCTTCTAAACTGATTTCTTATTTAAATTGTAAATTTCGTGTTTGTAGAAACTAACATTTGCCAGTAATGAGAACAGTAGGATGTCTCAGGACGATGGTACACAGAGTGAAGATGAAAGTTTATCTCGAGCATCGTCAGATAGTGATGAGGTGGCAGCACGAGCAGCAGAAATTTTAGATGAAGAACCACAGGATTACTTTGAAACGACATATCATCAGAAAAGACAAATCTTTGGATTAGGTAATATTTAAGTTTAAAATTATTGAAACTATTGCGAATAATTTAAATGTGCTGAAAGAAATCATCCATGTTTAAGTTCACTGAACCTGTAAGGTCAAGGAGGTAGATTTCCTTAAATGTATAGAAGGAGAACTTTGTCTCTGGTTGGGGGATACGTCAAGGAGAAAGTTGGCCAAAGTAACAATCGTATTATACAGACATGTTAAGAACAGCAGAATAATGAGACTCGGTGGGATGTCATGTCATTTTATAGACTGTTACCTAATGTGAGGGATGTTATCTACATTCTGTAGACTGTTACCTAATGTGAGGGATGTTATCTACATTCTGTAGACTGTTACCTAAAGTGAGGGATGTTATCTACATTCTGTAGACTGTTACCTAAAGTGAGGGATGTTGTCTACATTCTGTAGACTGTTACCTAAAGTGAGGGATGTTGTCTACATTCTGTAGACTGTTACCTAAAGTGAGGGATGTTGTCTACATTCTGTAGACTGTTACCGCATGTGAGGGATGTTATCTACATTCTGTAGACTGTTACCGAATGTGAGGGATGTTATCTACATTCTGTAGACTGTTACCTAAAGTGAGGGATGTTATCTACATTCTGTAGACTGTTACCTAATGTGAGGGATGTTATCTACATTCTGTAGACTGTTACCTAATGTGAGGGATGTTATCTACATTCTGTAGACTGTTACCTAATGTGAGGGATGTTATCTACATTCTGTAGACTGTTACCGAATGTGAGGGATGTTATCTACATTCTGTAGACTGTTACCTAATGTGAGGGATGTTATCTACATTCTGTAGACTGTTCCTTAATGTGAGGGATGTTAAAAAGTCATCCATCCATTAAAAAGGTTTTAAGACTTTCACTACATTATCTTTTTCATAGGTTCTCACCTTCTAATTATATATATAAATGCCTTGCCTTTGTCAAGCAATAAGTAAGATAAATATATTTTGCAAAGTTTTTCAGTAACATTTGAGGCACTGTGACCTACATTTGATGCTTGATTTACTTTGGAGAATTTTTTTGCTGAGGTAATTTTCTCATGCAGAGGCTAAGGTTTCATATCAAAAAGGCTAAAACAATGAGTTAACTACATAGATGTAATTGTGGTGCAATGATACTCATACATTTTATTTTGTCGTTTACAGAAGAGGCAGAATTGAAAAAGAAAGAAGAAGAAAAGGAGGGGGAAAATGAAAAGACAGCTGACATGTTTTCAGAAAGTGACATGTTCAGTGAAAATTATACTGTAAGTTGTATTATTTTCATTGATAAATTAATGTTTATTAAAGTGGGGAAAATGTTCAATTATCAGGAATTGATTATTGAAATATTGGTATAGAATATGGATCCTACATTGTAGCTATATATGGCATAAGGGAGAAAACTGAAGAGTGTTTGAATATAATAACATTGTACTGATTTCAGGGAACAGAAAATGTTAAAATGTTGAAAAAATTGTAATCAAAACATGTATGTTGTCTTATCTATATTCTTTACATTTATGTCAAATGAATTCTAAGTTATGCAATCATTACATGTTCATATGTTAATGCATTTGAAAATATAAGGAATTTCATTTCTTGCTGTTTTTTCTCTCTCAACTAAATGCCACATTTTCACTTTTTTACTGAGAAGTTTTATCCCCTTTAAAATTGCTTAGGGAAATTCCATAAAACATAAATGGGACAGGGATGTTCCTTTGAAACCTCTACTAGGGATGGGTGTCAAATACAATTTGTAAAGTGAAGATGTAAGTAATATTGTAAAATTGCCTCTATAGGGGGCCTCCATTTTTAAAATGCATTGTCTAGGTACCATGTAAGTTTTAAACAGCCATAACTATAGATACTAAAATTGAGAATGGAAATGGGGAATGTGTCAAAGAGACAACATCCCGATGAGACAGTACATTTAGTTGATCTTTTAAACACTTAACTGACTGTAAAGATAGAATACTTGTTTTGTATATTACAGAGTCCAGGAGTAGCAAAGTTTACTGCCAATGTTAATGAGAATCCTAGTTTACTGGATAACTGGGATGATGCTGAGGGCTACTATAGTGAGTACATTTATACAGCTATCAAACATCAAGTGTAAAAAGCCATGCATCACAATTGAAATTTGTTTTGAGTTATTTTTTATATACTTATTTTTACTACCATGCATCTGCTTTAAATCCTGATGTAGTTAAGGTAACACATTTCAGTTTTAGGCATATTATTTTCAGTTATATGCTTCTGACAGTGGTTCCATAGTGTTAAAGGATAGCTGGTTAATTATGAGTTGAAATTCTGAGGTTTATGCTTCTTGTGGTGTTCCATAGAACCAGAGGTAGCTTGTGATTTTTTAGGTAAATTTTTTAGTTTAATACTTCCCATGTTGTCCCTAGTTTCAGATGGTGAGGTCAAATTCAGTTTTATGCTTCTCCTGGTGTTCCATAGTTTCAGAGGTAGCTGGTAAATTATGAGGCAAAATTTTTACTTTATGGCTTCCCATTGTGTTCCATACTTTCAGAGTGTTGATGCCTAATTATATGGTAATTATACCCCCGCTTTAAAAAAGTGGGGGCATACTTTTTTACCTCTGTCCGTCCATCCATCCGTCCCATGAATATTTTCGTCGCATTTTTCTCAGGAACTACACTACAAGGATTTCTGAAATTTGGTTTCAGGGTTTATATAAGTCAGCTTTACCGTATGATGCGTTTTCAGATTCATCACTCAACAACTTCCTGTTTAACGTCAAGTATTTGGGTGGGGGTATCATCATTGAGCAGTAGCTCACAGTTTCACTTGTTTTTTCTGTTTTTTGGCTTCTTGTGGTGTTCCATAGTTTCAGAGGTTGTTAATTATGATGCTATAGACTATACTTTTTTTAAGAATTGAGACTTTTCTAATTATACCCCACGCAACGAGTTGCGGAGGGTATAATGTTTTTGACCCGTCTGTCCCTCCGTCAGTCCGTCAGTCCTATTTCTTGTCATCGCAACTCCTCTCAAACCACACAACAGAATTTCACGAAACCTTTTTAGATAATAAGGACATACTATGTAGTTGTGCATATCGACAGGAAATTACGATTCAATTTTTTTTCTAGGAGTTGCGCCCCTTTGAACTTATTTACTTTAATGTACTACTGCAACAGTTTGTCATCGCAACTCCTCTCAAACCACACAACAGAATTTCATGAAACCTTTTCAGATAATAAGGACATACTACGTAGATGTGCATATCGACAGGAATTTACGATTCAATTTTTTTTCCAGGAGTTATGCCCCTTTGAACTTATTTGCCCAATATACTACTGCAACCTTTTGTCATCGCAACTCCTCTCAAACCAAACAACAGAATTTCATGAAACCTTTTCAGATAATAAGGACATACTATGTAGATGTGCATATCGACAGGAAATTAAGATTCAATTTTTTTCAAGGAGTTGTGCCCCTTTGAACTTATTTGCTTTTATGTACTACTGCAACAGTTTGTCATCGCAACTCCTCTGAAACCACACAACAGAATTTCATGAAACCTTTTTAGATAATAAGGACATACTATGTAGTTGTGCATATCGACAGGAAATTACAATTTTTTTTTTTTTTTTAGTGTTACGCCCCTTTGAACTTATTTGCTTCAATGTACTTTTGCAACAGTTTGTCATCACAACTCCTCTGAAACCACACAACAGAATTTCATGAAACTTTGTAGATAATAAGGACATACTATAGATTTGCATATTGACAGGAAATTATGATTCAATTTTTTTTTCTTATACAATTTTTTTTTCTTACCGTAGAAAGGCTTGTATAGTCCGCGGTTTTATTCTCCAAAATTGGACCTTCCAGACGGGGTGCGGACTATAGAGTACAATAAGCAAGAAATAAGAGAAAAATTTCAATTTCGCGGTCGAGGTGGTTTGTTTACGTTCCGCCATCTTTGTTATTTCTATTGTAGAGGGCGCTCTTATCATTTTTCAAACTAATAATTTTAACTCATCCATATTAATAAGTTATTTCTATTCAATATCAAATTAATACTGATAAATATAAAAACTAAACCTTTCATTACAAATTTCTCGTTTCTTTTCAATGCATTGGTTGAAATAAACTGGTATCTGCTCGATTGAAACGATACAAACATAGTGAAAAAGACAACCGTAAACCAGCTTAGAATTTGTAAACTACAAAACGAAATCGGTTATTGTTCGTTCCGTTTTGGTGTTTCATACTGACTAATATGGTTTGTATTAGCTTAAGACCCTTCAAACATTAATGTGATAGATATATTAAAGACTGTTTTACAAAAGGATGGAACTGTTTTGCTTTCAAAGTCGTATTATAGTGATATCTGTTATGTACGGATTTCGACTCTCACCGGTTAATTTCTTCTTTTACACGTGCTTTTTAAACTTCCTGTTTAAACATACACAAGTTTCTAAATTGTTTTTTAAGTGAATTAAACTTATTTTAACAATCATGAAGCGTTCTAGAATCATTAACAAGCAGTTTCAGCTTCTGTTTGATGATGGAAAACAGGTTTTTCCAAGAAAATACCGCAAACGACCGCACAGGATTTGAAATTACCGGAGTTTCATTAGACCTTTTCTAACAGTTACAAAAAGTTTTTTTTCCTAAAATTTCGTGGGGTGAAGGGGGTGCGGACTATGTACCACTGCGAACTATACAAGCCTTTCTACGGTACACTTATTTTATTTCTCCAATGACAATATGGGGACGTGGGGTATGTGAGCGCGCTCACTAAGGTTCTTTAATTATACCCCACGCAACGAGTTGCGGAGGGTATAATGTTTTTGACCCGTCTGTCCTTCCGTCTGTCTGTCAGTCCGTCAGTCCTATTTCTTGTCATCGCAACTCCTCTCAAACCACACAACAGAATTTCATGAAACTTTTTTAGATAATAAGGACATACTATGTAGTTGTGCATATCGAAATTACGATTCAATTTTTTTTCTAGGAGTTACGCCCCTTTGAACTTATTTACTTTAATGTACTACTGCAACCTTTTGTCATCGCAACTCCTCTCAAACCACACAACAGAATTTCATGAAACCTTTTCAGATAATAAGGACATACTGCGTAGATGTGCATATCGACAGGAAATTACGATTCAATTTTTTTCCCTGGAGTTACGCCCCTTTGAACTTATTTGCCAAATATACTACTGCAACCTTTTGTCATCGCAACTCCTCTCAAACCACACAACAGAATTTCATGAAACCTTTTCAGATAATAAGGACATACTACGTAGATGTGCATATCGACAGGAAATTACGTTTCAATTTTTTTCCCAGGAGTTATGCCCCTTTGAACTTATTTGCCCAATATACTACTGCAACCTTTTGTCATTTCAACTCCTCTCAAACCACACAACAGAATTTCATGAAACTGTGTAGATAATAAGGACATACTATGTAGATGTGCATATTGACAGGAAATTATGATTCAATTTTTTTTTCTGTTACAATTTTTTTTTCTTACACTTATTTTATTTCTCCAATGACAATGTGGGGATGTGGGGTATATGAGCGCGCTCAATAAGGTTCTTTCATTATTTCTTAAAGAATTTAAAGACGTAATGGAAATTCATACTTTGAAGTGTGTTTCTAAGGTGGGGTAAACTTTTCTGAAGACAAACAGTTAAGTAACTGAAAAGTCCTGAAATGTGGCAGACAAGAAATAAATTTGATGAAACTGTTTTGATAAAATGGAAATGGCTTTTCCCAGTTTCAGGAGCAGGTGAAGGAATATGGAAAACTGGATGACAGGAACCTTATAAGCCCAGAACTATTACTAACCTTATTTCCACATCATTATTAAATTTTCAATGGAAAGTCAGGTTAAATGTAGGAAACTAAAATTGAGAATGGAAATGGGGAATATGTCAAGGTGACAACAACCCAACCAAAGAGCAGATAACAGCCGAAGGCCACCAATGGGTCTTCAACGTAGCGAGAAAATCCCACACCCGGAGGTGGTCCTCAGCTGGCCCCTAAATAAAAATGAGTACTAGTTCAGTGAAAATGGATGTCATACTAATCTCCAAAACATATAAATGAACTAAAATTAAAAAACATACAAAACTAACATAGGCCAGAGGCTCCTGACTTGGGACAGGCGCAAAAATGCGGCAGGGTTAAACATGTTTTGTGAGATCTCAACCCTCCCACTATACCTCTAGCCAATGTAGAATAAAGAAGCACAAAGCTATAAACACAGTAAAACTCAGTTTAAAAGAAGTCTGAGTCCGATGTCAGAATAGGTAACAAAAGAAACTAAGCAAAATGACAATGATACATAAATTAACAAAGAACTAATAGCAGTTACTGACATGCCAGCTCCAGACCTCAATTAAACTGATTGAAAGATTGTGTCTTCATCTATGAAAATCAAGCACAATCCCTCCCGTTAGGGGTTTAATATCATACCATCATAAAATATATGAGAAGAACATAACCCGTATCATGCCAACAACTGGTTTTAGCATAAATGTGTTTATTTCCGATGCAAAGACCCTATGAGTGAATTAATATTAATAAATACCAAAATATGCAATCCTTAATGACATGACAACAGTATGGTAACTATATCCCTTTCAAATAAATCTGTTTAAGGGTTTGGTTATTGTCATGTTGAACTTGTACTAAATATTAGAAAGAAATCTCATTCTATACATTTTATCTGCATAAAGGATTTAAACATTACATGTGCTCTATATTTTAGGAGTGAGAGTTGGGGAAAACTTAGATAAAAGATATTCCGTGTATGGATATACTGGACATGGTGTGTTCAGTAGTGTAGTCAGGGCTAGAGACGAGGCCAGGGGGAAAATGGATGTAGCCATTAAAATTATTAGAAACAACGAAATGATGTAAGTATTATATTTATCAATAAACTGGAAGATGGTGTGTGAAAAAAATGTTGTCTGGGCTAGTCAACTACCTGGAAATAATAAAATTGAAATGCTGTAACTATTGAGTGTATGATTGAGTTTTGAAGTGTGATGTCCAGTAATCTGGTTTAGAGGCTAATAAAAAATAATGAAATGCTGAGTAACTTGGGATTTTTTAATTCAGTGAAGATAAATTGTCAGAAATATTAAATATGACTGAGTCTTTTTTGTACAATCACAAGAATATGAGAATGAACAGATATTTACTATTGAAGTCAAATAAAAAATATATGTGTGGTTCCAATTAGTGTCCGACCCTAGTTTTAACCCCCCAACTCTAGAACTTTTCTTTGCATTTCTGAAAAAAAAAATCTGAAAGATCCCATTTTCTGGAATACGAACTTCAATAATTAAATTCATGAACTTCTGTCATCTGAAATTTCCGTTAGAAGTATTCACTACAGCTAAAAATTTCCGTTAGAAGTATCCACTACAGCTAAAAATTTCCGTTAGAAGTATCCACTACAGCTAAAAATGCAACAAATTCTTAACAGAATGTGTAACAAAATTATCTGAAAACATAACATGTCTGTTTATTTTACAACCAATACAACCAAACATATAGAAAATGGTGAATTTCCAGTAGGGGTGTGTATAATACCCGAACCTGACTTGGGGGAAAACACAAATTTTTCCAGAATTTTTTTTTTTTTTAAATACCGAACTTCTGACCCTATTTTTTTTCACAACATAACTGGAACCACATGTTTATTTTTATTTGGCCTCAAAATAAATGGTCAGAAATTTTATACAAATAATTTGTCTTCATTTATTAATTAGAAGAAGATAACAAACAGATAAAATGTAAAGGTGTTTTCCCGTAAATTATTAGATGAAGTAATTTACAAATGAATGGTTATGGGGTAATGATAAGATATTTCTATTTTTCAGGCACAGGACTGGTTTAAAGGAATTAGAGTTCCTTCGTAAGCTGAATGATGCAGATCCTGATGACAAATTCCATTGTTTACGACTCTACAGACATTTCTTTCATAAAAACCATCTCTGTTTAGTATTTGAATCTTTAAGGTAAATACCAGTTAATCTCAGAAGATTTAGTTTGAAATGGAAAAACAAGCCTGAATTGAGAACTGAATGAACATTGCCAATAAGAATTTTAATTAATGGCTGAGACATACCCTCAAGTCTGGTAATTTAGTTTGTCTGATTAATTTGCTCATAATTCTATGCTTCTGTATCACAGAATGATTTTATGGTCTCACCTGCGACGAAAGTCACAGAATGCGAGACATAGGGATTACAATCTGGCAAGGGCGTAAACTATTTTCTATATAAAGCTTTAAATTTCAGAAGGTAGTTGACCTTGATGTTTCATACCTTGTATGCAGATGTTATGAAGTTTCTGTCTGTCAAATGTCCTCGTTAGTGACTGCTTGAAAAAAATTATAGTTTTTATGCCCCCGCCGTAGCGGAGGGGGCATTAAGTTTTACCCTTGTCCGTCTGTACGTCCGTCCGTACATCCCAAAGTTGGTTTCCTTTCTCTAACTTTAATTTTCCTCTACCAAATGTTATGAAACTTATACACAATGCTTATTACCACAAAACACAGATCAAGTTTGAATTTTGGTGGTGTCACTTTAACCATTCTAGAGTTATGCCCCTTTATAAATGGAAAAATTGCTGAATTTTTAGATTCTGTTCTCCAACTTAAGTTTACCTGAACCAAATGTTATGAAACTTATACACAATGCTTATTAAGGTCTAAATTTCTTACCTTGACCTCATTTCATGGATCAGTGATCAAGGTTAAAGTTACAGGGTCAAGTCCGTATCTCAGATACTATAAGCAATAGGACCACTATTATTTGTGTATGAATTGATTGTAAGGTTAACATGTGCGGCTGGCAGGTTTCATCTGACTTTGACCTCATTTTCATGGTTCATTGGACAATTTTGTTTTTGATGTTTGGTCTATTTTTCAGATACTATTAGCAATTGGTCAATTATAGTTGGTGAATGGAATGACAGTAAGGTGAACATGTCTGTCTGGCAGGTTTCATATGACATGACCTCATTTTCATGGTTCTTTTGTCAATGTTAAAATTTTGTGGTTTTAACTGTTTCTCAGGTACTATAAGCGATAGGACCATTATATTTGGTGCATGAAATGATTGTAGTTGTACATGTCTTTCTGGTATGGTTCATCTGACCGTGATTTCATTTTTATAGAACATTGATAATGTTAAGTTTAATTGATGCTTGTTGTTCAACCTACATATTACAGACTATCAACATAAATTCAATCATAAGTAAAGCAAGGGAGACATTTCATTGTGTGCACTCTTGTATCTTTATTTGAACATTAATGTTGAATTGTACCATGTAATTTATTTCAAGATCTGCCAGACAGTCACTTCCTGTTTAACAATACTATGAATTCTGATTGTATTCACTGTTATTTATGTTTTTTTTTCAGTATGAATCTACGAGAAATATTGAAGAAATATGGTAAAGATATAGGATTACATATAAAAGCGGTCAGATCATATGCACAGCAACTGTTACTGGCGCTCAAACTTCTAAAGAGATCCAGTATATTACATGCTGACATCAAACCAGATAATATATTGGTAAGTTATCTGTTGGAGGGGAATATCTTTCATGAAATTTTCAAAAAAGAAATCTGTGATGTGCATTCAATTATTTGAATTTCCTTCCATTTGGAAAGAGCTCTTAATTGATAAATCAACAGGAGTTCTGAACATTAACTGTGACTTTAAAGCGTCAGCTCTGCTTTTCAAGCCTGAAACATATTTCTCATGAATTGTGTACAAAATTACAAAACTTGATCCTGACTTGTATTACGTAAACATGATGTAATAATAATTGAGAAATTACTGTTAAATGACAGATTCTTTTCTGTAAAGAATGTTTGATAACAGGTTCTGCAACAGTTTTTAAATACTGTTAATTCAGAAATTATTGTGAGGTTTTATTATTGTGAATAATGCAACTGTGTGAGTATTGCAATAATAAAAACTCGCATTCTGATATCCGATATATATGTCTGTATGCAGATTTTCCAGAAATTGCAATAATCTTGCATTTTTGTCCACCCTTCAAAAATAGCGATAATAAATGCATGCAATAATTTCTGAATTTACAGTACTGGGTTTTTGTCGAGCCTGCGACTTTTGTCGCAGAAAGCTCGACATAGGGATAGTGATCCGGCGGCGGCGTTAGCTAACTTCTTAAAAGCTTTATATTTTAGAAGGTGGAAGACCTGGCTGCTTCATACTTTGTATATGGATGCCTCATGTTACGAAGTTTCCGTCAGTCACATGTCTAATGTCCTTGACCTCATTTTCATGGTTCAGTGACTACTTGAAAAAAAAGTTGAAGATTTTTTGTAATGTTAAATTCTCTCTTATTATAAGTAATAGGATCACTATATTTGGTATGTGCGTACCTTGCAAGGTCCTCATGCCTGTCAGACAGTTTTCACTTGACCTCTACCTCATTTCATGGATCAGTGAACAAGGTTAAGTTTTGGTGGTCAAGTCCATATCTCAGATACTATAAGCAATAGGTCTAGTATATTCGGTGTATGGAAGGACTGTAAGGTGTACATGTCCAACTGGCAGGTGTCATTTGACCTTGACCTCATTTTCATGGTTCAGTCGTTATAGTTAAGTTTTTGTGTTTTGGTCTGTTTTTCTTATACTGTATGCAATAGGTCTACTATATTTGGTGTATGGAATGATTGTAAGGTGTACATGTCTAGCTGGCAGGTGTCATCTGACCTTGACCTCATTTTCATGGTTCAGTGGTTATAGTTTAGTTTTTGTGTTTTGGTCCGTTTTTCTTATACTTTATGCAATAGGTCTTCTATATTTGGTGTATGGAATGATTGTAAGGTGTACATGTCCAACTGGCAGGTGTCATCTGACTTTGACCTCATTTTCAGGGTTCAGTGGTCAAAGTTAAGTTTTTGAGTTTATGTCTTTTTTCTTATACTATATGCAATAAGTCAACTATACTTGGTGTATGGAAATATTCTATGATGTACATGTCAGTCTCGCAGGTTTTATTTGACCTTAACCTCATTTTCACAGTTCATTGCTCAGTGTTAAGTTTATGTGTTTCAGTCTGTTTTTCTTAAACTATATAAGCAATAGGTCAGCTATATTTGTTGTATGGAAGGATTGTAAGCCGTTCATGTCTGCCTGGCATTGTTCATCTGACCTTGACCTCATTTTCACGATTCATTGGTCAATGTTTAGTTTTCTTGGTTAAGTCTGTTTCTTAGAAACTATAAGCAATAGGTCAACAAAATTTAGTGTATTGAATGATTGTAAGGTGTACATGTATTTCTCGTTTGGTTTATATGACCTTGACTTCATTTTCTTGGATCATGTTAAGTTCATGTAATAGTTGTAGTAAAGCTTTCATTTAGGACTATCAACATAATATCAATGGTTAGTAAAGAAGGCGAGACATTTCAGCGTGTGCACTCTTGTTTAGCTTTAACTCCAAATATGAAAAAATGTCAATATAAAAGGAAATGAGATTTCATATCTGGACTTCAGTCTGAATAGAAATCTATAGCCACATTCAAAATAAAATAAATACAACTGTTCTTAATATTTGTAGGTAAATGAGTCCAAGTTACTGCTGAAGTTGTGTGATTTTGGTTCAGCATCTCATGTTTCTGACAATGACATCACTCCTTACTTAGTCAGCAGGTTTTACAGAGCTCCTGAGATTAGTAAGTATTCAGTAATGGCTATGTCTGTAGTGTTATGGTGAACTTTTGGGCTAGGACAGAAAAAAATGAGCTGTATAAATTATTAAATGTTATGTTATCCATGTGAAAAGTAATATAAAATGTAATTTTTTTAGTCAGGAAAATTTTCAAATACATCGATATAATACATATAGCATGAATTATATATTTTATCCTTCAGCAAAACAGAGGCTATTTGATTTGCATTAAACAAATTTCGATGCCCTGCTTTCAGTAGATTGTGGGATTTATGTTTTCTGGTCTATGCATTTGTCTTTCTGTTTACCTGTCACAACTTGAAACTTAGTACACATGTTCATTGTGCGGGGAACTTTTCAAATTGTATCCTGAATAAAGATTTTTTCCCCAATTTCACAGCTCACTGAACATGGACATGATATTGCCAGTGGTTCATGGTGTCCTTTGGCCTCATTCATGTTTTGAATAAATTTCTTACATGTACCTGCAGCAAAATTTATGTAAAGTCAACAAAAACAGAAAAGTTGTTTATATTTGTAAATCATCTGATTTCCTTAGAGTTGTGGTTCAGTTTTAGTAACAAATATTTTCTGTTTCAGTCCTAGGTATGGGTTACGACCATGCTATAGACATGTGGTCAGTTGGATGTACCCTGTATGAACTGTATACTGGAAAGATCCTGTTTCCAGGAACTTCGAACAATGAAATGTTAAAGTTTATGATGGATGTGAAGGGTAAAATGCCACATAAGGTGATACGTAAGGGTATGTTTAAGGACAACCATTTTGACAGCAACTACAATTTTCTGTACATGGAAGTGGATAAAGTTACGCACAGGGTAAGTGAACTTTCAGTTACGTATGAATTGGAGAGATTTTATCAAAGACAGTAATTATTTTGCTAAAGAAAAACAATTCCAATTCCTTCTATGCATGCAACCTTCTAAATCGGGAATGTCTTTTATTAGCTATATTTTGAGAAATCATTGATTATAGTTATACTATACAAATATTTAGTCATGATAAAGGATTAATTGATCATTAACTTGACAATTCTTTACACATTAAAAGTAATTTTATCATCTGTAAATGATATGACCTGATTCTACCTTTAAATGTAACTTGTTTTAATCTGATAGTTGTTTAAATAGGTTTATCCATCACATTTGGAAGGAGGGTGTTGTAGGAGTTCCAATGTGGAAAAGTGGTGTTTCTAGCTCAAATTTCATTAGTTTTAATGCAAGTTATTTAAATTTTGCAAAACTGAACTGGTTAAAACCCCAAGATTGAAGAATTCTCTGCTTTGATCTGCCATATTTAATTGATAATGGTGTATTGTGTAGCTTTCACAATATTTGGATTGATTAAATCTAATTGAAACCTAATCAGTATAAAAGTCCCCCTTTACATTTATATCTGAAACAGCCTGGACTTAATCAGTCATTTAAAAAGAAAATATTATTACTTCCCCTTGAAGTAAACTTGATTTTATGTAAAGTATATAATAATTTTGGGTTCCCTGTTTGTACTTTTGAAAGTAATAATTTTTTGTTGAACTTTCAAAATGTTGCAATAGAAAATTAAATGCATATCTGCTCACTATATATATTGCCACATTCTTGTTTTTTTATGCCCCCGCTGTAGCGGAGGGGGCATTAAGTTTTACCCTTGTCCGTCTGTACATATATGTACGTCTGTACGTCCGTACGTCCCAAAATTGGGTTCCGTTCTCTAACTTGAGTTTGCCTCAACCAAATGTTATACACAATGCTAATTACCACAAAACACAGATCAAGTTTGAATTTTGGTGGCGTCACTTAAATGGTTCTAGAGTTATGCCCCTTTATAATGGAAAAATTGCTAAATTTTTAGTTTCCGTTCTCTAACTTAAGTTTGCCTCAACCAAATGTTATGAAACTTATACACAATGCTTATTATCACAAACTACAGATCAAGGGTGAATTTTGGTGGCGTCACTCAAACCATTCTAGAGTAATGCCCCTTTATAAATGGAAAAAATGCAAAACTTTTAGTTTCCGTTCTCTAAAGTTTGCCTCAACCAAATGTTATTAAACTTATACACAATGCTTATTACCACAAAACACATATCAAGTTTGAATTTTGGTGGCGTCACTCAAACCGTTCTAGAGTAATGCCCCTTTATAAAAGTTTCTGTTCTCTAACTTAAGTTTGCCTCAACCAAATGTTATGAGAATTACACACAATGCTTATTACCACAAAACTCAGATCAAGTTCAAATTTGGGTAGCGTCACTTGTACCGTTCTTCAGTTATGTCCCTTTATAACTATATGATATGCAAGATGGGGCATCATCTGTGTCCACATGTGGACACGATCCACATTTATTAACTTTTTAACTACTATATTTGTATATTATTCTAGCAGGAAATAAGTTTGTTAGTTTGACTTAGGAGGAATATGAGATATGTGTGAACAGTATAATGCAAAGTATTATAATGACTGCATATGTGATGCTAATTAAAATACTATCGATAATTTCTTCATCCCATGTTTAATTAAAATTTTTTGAAAAATCTAATTATTTTTTTTATTCAAATAACAAACTTTTACACATGACTATTTAAGTAACATCAGCTAAATTTGAAACCGAAAATTATTCCAATTCTCTATTTTAACAGCTGTCTCCAGTTTGTCAATCTTTTATGTTTTTGTAGGAAAAGGTCACAGGTCTGACACAAATAAACATTTCCAAACCGTTATTGTCCGAAATGGTAGGCTTCCAGAGACTCCCCGAAGACCAATTGAAAAAAGTAATGCAATTAAAGGACTTACTGGATAAAGTGCTCATGTTGGATCCCAGTAAACGAATCAGTATCAACCAAGCATTGACTCATCCGTTCATTCAGGAGAAAATATAAATTGTGTTATTCATATTCAATTGGATTAATGGATATAAATGTTTGACATCAAGATAGTGGAGGTTTATTTGTAAGTCTAAAAGATATTGTACGGTAAGATGTAGTGCCATGGAATGAAGGTTAGAATATCAGACCAGACATTGAATGTGAAACAAACTCATGCAACAAAATATACACTGAACATTGAATTAAGAATTGATTAAGATTTCATATAGTCTTAATTATTTTACAGTTCTTAAGCATAGTTATTTTCATGTAATTCTTGAAAACTTATAATTTTGATAATTGAAAATTCCTCTTTTTCCTTAGAAAAATAATGGAAACCAGGATTTCATGAAAATCTCTATGTTTTTAGTAGTAAAATACTCCAATTTTAGTACGGCAACCAGTGATATTATATTGAATTTGAAACAGACATTGTAGGACTTCACATGTAGATGATATATTATTATGTAATTTGTTGTCATGGAAACTAACATGCTAATTTGTGTTTCAGTTCGCTGTGATATGGAATAATCACAGACTGTTTACCTTTTAACTGATCAGTTGCAAGAGTTGAGCAAAGGTAACCATACAAACATGGGGAAGGGGTTTCTATTTTGATTAATTGGTTTATATTAAACTAATTTTTGTTTAGAGTTCAATTGGTAAGTGAAACTCCTTTATGTATGATTTAAGTTGTCAGCGTCATTTAGTTTCATCCATGTCTGTCTAAACATGTATAGTTAAAAATTGTCATGAGAAAATCATTTGAACTTTAATGTTATAAGAAACCACAAAACTAATAACATTTATCACATATATGAGCCTCTAGATAAAAGAGACAATTTCAAAATTTTTAATTTCTATTCAAAAACTTGATTTTTCCACATTGAAATTTTTCCACAAGTCAAAAGGGATTTGGCTAACTTTAAATTTATAGAATGAGAGTTCATTTTCATTTTACAAATGGCATGTTTGTTAAACACAATTATCATTTTGGACTGGAGACATTTGTGTCGGAGGACACAGCTTTATGTTTTACACTTTTGGTTCATACATTACAATTATTTAATAAAAATGAAACAATGTTTTAAAAATAAACATGAAATAATCAAAATATTAAAAAAACAATTGTAAATAAATTTTTATTATAGAATTTCATGTTTGACTTTTTTTTGCATACAAATTTTCTTTTCTTTTTTTTTTTTTAATAATTCAAATTTGAAATGAATTAATTTAAGTGAATTCTTACAAAAATAAATCATTTTTGACTGGGGTTTATTTTTCAGATAGTTGAAGAATTCTGTTTCCAACATATTGAGGTCTAACAATTTTACAGTCTTATCTAAAGATAAGTGCTTTATGAGGTAGAAAAAGGTGTGAATTTATAGTACCTAAATATCCCTGTTTTCACCAAAAAAGTATTTTCACAAAATGCATGTATAAAACTCAATTTTGTCATCATAGCAAAAACTTTGCAATATATTTAACATATGTAAATTCATCTTGTGTTTATGATTGTTCCAAAAAAGAGAATATTTCTACAATTATGTCAAATTTAGCAGCAATTTATGTATATGTTAGTGATTATGTATAAAGACATTAATTGATTTTATGTAAATCTGTTGACTATGTACTTTTTTCATGCAGGAAAGTCCAAGGAATAAAATACAGACTGATATCAAAGAGCTTGGGAGTTTTTCTTGTAAAATTCAGTGGTTATCAACCAGTGCTGTTGTGGTAATAACCCTTTATATACTTATATGGGTATTACTATTGCTTAGTTTAAACCTAGTGTTGTCAGTTTAAGGGTTTGTTCAATAAAACATGACTTCTGGTGCATGTTGTGTCTCTGGTTTCAGATAGTCATTAGATGCAAATTGTCTGAGCGCTTTGAAAATAAAAAAAAATTCCAAGGGACAATTTAATTTTGCATCCATATTTAATTGCAGTTAATGCTTCTTTAATTTATAGCACTTACTCTTTTCATACTTAGTTTTTATACGACCGCAAAAATTGAAAATTTTTTGGTCGTATATTGGTATGACGTTGGCGTCGTCGTCGTCGTCGTCGTCTGGCGTCGTCCGGCGTCGTCCGAAGACACATTGGTTTTCGCACTCTAACTTTAGTTTAAGTGAATGGATCTCCATGAAATTTTACCATAAGGTTCAATACCACGAAAGGAAGGTTGGGATTGATTTTGGGGGTTATGGTACCAACAGTTAAGGAATTAGGGGCCAAAAAGGGGCCAAAAATAAGCATTTTTGTAATTCCAGACAATAACTTGTGTGTAAGTGTATGGATCTCTCTGACATTGTACCACAAGGTTCCATATCACAAAGGGAAGGCTGTAATTGATTTTGGGGGTAATTGCCTCAAAATTTTAGGAATTAGGGGCCAAAAAAGGGGCAAAAAACAAGCATTTTTCTAGTTTCATGACAATAACTTGTGTGTAAGTGTTTGGATATTTCTGAAATTGTACTACAAGGTTCCATATCACAAAGGGAAAGCTGGAATTGAGTTTGGGGATAATTGCCTGAAACGTTTAGGAATTGGGGGCCAAAAAGGGGCCAAAAATAAGCATTTTTCTAGTTTCCAGACAATAACTTGTGTACAAGTGTATGGATCTCTCTGAAATTGTACTGCAAGGTACCATACCACAAAGGGAAGGCTGGGATTGAGTTTGGGGGTGATGAATCATAAGGGGGTTCAAAAAATTTGGGGGGGGGATTTTTTTTTTTTCTTTTTTTTTCTTTTTTTCCTTTTTTTTTTCTTTTAAAATTTTCCATTTTAAGTTGGTTATTTCTGATTAATATTTAAAAGCAAATAATAATGATATGGTAGGAGTTACACACCAAACAGGATGTGTAAATTATTATATAATAAGTATTGTGCAATAGCAAGAAATTTTCAATTGCACAGTATTGCACAATTGCAAGAAATCTTCAATTGCACAGTATTGCGCAATAGCAAGAAATCTTCAATTGCACAGTATTGCGCAATAGCAAGAAATATCCAATAGCACAATATTGCGCAATAGCAAGAAATTGTCAATTGTACAGTATTGCACAATAGCAAGAAATATTCAATTGCACAGTATTGTGCAAAAGAAGATACTTCGTATAAATTGCTTATTTCTTGATCAATTTCAATGGGGTTTTATTCTTGAATTCTTGGGGTTCTTTAATATGCTGAATCTAACCGTGTATTAAGTTTTTGGATTTTGGGCCCCGTTTTTAAATTGGTCTACATTAAGGTCAAAAGGGTCCAAAATTAAACTTAGTTTGATTTTAACAAAAATTGAATTATTGGGGTTCTTTGATATGCCGAATCTAACCGTGTATTTAGATTCTTGATTATGGGCCCAGTTTTCAAGTTGGTCCAAATCGGGGTCCAAAATTAAACTTTGTTTGATTTCAACAAAAATTGAATATATGGGGTTCTTTGATATGCTGAATCTAACCATGTATTTAGATTTTTAATTTGTGGGCCCCGTTATCAACTTTGTCCACATTGAGGTCAAAAGGGTCCAAAATTAAACTTTGTTTGATTTCATCAAAAATTGAATTCTTGGGGTTCTTTGATATGCTGAATCTAACCATGTATTTAGATTTTTTATTTGTGGACCCGCTATCAAATTGGTTCATATTGAGGTCAAAAGGGTCCAAAATTAAACTTTGTTTGATTTCATCAAAAATTGAATTATTGGGGTTCTTTGATATGCCAAATCTAACCGTGTATTTAGATTTTTAATTTGGGGTCCCGTTTTTAAATTGGTCTACATTAAGGTCCAAAGGGTCCAAAATTAAACTTAGTTTGATTTTAACAAAAATTGAATTCTTGGGGTTCTTTGATATGCTGAATCTAAACATGTGTTTAGAATTTTGATTATGGGCCCAGTTTTCAAGTTGGTCCAAGTTGGGGTCCAAAATTAAACTTTGTTTGATTTCAACAAAAATTGAATATATGGGGTTCTTTGATATGCTGAATCTAAACATGTATTTAGATTTTAGATTTTTGGCCCAGTTTTCTAGTTGGTCCAAATTGGGGTCCAAAATTAAACTTTGTTTGATTTCAAGAAAAATTGAATATATGGGGTTCTTTGATATGCTGAATCTTACCATGTATTTAGATTTTTTATTTGTGGGCCCGCTATCAAATTGGTTCATATTGAGGTCAAAAGGGTCCAAAATTAAACTTTGTTTGATTTCATCAAAAATTTAATTATTGGGGTTCTTTGATATGCCAAATCTAACTGTGTATTTAGATTTTTAATTTTGGGTCCCGTTTTTTAAATTGGTCTACATTAAGGTCCAAAGGGTCCAAAATTAAACTTAGTTTGATTTTAACAAAAATTGAATTTTTGGGGTTCTTTGATATGCTAAATCTAAAAATGTGTTTAGATTTTTGATTATGGGACCAGTTTTCAGGTTGGTCCAAGTTGGGGTCCATAATTAAACTTTGTTTGATTTCAACAAAAATTGAATATATGGGGTTCTTTGATATGCTGAATCTAAACATGTATTTAGATTTTTGATTTTTGGCCCAGTTTTCAAGTTGGTCCAAATTGGGGTCCAAAATTAAACTTTGTTTGATTTCAACAAAAATTGAATATATGGGGTTCTTTGATATGCTGAATCTTACCATGTATTTAGATTTTTTATTTTGTAGGCCCGCTATCAAATTGGTTCATATTGTGGTCAAAAGGGTCCAAAATTAAACTTTGTTTAATTTCATCAAAAATTGAATTATTGGGGTTCTTTGATATGCCAAATCTAAATGTGTTTTTAGATTTTTAATTTTGGGTCCCGTTTTTTAAATTGGTCTACATTAAGGTCCAAAGGGTCCAAAATTAAACTTAGTTTGATTTTAACAAAAATTGAATTCTTGGGGTACTTTGATATGCTGAATCTAAACATGTGTTTAGATTTTTGATTATGGGACCAGTTTTCAAGTTTGTCCAAGTTGGGGTCCAAAATTAAACTTTGTTTGATTTCAACAAAAATTGAATATATGGGGTTCTTTGATATGCTGAATCTAACCATGTATTTTGATTTTGGACATTGGACCATAATAGGTAAATTAAAAAAATTGAAGTTCTTAGACCACATTCTTTCTGTGTCAGAAACCTATGCTGTGTCAAATATTTAATCACAATCCAAATTCAGAGCTGTATCAAGCTTGAATGTTGTGTCCATACTTGCCCCAACTGTTCAGGGTTCGACCTCTGCGGTCGTATCAAGCTGCGCCCAGCGAAGCATTTTATTTAAATTTATTTTTCAAATACTTGGGGGTTGACCTTTTGTTTTTATTGAAAGGGACAAACAGAAATGTGAATGCAAATGCTACTTAAAGGTAAAAGCTGTAAAGCACCAACAACTAATTCTTTAAGAACAAGTTTCCTAATAAAAAAAAGTGACTTAAGGCCCCTTACTACACAATAAAAAATATATTTATAAGCGTCAGAATTCTTTTTTCTTGATGGATACCCTATTTTCTGAGTACTATCACAAAATGGTACAATATGACACCATCATCATGGCATGGGATTCTTTTCTCATACTGACACAATAGCAAATCAAGAAAACAACGAGGACATTTTGTGCCATAATTGAATCTTTACCAATAAAAAACTGGAAACAGGCAAACTATTATCACAAAACAAACAACCAGTAAGGAAAATGGCAAGTAATTTGTTCCTGGGTGTTTATGGAGAAAATTTAACTATGGAGGTAGAGACTTGATTGCATTTATTACTTCATGACCTACTTGATATCTACAACATAAAGTGTTCTGCAAATCTTAGAAAAACCTCTTTCAGTAAAAACTTACTATCTTTGTGTCTGTTATAGAAAACTGACAATATATCAGTGGGATGTTTGAGAGTGATTGTAATAAACAAAAAAATGAGCAAGTGAATTGGCAACTTATCTGTTTGGTGTTGACGAGGGTGATTGTAAGAAACCAACAATAAAAAAAATCCTAGATCTTGCTGAACTTTTAAAAAGAATGAGGTGTGGGCAGACAAGTTAATTCTGTACTGCTTTTGACAGATTTAAATTGTCTGCTGGTTGAAAATAACAATAAAATGTTGTAAATGGCAAATATTGTAATAAAATTAAGATTAGGTTTTCAGGATGAAAATCTAGGATTTTATTTATTATGGTTGATTGGATTGATGCATTTTATACCAGCTTGTGAAGCCATCAAGTTCAGTAATTTGAGAGGAATATGTTGTTGTAAACTGAAATAAGACTAATTACAATTTATCAAAAGATAAGCTTTACAGAGAAGTAATGATAAATAGTATATCTAATATTTTTCTTTTTTTCTTTTGCACAACCTGAACATGTCAAGTGACGATTCATTGCCACAGGGGAGAGAAGTCAGCGCCAAAGGAACATGATACCATGTAATGTTGATGATAGCATCAGTTATTGTTAAATGTAGATTTGTAAAGTACTTTGGCGTAGAAAATGATTCCCTAGGGGGAATGTTGTTAGCCACAGGGGATAAGTTTATTCTTATGACATTAATAAGAGTTAAGACTTAATAGGGTTCATAAAAAGATATTTGCAATTTTTCTTATCAATTATTTTAAGATGATCAACAATTGGTAGTAATCTGAAAACATTGCATTATATTTTTTTTTTCATCTATTCTGATAATTAGTATAAATGAATTTCTAAAATCCATCAACTTTGTAAGGTTATTTGCGATATAAATAGAGAGAATGATATGCAGACAACATTAATTTGTTATAAGTCCATGTTATTTTTTAGGCTTATTAATTGTTTTATATTATTATTTGCAGTTATCTTTAATTTTTGTTCTTATAACGTCATAGATAAGCATTTTATTTTTGTGCTATTACACATAGTATTGACTTCTTTGTAGAAAAAAATGTATCTGTTATATATGCCTTTTTGGGGACGAAAACAGGTTTTGACAGTGCTTTTAATCAAACTGCCTTTTCACCGCTGTGAAATTTTATTGTTTTTATTTTCAGTTCTCAATGAGTTTTGAAGATTCAGTTTTACTTTTGACCTATCATGCGACAAATAACATTTCAATTGTAGGAGATTGATAAAATATTTTTCAACATTTTCTGTTTTTTTGTTATTTATGTTGTAGGACAGACCAGGAAGAACATTACAGAATACAGATAGGTCTATAAGGTTGTTATTACAGGGATATAGATGAACACTATTTCTAGAGTAACCAAGTTATGCTTTTACAATATCTCTGAAACCACAAACTAGATTTCAATAAATCTCACAGAATCTTTCTTTTATTCAAAGTGCTATTTTGTACCTCAATTTTTTCACTTTATTGGTTGGGTTTCATATAGAATAATATTTATTTTGGCATTTTTAAAAACAATTGAAGGAGCAGGGATATGATTTTTTTGTGGTCCTTGCTCAGTTTTTTTTAGTTTATTAAAAAAAAGTCATGGTGATAATTCAAGCTTCAAACTATAGTTGCATTAATTTCTATAGAAAATTTGTTGAAAATAAAAAAAATTAGACCCCTCAAATTTGAAATGGACACTGCAGTCTTCTATGTGTCTAAATAGTTAAGAACAAAAGGTAAGTTTTGAAACTTTAAGTAATTCTTTGAAACACACAAAATATCAGGAGAAAATCAGTTGCTTTTCAATAATGTTCCAAATTAAGTACACACAAATTGAAAATATTCAGTAGAATTTTTCTAGACCACAATAATTATATGTCAACTGCAATCCTGTACCTGCTCATCTGTTCTTCTTTAAGCAATAGACAAATTCAGTTGTGGATATTTTTCATTGATTCAGAAGCAAGAACAGCCGAAACCAAACTTCAGTAATACTGAAATAAATGAATCCTTCATTGGATATTAGCATAATATCTTGTCATCTGTTATGAAGCTAAGATTTCAAATATTGTAGCTCTAACATCCAAGTACATGTATTCTTCACGATCAAGGGTGCAGGACCAACTTGTACAGTGACTATAATGATCCCTGATTAGATTGTACTTAAACTAATGCGTCTATTAATTTCAGCTTTAGTGGGAGGAGTTTCATATTTAAAGTATTATATTTGACAAATGTAACTCACCAATGTTTTATTGTTATTTTAGGTATGTACAAAGATGCAATGGTTCTGGTCAGGGGTGTATGTCCAACGTCATATAAAGGGAGATAATTGGTAGAGATTTAGAAAGAACATTTTAATGGCATGGAGAATTGAAATTTCACATTTGGAAAAATGATTTTGACATTTTCATCAGACAATCTTTATATTTCAACATGTTCAATATGAGAATGTTATGTTTATATGTCCCGACGAAGCGAAGGGGCATTAAGTTTTACCCTTGTTTATTTATAAAATATTTGTTTAGTGAGTTGTCTGTTTTGATTTTAGGAAATAGTTATCAGCCTAAAAAAAATATGAAACATGAAAAACAAACTTGTAGATATGACAAAAATTGTCGCCTAAGAGTTGATTAATATGTTTCAGTTTGATATTACACAACAAAAAATGGAGATTAACCTTCATGAAAAAAGAGGAATACGAGATGGTTAGATGTAAGACATATTTATCCATGTTTGACTTTGCACAAATAAAAAATGGAGACAACTACCCATTAAACACTAAAATTAGGATCTAGGCTGTCCGATAAATTCTCCAGTTTATTGCACAACAAAATCTAAGGAATACTTAATCAAACTGTATTATTCTTTAAGAATCTTGGATATTCAAACATATTCAAGTCTTGACAACACACAACAAAATTGGAAAGATTATCTGTTTAAACAATGTTAAATATAAAAATCTGGGTTGTCCTGTGTGGCTTCAATAGAAGTGAATTACCATGCGATTGCTGCTTTGGGCATCATTGGAATACAGATCTATTTGAATTGAATATGTAAATAAAAGTAGCATCTAAAGTTACACACAAACAACCAATACTTTACAGTTGTAACTCTATAAGAAAAACAGCCTCAGTGTTCTTGTGACAGCATACTCTTCACAAGTGGGGGAGGTAGTGTGTTTGATCCTTCAATGGATCAAACTAAAGACTTTAAAATTAGTATTTGCTGCATTTCCAGTAAGCATGTAACAGTAGGAGCAAGGACTGCTTGCATGGAGTCCGAATAATGTGTCCAGGGTGACATTTCTTCGTGTGAACTGTAACCTTGTGAACCAGCATGTTGATATACTGGCTTGGCGTGTCAAGTACAAACTGGGAGTCATTTTCATATCACATAAATATGTTCTTGTTCTGATATGCATGTAATACTTGCCAATTGACGTTATCCAACATCGTATAAAAATTAGAAACAACAATGGGCAAGTAAAAACAATTCATAAGAACTCAGTACTGTACAATAAACTTAATTCAGTAACAGCCAATATTGAACCGTCAACTAGATGGTGAGCAGAAACAAGAGTAACTGCTAACATTCAATATACAAAATGTAGTAAAATTGATGTGTCTAAAAAACAACAAGTACTGTAAAATAAAGCTTTATAAGACCAGAATGTTTGAAAAAAACAATTCAGATGTAACATCATGTTTTTACTGAAACTAAGGATACAAATGCACGGATATAAATTGACCTTGGGGTTGTTTTTTGGCTGTACATTTTTGGTTTTGATGGTCCCGAACATGAATATATGGTGTGCACTGAAATCTGTATCTATTGTGGAGGCAAACAACAAATAAAATGAAATGTATTAGAAAACCAGTTTCTGGCTGATGAAAACACTGCAAGAAGTTTAATAGCTCATTTTTATTCCAGCATTTATTATCATTAGCAAGGTATAGCAACAAAAACATAAGGAATCATTTCCAGAATGAAATCATGATATCATTGTATGAGCTTTGATGCATTATCAAAATAACAGAGAAAAAGACATGTTCAGTAGGGTGATGTATCAGGACATGTAAATCAGTAACCAAGTGACTAATATAGGTTTTGTTGGAAATAGAAAAACCAGTTGATTTAAAGAGGACCTCTTTTATAAAAAACTTATCAGTGGCTTATAGTAAAGAGCACTAGACATACATAAAACTCATCAGTGGACTGCAATCAGTACAGTTGGATGACCAAATCAATAAATTTAAAAGGCATTGAAAGCCCAAAGTTGTGCCAAATATAGCTGCAGCCAACCATGGATAGGCGTAGAAAACTCGAATGTCTTCAATGACTTTAACATTTTATAAACTGACCAGGAAAGATGAGCAGTAAAAGCTAATTGGACAAATATGAACTTTGTACATACAATAATGAACTAGAGAATATTATTTATTTAGTTATTATACGACATGCAACAAAGTTTTTGACCCATCCATCCATCTGCCCGTCTGTCTGTTCACAACTCCTCTGAAACCACACACCAGAATTTTATGAAACTTTGTATATAGTAACTATGAAGATGTGTTTATCAACAGGATATTATTCAATTTTTGTCCCCTGTGTAACGTTGCGAGGGACATGGAAATACCGGGCGTCTGTCCATGTGATCTTGTTAGTGCCGTCACGTTTACAATTCTTGCCATATTTTTATGAAACTTACATCATAGGTTTATATCAGCAATTTCTTGGACAAGTTTGAAAATCAGTGCCGATCAATTATTTTTAAAAGAATTATGCCCCTTGGACACATTAATTTTATGGAAAATTGCATCGTTAGCCCTCTTATGTGTACAATTCTTGCCAGAACTTGATGAAACTTATATCATAGGTCTTTATTTGCAATGTCTTGGACGAGTGCGGAAATCAGTGCTGATCAATTTTTATACGACAGCAAACAAATTTTGCGGTTGTATATTGGTATGAAGTTGGTGTCGTCATCGTTTTCAGCATTGTCGTCCGAAGACACATTGGTTTTCGCACTCTAACTTTAGTTTAAGTGAATTGATCTCTATGAAATTTTACCATAAGGTTCAATACCACAAAAGGAAGGTTGGGATTGATTTTAAGGGTTATGGTACCAACAGTTAAGGAATTAGGGACCAAAAAACTAGCATTTTTCTAGTTTCATGACAATAACTGGTATGTAAGTGTATGGATCTCTCTGAAATTGTACTGCAAGGTACCATAACACAATGGGAAGGCTGGGATTGAGTTTGGGGGTTGATGAATCATAAGGGGGTTCAAAAAATTAGGAGGGGGGGGGGGTTTCCTTTTTTTTTCTTTAAAATTTTCCATTTTAAATTGGTTATTTCTGATTTATATATAAAAGCAAATAATAATTATATGGTTTGAATAGGTAAATTGAAATTTTTTAAGTTCTTAGACCACATTCATTCTATGTCAGAAACCTATGCCGTGTCAAATATTTAATCACAATCCAAATTCAGTGCTGTATCAAGCTTGAATGTTGTGTCCATACTTGCCCCAACTGTTTAGGGTTCGACCACTGCGGTCGTATCAAGCTGCGCCCAGCGGAGCATTTTATTTTTTTAGAGTTATGCCCCTTGGAAACCTTAATTATATTGAAAATTGCATCGTTAGCGCTCTCATTTGTACGATTCTTGCCAGATTTTTATGAAACTTATGTCATAGGTTTATATTAGTAATGTCTTGGATGAGTTCGAAAATCAGTGCTGATCAATTATTTTTGAAAGAGTTATGCCCCTTGGAAAAATAAATTATATGGAGAGTTGCATTGTTAGAGCTCTCATATGTACAATTCTTGCCAGAATTTAATGAAACTTAAATCATAGGTTTATATTAGCAATGTTTTGGATGAATTTGAAAATCAGTGCTGATCAATAAGTTTTAAAAGAGTTATGCCCCTTGGAAATATTAATTACATGGAAAATTGCCTTATGAGCGCTCTAATGTGTACAATTCTTGCCAGTTTTTTATGAAATTTATATTATAGGTTTATATTAGCAATGTTTTGGACGAATTTGAAAATCAGTGCTGATCAATAATTTTTTAAAGAGTTATGCCCCTTGGAAATATTAATTACATGGAAAATTGCCTCATGAGTGCTCTAATGTGTACAATTCTTGCCAGATTTTTATGAAATTTATATTATAGGTTTATATCATCAATGTACTTGAAGATTTTAATAAAATACTTCGCTGAGCACAGCCTGATACGACTGCAGAGGTTGAACACTGAACAGTTGGGGCAAGTTTGGATACAATATTCAAGCATGATACTGTCTGAATTTGAATTGTGATCAAATTTTTGACATAATATGGGTTTCTGACACAAAACTAGAGGCTCTCAAGAGCCTGTGTCGCTCACCTGACTCTACTTTGGTTTTAGAAATCATGTAAAGATAGATAAAAATCATAACAGATACCCAAATAATGATTGAGGCCAAATTTTGATTAATATTGGTCCCGTTATTTAATAAAATATCCTGGTGGCCATCTTGAACAGTAAATCGGCAACAAAGTAGCAACACTTGGTCAGCACTTCATAAGGAACATTCATGCCATGTTTGGTTTCATTCCATTCAGTGGTACTCTAAAAGAAGACATTTGTATGTATTTCCCATAGGGTCCTATGTCAAACTAAGTCCCCTGCTGTCGGCCATCTTGGATGATTGACCAACTGCAAAGTAACAACACTTGGTCAGTACCTCATAAGGAACATTCATGCCATGTTTGGTTTCATTCCATTCAGTGGTTCTCTAAAAGAAGACATTTGTATGTATTTCCCATAGGTCCTTTGTTAAATTAAGTCCCCTGCTGTCGGCCATCTTGGATGATGGACCGACTGCAAAGTAACAACACTTGGTCAGCACCTCATAAGGAACATTCATGCCATGTTTGGTTTCATTTCATTCAGTGGTTCTCTAAAAGAAGACATTTGTATGTATTTCCCATAGGGTCCTATGTTAAACTAAGTCCCCAGCTGGCGGCCATCTTGGATGATGGATCGGCTACAAAGTAACAACACTTGGTCAGAACCTCATAAGGGACATTCATGCCATGTATGGTTTCATTCCATTCAGTGATTCTCTAAAAGAAGACATTTGTATGTATTTCCCATAGGGTCCTATGTTAAACTAAGTCCCCTGCTGGCGGCTATCTTCGATGATGGACCGACTGCAAAGTAACAACACTTGGTCAGCATCTCATAAGGAACATTCATACCATGTTTGGTTCCATTCCATTCAGTGGTTCTCTAAAAGAAGACATTTTTATGTATTTCCCATAGGGTACTATGTTAAACTAAGTCCCCCGCTGGCGGCCATCTTGGATGACTGATCGGCTACAAAGTAACAACACTTGGTCAGCACCTCATAAGGAACATTCATGCCATGTTTGGTTTCATTCCATTCAGTGGTTCTCTAAAAGAAGACATTTGTATGTATTTCCCATAGGGTCCTATGTTAAACTAAGTCCCCCGCTGGCAGCCATCTTGGATGATGGATCGACTACAAAGTAACAACACTTGGTGAGCACCTCATAAGGAACATTCATGCCATGTTTGGTTTCATTCCATTCAGTGGTTCTCTAAAAGAAGTTATTTGTATGCATTTCCCATAGGGTCCTATGTTAAACTAAGTCCCCCGCTGGCGGCCATCTTGGATGATGGATCGGCTACAAAGTAACAACACTTGGTGAGCACCTCATAAGGAACATTCATGCCATGTTTGGTTTCATTCCATTCAGTGGTTCTCTAAAAGAAGTCATTTGTATGCATTTCCCATAGGGTCCTATGTTAAACTAAGTCCCCCGCTGGCGGCCATCTTGGATGATGGATCGGCTACAAAGTAACAACACTTGGTCAGCACCGCATAAGGAACATTCATGCCATGTTTGGTTTCATTCCATTCAGTGGTTCTCTAGAAGAAGTTCAAAATGTAAAAAGTTAACGCCGACAACAGACGACGCCGGACGACGCCGGACGACGGACGCCAAGTGATGAGAAAAGCTCACTTGGCCCTTCGGGCCAGGTGAGCTAATAAATGTGGTCAAAGATCTTAAAAATTTGAAATGGGACATTTAATTTACCTAGAATGGTCTGATATCCAAAATCTAACAACATGGTTAGATTCAGCATATAAAAAAACACCAATAATTTAATTTTAGTTGAAATCAAACAAAGTTGACCATTCAAACCTTAATATTAACTAATTTGAAAACAGGGCCCAAAATAAAAATCTAAATGCACAATAAGATTCAGCAAATCATACAGCCGCAAAACTTCAGTTTTTGATGAAATCAAACAGTTTAATTTTGGACCCTTTTGACCTCAATGTAGACCAATTTTAAAATGGGGCCCAATATCCAAAAAATTATACAAGGTTAGAACCCCCAAAAATTAAAGACTTAATTAATCCTATCGAAATTGGTTAAAACATTTGTATTTGTTTTCAATTGCAGATTTCTTGCTATTGCGCAATACTGTTCAATTGAAGATTTCTTGCTATTGTGCAATACTGTGCTATTGTACAATACTGTGCTATTGCGCAATACTGTGCAATTGAAAATTTCAAAAATTTGAAATTTCAAAAATTTTGAAGAAAAAAATAAAACCCCCCAAAAAATTTGGAAAAAAAATTCCCCCCAACTTTTTAAACCCCCCACGCCCCTTTTGGAGTAATTATACCGCAACTCAATCCCAGCCTTCTCTTTATGGTATGGAACCTTGTAGTACACTTTTAGAGAGATCCATACACTTAAACACAAGTTATTGTCTGGAAAGTAGAAAAATGCTTGTTTTTGGCCCCTTTTTTCCCCTAATTCCTGAACGTTTGGGCAATTAACCCCAAACTCAATCCCAGCCTCCCCTTTGTGATATGGAACCTTGTGGTACAATTTCAGAGAGATCCATACACTTACACACAAATGTTGTCCGGAAACCTCAAAAATGCTTGTTTTTGGCCCCCAATACCTAAACTGTTGGTACCATCACCCCCAAAATCAATCCCAACCTTCCTTTTGTGGTATTGAACCTTCTGGTAAAAATTCATAAAGATCCATTCACTTAACCTAATGTGTCTTCGGACGACGACGCAGATGACGACATCATAGCATTATACGACGCAAAAAATTTTTTGCGGTTGTATAAAAATCAGTACAATTATTTTTAAAAGAGTTATGCCCCCTGAAAATTTTTATTATATGGAAAATTGCAATGTTATCGCTCTCATATGTTCAATTCTTGCCAGAATTTTATGAAACTTATATCATAGGTTTATATCAGCAATGTCTTTGACACTTTCGAAAATAAGTTCTGGTCAAATATTTTTAACAAGTTATGGCCCTTGGAAATATAACTTATAATGTTTGCTCTGAAGCCTTCATTTCTCTTGAGATATTAATAAAAAGTTTTAATGAACAAAAAAAAAGTGCTTTTTTTAGTTATTGCCCTTGTACCTTGGATAGATCAAATATGTGCAACGCGGAGGACATTGGAACTCTGTTCTTTTATTATTCTAGGAGTAATGCCCTTTGAACTTAGAATTTTGGCCTAAATATTCTACTGTAACAGTTTGTCATCACAACTCCTCTAATACCACACAACAGAATTTCATAAAACTTTGTAGTTTATGAGGACATAATATGTAGATGTGCATATCAACAAGAAATTTTATCAGTTTGTTTTTTGAGGATTATGAGTCTTAGAACTTAGGAATCTTGTGATATTTTGTTTGTCCAGTGACAATGTTGGGGGTGTAGGGTATGCGAGTGTGCTCACAAAGGTTCTTTAATTGCGAAAGAAATGACACTTTTCCACAGAATCACTATCTCTTTGTCAAGGAATATAAACTTTAGTCAGTTCTTTTGTCCCATTGAATAAATACAATATAGAACTGTCAGATGACTCCTTATAGGATTTAAATGACTAATTTTACCAATTCTTTTTTCATTTTTGCCTATTATCTTGAAACTATTATAGATCAAAACTTTAAATGACAAAAATGATAAGCTTTTTGCTGTCAGATATAGTTGAGTCCTTTCTGATTTTTATAGTTTGGTTCTTATGTTGTGCTGTAACCCCACTGTCCCAGGCTAGTGGATGGTTACCACCCATGAACATGCCTTACCCCACCACATTTTGTATGTGCCTGTCCAAAATTAGAAGTTTTTAATGCAGTAGATGTTGTTGGTTGCTGTCTTTTAGCTATAAAACCAGGTTCAATCCACCATTTTCTACATGAGAAAATGCCTGTACCAAGTCAGGAATATGACAGTTGTTATCCATTTGTTTGATGTGTTTGAGCTTTTGATTTTGCCATTTGATTAGGGACTTTCCTTTTTGAATTTTCCTCGGAGTTCAGTATTTTTGTGATTTTACTTTTTACATGTTTAAGCATTTACTGTTTTTAGCATAAATAATGCCTACTGTTTTTTGGTTGAATTGTTACACATTTTGTCATGTTTGGGCCTTTTCATTGCTTACTATACAGTAATAGTTTTGCTCATCATTGAAGGCTGTTAAGTGGCCTATTGTTGTTTTCATCCTCATCCATCTGTCTCTAGTGAATAGTTGTTTCATTGAGGATCAAACCACAGATCCTTATTTATAAATACCTGAAGAAAGAACAAAAGGACTTGGACTAAAGTATCATCACTTTTTTAAGTAAATGATAACATAATTTTTTTAAATTGCATACAATAAATTATTTCATTATAACAACACAATTTAAATAGGGTCATACAAAATAATATACAAATATATCTATATTGCACTAAGTTTTTCATATATATATAACAAAACAGTGGCTACTGATTAAAATCTAATAATCATATTAAAAGGAGGTTATTATGAGGCCATATACCTTTTTAGTCCCTACAATTCATAATCAACAGACATAATAAATCTTACAAATAGTATCCATATGATGTTCACAAGACATATTATTATTCATTTTTTTTCTGAATTGTATCTTAAATATTTGCATAAAGGGCTACAAACATCTTGCATTTAATGAAAAACTGCAATAACAGCCAAAACAGCCTTATTTGAGATCTTGTTAATAATATTAGTTTAACGATAAGGTTTTACCAAAAAGATATTTTGCTACATGATGTCTTGGACAAAATTGTTTGGGTGAAATATCTTTTTGGGTAAGGCCTTGGCTCATACTTATTTTCCAAAAATAATGTCAATCAGGTTTACTACTTGACTTGTTCAAGTAAATTTTAATTACTACATGTAGTACAGGAAACTTATTTTGGTGGAAGAGTTGTCTCCCATAGTCATCCAGATTTTCACTCTTGTATAATCAGTAAGGGTCATATTTTGATCTCTTTTTGGTTTCCTAAAGACTACATTAATCTATTTACAGATTTTACTGACTGTCTTTAAAAGTTGTCTTAACTATTCATTAAAGTATAATTTCATGGACAATGAAATCTGATTTGTGGTTATTTTCAAACATTGCATATTTACAAGCCTCCAGGGAACAACTAATTAAATTTACTAAACATGTGCTGTGCATTACACAGTTCTTTTTAAAGTTCTTGATATAAGTTTGAACTCTAATTAAATAAGTCAAACCAAGACAAGACTTAACAAAACTTGAGAATATAAGGTTTGTCAAAAAAATTACATGTACTTGTATAATTTTTTTTTTTGGAGAAACCTTAGAGAAAATAAAATATTGAAACAAAAATTAAAATCAGACAAATTTAAGGCTACAAGTAAAAATTATTAACATCTTTCAAGTATTTAAAAAATTCTTCCATTGTTTTGAATGTTTGAATACTTTCACTAATTTTTTACAATTTCAGGGGACAGATAATAACTCTTTGATATAAAACCTCCTCCTTAGGAAATTAATTACTAATCTTATTACATTCTTTTTAAATTATTGTCTTATAACTGTAGTGAGAAGAAAACCTCTGTATATCTCTTAATCATCTGTATACACCGCTGTTATCACTGAGCTGCTTCAAATATCTCCATAATATAACATCTGTATGTTACTTTATGTCATAAATCTGGAAGTCTTTAAAGTCCAATGTCTGTAGTACATTTCATTTTACAGAGAAAATATGACATCATACAGTTGCTGGCCAGTAAAATACAGTGTTTTTTTTTTAAGAATATATGGTCTTCAGGCAATCAGTTAATTGTGTATTCGTCAACTGGTTGATATTACCATTATCTACTGGTCAACATTCATTAACCTTGACTTTCTTCCAGGAAATATTGTAGATTTAGCTGAAAAAGAAATAAATTAATAAAAGTTCTCTGCTGTGTGACCTGGAACTAATACATTTATCTATTGGTCACAGGTGTGACTCATAATTTCCTCATATCCAAGTTCTTTTTTTTTTTTTTTTTTGCAATCAAAAAGCTTCTGATGGACATTTGACATCAGTGCCACCAATGATGTTAAGCAATCATCAATCAATCAATCCTGGTATTCTATATGACTGACATAAAAAGGAATTATACAATTTTAAAACTTTTCCACATTTATCTGCAATTCTTACATTCTTTGATCTTACAGCATAATATTTGTTAAGATTATGGACAGGACTTGATGCTTGAAAATATTAGGCAATAATGTAACATATCAGTGCATCCACGTTCCGTGTTCATGTCCATCCATGCCAATTCATCAATGAAATGTACGCGACTTCATTCATACAACCGAACAACTATCACAATGTTTTATACAAGTAATTTCTATGGAAATAAGATATGCCAATGCCAATACAACTGCATATCAAATATCACTGACTTATTAATTGACCATGACTGAGGGGGTAGGGCAAAATAATCTTAATGGAAATGAGATGTGCCAATGCCAATACAACTGCATATCAAATATCACTGACTTATTAATTGACCATGACTGAGGGGGTAGGGCAAAATAATCTTAATGGAAATGAGATGTGCCAATGCCAATACAACTGCATATCAAATATCACTGACTTATTAATTGACCATGACTGAGGGGGTAGGGCAAAATAATCTTAATGGAAATGAGATGTGCCAATGCCAATACAACTGCATATCAAATATCACTGACTTATTAATTGACCATGACTGAGGGGGTAGGGCAAAATAATCTTAATGGAAATGAGATGTGCCAATGCCAATACAACTGCATATCAAATATCACTGACTTATTAATTGACCATGACTGAGGGGGTAGGGCAAAATAATCTTAATGGAAATGAGATGTGCCAATGCCAATACAACTGCATATCAAATATCACTGACTTATTAATTGACCATGACTGAGGGGGTAGGGCAAAATAATCTTAATGGAAATGAGATGTGCCAATGCCAATACAACTGCATATCAAATATCACTGACTTATTAATTGACCATGACTGAGGGGGTAGGGCAAAATAATCTTAATGGAAATGAGATGTGCCAATGCCAATACAACTGCATATCAAATATCACTGACTTATTAATTGACCATGACTGAGGGGGTAGGGCAAAATAATCTTAATGGAAATGAGATGTGCCAATGCCAATACAACTGCATATCAAATATCACTGACTTATTAATTGACCATGACTGAGGGGGTAGGGCAAAATAATCTTAATGGAAATGAGATGTGCCAATGCCAATACAACTGCATATCAAATATCACTGACTTATTAATTGACCATGACTGAGGGGGTAGGGCAAAATAATCTTAATGGAAATGAGATGTGCCAATGCCAATACAACTGCATATCAAATATCACTGACTTATTAATTGACCATGACTGAGGGGGTAGGGCAAAATAATCTTAATGGAAATGAGATGTGCCAATGCCAATACAACTGCATATCAAATATCACTGACTTATTAATTGACCATGACTGAGGGGGTAGGGCAAAATAATCTTAATGGAAATGAGATGTGCCAATGCCAATACAACTGCATATCAAATATCACTGACTTATTAATTGACCATGACTGAGGGGGTAGGGCAAAATAATCTTAATGGAAATGAGATGTGCCAATGCCAATACAACTGCATATCAAATATCACTGACTTATTAATTGACCATGACTGAGGGGGTAGGGCAAAATAATCTTAATGGAAATGAGATGTGCCAATGCCAATACAACTGCATATCAAATATCACTGACTTATTAATTGACCCTGACTGAGGGGGTAGGGCAAAATAATCTTAATGGAAATGAGATGTGCCAATGCCAATACAACTGCATATCAAATATCACTGACTTATTAATTGACCATGACTGAGGGGGTAGGGCAAAATAATCTTAATGGAAATGAGATGTGCCAATGCCAATACAACTGCATATCAAATATCACTGACTTATTAATTGACCCTGACTGAGGGGGTAGGGCAAAATAATCTTAATGGAAATGAGATGTGCCAATGCCAATACAACTGCATATCAAATATCACTGACTTATTAATTGACCATGACTGAGGGGGTAGGGCAAAATAATCTTAATGGAAATGAGATGTGCCAATGCCAATACAACTGCATATCAAATATCACTGACTTATTAATTGACCATGACTGAGGGGGTAGGGCAAAATAATCTTAATGGAAATGAGATGTGCCAATGCCAATACAACTGCATATCAAATATCACTGACTTATTAATTGACCATGACTGAGGGGGTAGGGCAAAATAATCTTAATGGAAATGAGATGTGCCAATGCCAATACAACTGCATATCAAATATCACTGACTTATTAATTGACCATGACTGAGGGGGTAGGGCAAAATAATCTTAATGGAAATGAGATGTGCCAATGCCAATACAACTGCATATCAAATATCACTGACTTATTAATTGACCCTGACTGAGGGGGTAGGGCAAAATAATCTTAATGGAAATGAGATGTGCCAATGCCAATACAACTGCATATCAAATATCACTGACTTATTAATTGACCCTGACTGAGGGGGTAGGGCAAAATAATCTTAATGGAAATGAGATGTGCCAATGCCAATACAACTGCATATCAAATATCACTGACTTATTAATTGACCCTGACTGAGGGGGTAGGGCAAAATAATCTTAATGGAAATGAGATGTGCCAATGCCAATACAACTGCATATCAAATATCACTGACTTATTAATTGACCCTGACTGAGGGGGTAGGGCAAAATAATCTTAATGGAAATGAGATGTGCCAATGCCAATACAACTGCATATCAAATATCACTGACTTATTAATTGACCCTGACTGAGGGGGTAGGGCAAAATAATCTTAATGGAAATGAGATGTGCCAATGCCAATACAACTGCATATCAAATATCACTGACTTATTAATTGACCCTGACTGAGGGGGTAGGGCAAAATAATCTTAATGGAAATGAGATGTGCCAATGCCAATACAACTGCATATCAAATATCACTGACTTATTAATTGACCATGACTGAGGGGGTAGGGCAAAATAATCTTAATGGAAATGAGATGTGCCAATGCCAATACAACTGCATATCAAATATCACTGACTTATTAATTGACCATGACTGAGGGGGTAGGGCAAAATAATCTTAATGGAAATGAGATGTGCCAATGCCAATACAACTGCATATCAAATATCACTGACTTATTAATTGACCATGACTGAGGGGGTAGGGCAAAATAATCTTAATGGAAATGAGATGTGCCAATGCCAATACAACTGCATATCAAATATCACTGACTTATTAATTGACCATGACTGAGGGGGTAGGGCAAAATAATCTTAATGGAAATGAGATGTGCCAATGCCAATACAACTGCATATCAAATATCACTGACTTATTAATTGACCATGACTGAGGGGGTAGGGCAAAATAATCTTAATGGAAATCAGATGTGCCAATGCCAATACAACTGCATATCAAATATCACTGACTTATTAATTGACCATGACTGAGGGGGTAGGGCAAAATAATCTTAATGGAAATGAGATGTGCCAATGCCAATACAACTGCATATCAAATATCACTGACTTATTAATTGACCATGACTGAGGGGGTAGGGCAAAATAATCTTAATGGAAATCAGATGTGCCAATAATAATACAACTAAAAAAGAAATATCATAGATTCAATTTTAGTGGTTCCAATTAATCACAAAATTTAACAAAGACAAAAATAATATCATTTTCAAATATCTTTCATTTCCTTATTCTAATATGCAATTCATACAAATAAAGACTAAATATACATAAATTGTATTGATAATTTGTACAATAAAATATATTTTTTTTAACTTTTCAAACTTCTAATATACAATGAACTGACCTGGTGGCTTGGTTATCATTGATGTTAGATGTACAAAAGGTTCTAGTAAAGATTGTCTGGTCTGGACTGAGGCTTCCCATAGTCTCACTGTAATAAACATAGACATCATTATTTTGCCCATAATTGTTTTTACCATGAACCACCTTCTAAAGTGTTACTGATCTAATAATCTTACAGAAAAAATTCTAAGCACAAAATAATATTTCTTTTGAACTTCAGTTTCAACAAGTCTTTATGTAATGAAATTTAAACAAATATAAATGTCTGGACCAATGCTTCAGATCATACCGGTATTATCATAATAAAAGCTTATATTATCTGTAATTAACACAAGAATGCATGCCTTTTCTAGCTTAGCCTAACCCCACTCTTAATTCCAAGTATCAGAAAACAGAAAGTAGGTGTCTGACAGATAAATGCACACATGTTACAACTCATTATTGTTGAGTTGCTGACCAAATGTGAAGTCAATCTTTTCACAAGTACTGGAAAAATATATGCATCAATCAACATATTGCCAATTCAAAGTATTGGCAAACAGGAAGTAGAAGTCTGACGATCCGAAAAGTGATCACATGTAACAACTCTTCACTGCCAAGCTGCTGGACAAAACATTTAGTTCATGTAGTTCTGTTTTTGTAGTTCCTGAGAAAAGTGTCACAAAATATTTGTTAGATAAAAGAACACACTGACAGAGAGGTGATTGTAATATAGTCACAACAGATACCATGTAATAACAATAACTCACACAAGCCCTTCTGGTCACCAATTATTCTATTTTAGATACCTACTGCTAGTTAATATCAATTGAATATTTCCCTATTATTACAACTGAAACAATACCTTTCTCCTTTGTAGCCCATGCTTGTGCTGTAGAAAAATCTACTTGTCTAGTTTCTTCTTCTGTCTTGTTACCAATGACAACAATGTGTACCTGCAAAAGATATAAATAAGGTCATAAGTAGTCATTATCGTAGTATTGTCAACATATGTTTTTTACTTTGTATGCAAGGTTAAAACTATCCATACTACACATTTTGCATGAGTAGTTAAAATGATGTCTGGTATTTTTGGAGAAGTCAGGTGTTGATGGTTGATGTGGTTGTACTGTCTGGTATTTTTGGAGAAGTCAGGTGTTGTTGGTTGATGAAGCGGTACTGTATAGTATTTTTTTAGAAGTCAGGTGTTGTTGGTTGATGTGGTTGTACTGTCTGGTATTTTTTTAGAAGTCAGGTGTTGATGGTTGATGTGGTTGTACTGTCTGGTTTTTGAGAAGTCAGGTGTTGTTGGTTGATGTGGTTGTACTGTCTGGTATTTTTTTAGAAGTCAGGTGTTTATGGTTGATGTGGTTATACTGTCTGGTATTTTTGGAGCAGTCAGGTGTTGTTGGTTGATGTAGTTGTACTGTTTGGTATTGTTTTAGAAGTCCGGTGTTGTTGGTTGATGTAGTTGTACTGTCTGGTATTTTTTTAGGTCAGGTGTTGATGGTTGATGTGGTTGTACTGTCTGGAATTTTTTTAGAAGTCAGGTGTTGATGGTTGATGTGGTTGTACTGTCTGGTATTTTTTTAGAAGTCAGGTGTTGATGGTTGATGTGGTTATACTTTCTGGTATTTTTGGAGCAGTCAGGTGTTGATGGTTGATGTGGTTGTACTGTCTGGTATTTTTTGTGAAGTCAGGTGTTGTTGGTTGATGTGGTTGTACTGTCTGGTATTTTTTAAGAAGTCGGGTGTTGTTGGTTGATGTGGTTGTACTGTCTGGTATTTTTTAAAGAAGTCAGGTGTTGATGGTTGATGTGGTTGTACTGTCTGGTATTTTTTAAGAAGTCGGGTGTTGTTGGTTGATGTGGTTGTACTGTCTGGTATTTTTTTAGAAGTCAGGTGTTGTTGGTTGATGTGGTTGTACTGTCTGGTATTTTTTTAGAAGTCAGGTGTTGTTGGTTGATGTGGTTGTACTGTCTGGTATTTTTTGAGAAGTCAGGTGTTGTTGGTTGATGTGGTTGTACTGTCTGGTATTTTTGGAGATGTCAGGTGTTGATGGTTGATGTGGTTGTACTGTCTGGTATTTTTGGAGCAGTCAGGTGTTGTTGGTTGATGTGGTTGTACTGTCTGGTATTTTTGGAGCAGTCAGGTGTTGATGGTTGATGTGGTTGTACTGTCTGGTATTTTTTTAGAAGTCAGGTGTTGATGGTTGATGTGGTTGTACTGTCTGGTATTTTTTTAGAAGTCAGGTGTTGATGGTTGATGTGGTTGTACTGTCTGGTATTTTTGGAGCAGTCAGGTGTTGATGGTTGATGTGGTTGTACTGTCTGGTATTTTTGGAGCAGTCAGGTGTTGATGGTTGATGTGGTTGTACTGTCTGGTATTTTTGGAGCAGTCAGGTGTTGATGGTTGATGTGGTTGTACTGTCTGGTATTTTTTGAGCAGTCAGGTGTTGATGGTTGATGTGGTTGTACTGTCTGGTATTTTTGGAGAAGTCAGGTGTTGATGGTTGATGTGGTTGTACTGTCTGGTATTTTTGGAGCAGTCAGGTGTTGTTGGTTGATGTGGTTGTACTGTCTGGTATTTTTTTAGAAGTCAGGTGTTGTTGGTTGATGTGGTTGTACTGTCTGGTATTTTTTTAGCAGTCAGGTGTTGATGGTTGATGTGGTTGTACTGTCTGGTATTTTTTGTGAAGTCAGGTGTTGATGGTTGATGTGGTTGTAATGTCTGGTATTTTTGGAGAAGTCAGGTGTTGATGGTTGATGTGGTTGTACTGTCTGGTATTTTGGGAGAAGTCATGTGTTAATGGTTGATGTGGTTGTACTGTCTGGTATTTTTGAAGAAGTCAGGTGTTGTTGCTTGATGTGGTTGTACTGTCTGGTATTTTTTGTGAAGTCAGGTGTTGATGGTTGATGTGGTTGTTCTGTCTGGTATTTTTTTGGAGCAATCTGGTGTTGGTGGTTGAATTGTTTGGTATTTTTGGAGGTCAGGTGTTGATGGTTGATGTGGTTGTTATGTCTGGTATTTTTGGAGAAGTCAGGTGTTGATGGTTGATGTGGTTGTACTGTCTGGTATTTTTGAAGAAGTCAGGTGTTAATGGTTGATGTGGTTGTACTGTCTGGTATTTTTGAAGAAGTCAGGTGTTGTTGGTTGATGTGGTTGTACTGTCTGGTATTTTTTGTGAAGTCAGGTGTTGATGGTTGATGTAGTTGTACTGTCTGGTATTTTTTGAGCAGTCAGGTGTTGTTGGTTGCCGTGGTTGTACTGTCTGGTATTTTTTGGAGCAGTCAGGTGTTGATGGTTGATGTAGTTGTACTGTCTGGTATTTTTTGGAGCAGTCAGGTGTTGATGGTTGATGTAGTTGTACTGTCTGCTATTTTTGGAGAAGTTAGGTGTTGTTGGTTGACGTGGTTGTACTGTCTGGTATTTTTTGGAGCAGTCAGGTGTTGATGGTTGATGTAGTTGTACTGTCTGGTATTTTTGGAGAAGTTAGGTGTTGATGGTTGATGTGGTTGTACTGTCTGGTATTTTTTGAGAAGTCAGGTGTTGATGGTTGATGTGGTTGTACTGTCTGGTATTTTTTTAGAAGTCAGGTGTTGATGGTTGATGTGGTTGTACTGTCTGGTATTTTTGGAGAAGTCAGGTGTTGATGGTTGATGTGGTTGTACTGTCTGGTATTTTTTGTGAAGTCAGGTGTTGATGGTTGATGTAGTTGTACTGTCTGGTATTTTTTGGAGCAGTCAGGTGTTGATGGTTGATGTAGTTGTACTGTCTGGTATTTTTTGAGAAGTTAGGTGTTGTTGGTTGACGTGGTTGTACTGTCTGGTATTTTTTGGAGCAGTCAGGTGTTGATGGTTGATGTAGTTGTACTGTCTGGTATTTTTTGGAGCAGTCAGGTGTTGATGGTTGATGTAGTTGTACTGTCTGGTATTTTTTGAGAAGTTAGGTGTTGTTGGTTGACGTGGTTGTACTGTCTGGTATTTTTTGGAGCAGTCAGGTGTTGATGGTTGATGTAGTTGTACTGTCTGGTATTTTTGGAGAAGTTAGGTGTTGACGTGGTTGACGTGGTTGTACTGTCTGGTATTTTTTGAGAAGTCAGGTGTTGTTGGTTGGTGTGGTTGTACTGGTCCGGGTACACAGTTATCGTCCTTTGATTTTCGTTGTCCACGAATATAGTCCCTAGTGTGGACAGTGTGTTACTTGTCGATTTTTTTTATACCCCTTCCGAATTTATTTCTCCATGTTTTATGACTCAAATAGTAAGTAGGGGGGTGAAATGACACTGTAAAAAAATTTGGGTCATGAATTTTAAAGTAAAGTAGTGATTTGGTCCAGCTGAAAAATGTTAAAAATTAGCACATCGGAAGCTGTCAAAAGATTTGAAGACCCCTTTAGCATGAAATTGTCCATATTTTGAGTTAGAGCCGATGAAGTTTTCTATAATTTTGATATAATTTGTCCCAAAAGTAGTACAACACACTGTAAAAATATTATTCAGAAAGCGCAGGTGGGATTTTTTTAATTTCCATTTATTGTCTAAAAGAAATGCACTACGAAATAACTGTGTACTCGGACCTAAGAGGTGAAATCAGGAAATATAGAATCTGTACTTTGGCAACTTCCCTGAATGATTTGATGGTGTCAATTTATCAAATAGCATAAAACTAAAGGATTTAAACTTTTATTTGATAGAATTTCTGCAAAAATTACCAATTTTGGCATTTTATGGTCAAAATAAGCATTTCATAGCTTTTTCAATTTTGATGCATAAGTGGCATTCTGACTTTCTATCTGACAGGTTTTTATGTGTCAATATTTGTGTTTCTATGTTTCAATCCAGTTGTATTACTCATTTGTGAACTCTGAATCTACAGAAAAGAAGATTATCTCAGACAATATGCGCAAAATGTGTTGTATATATGATCCTCGTCTAACGCCCTGTTTGGATCAAGTTAAATGTGAGGAGCTTGGAACATAAAAGTTGAAGTCCATTATAAAGACCTCACTAAATTTGTATAAAAAGCACTTAACAATGTCTTTTGTACCTGTTTTATGTCACATAATACCTTTCTTTTCTTCTGTAGGATAGCAAGTGGTTCAAATATAAGCCTGTTGAGACTAAAATTGCATGCATGTTTTTCACTAAAAAGTGAAAAATCTTTGTATCAGACCATACTGTCTGCAAAAAAAGTTGAATGCAAGAGTCTTTTTGTGCTCAGATTTATTGTATCATGTCACCTGAGTATAGAAATGATAGAAAAGACACAAAATTTTATTTCATATAGCTTCAATATGCATTTTTAAATGTAAATATGTGATACGGCCTAAATTGACCCTAAATTATTTTCAGTCTTACTTGGCCTAAGACCCTTTTAAGCTAGTGTGATATGTTATTTGTAAGTTTTCTTTCCATTTAAAGTACATTAAATACATATGTAAGGATTATTTATAACCAAAAAGCTTTACAAATTTAAAATTGCTGGAAAATATTACATCTTCATGTAAGGCCCCCCTTCATTGGAAAACCTCCATTTTTAGCCACAGGCTCATATAAATTTGACTTTTTAATAATTATGATAAGTCTGATGAATCAAATGAGTACTCTATTGCTTTTAATACATAATATATTATATATTAAGGCATTTCAAAAGTATTTTTTTGCAATATTTTAATTTTTTAAGCCTCAATTGTTGATAGTTGAAAATTTTCAATTTTAACGTCTAAATTTAACACTCAAAGTTCAATATAGAATTAGTCATATTGTCTATAATATATATCCTATTGCCATGAAACTTTGTAAGCAGTCTTATAATTTAATAAGCTTTAGTCATACCAAGTTTCATTAAGATTGGTCAACTTTTTCTACCCTATTAGGTCCGGGTACACAGTTATCGTCCTTTGATTTTCGTTGTCCACGAATATAGTCCCTAGTGTGGACAGTGTGTTACTTGTCGATTTTTTTTATACCCCTTCCGAATTTATTTCTCCATGTTTTATGACTCAAATAGTAAGTAGGGGGGTGAAATGACACTGTAAAAAAATTTGGGTCATGAATTTTAAAGTAAAGTAGTGATTTGGTCCAGCTGAAAAATGTTAAAAATTAGCACATCGGAAGCTGTCAAAAGATTTGAAGACCCCTTTAGCATGAAATTGTCCATATTTTGAGTTAGAGCCGATGAAGTTTTCTATAATTTTGATATAATTTGTCCCAAAAGTAGTACAACACACTGTAAAAATATTATTGAGAAAGCGCAGGTGGGATTTTTTTAATTTCCATTTATTGTCTAAAAGAAATGCACTACGAAATAACTGTGTACTCGGACCTACTGTCTGGTATTTTTGGAGAAGTTAGGTGTTGTTGGTTGACATGGTTGTACTATCTGGTATTTTTGGAGCAGGCAGGTGTTGTTGGTTGATGTGGTTGTACTGTCTGGTATGTTTTGAGAAGTCAGGTGTTGATGGTTGATGTAGTTGTACTATCTGGTATTTTTGGAGCAGGCAGGTGTTGTTGGTTGATGTGGTTGTACTGTCTGGTATGTTTTGAGAAGTCAGGTGTTGAGGGTTGATGTAGTTGTACTGTCTGGTATTTTTGGAGCAGTCAGGTGTTAATGGTTGATGTGGTTGAACTGTCTGCTATTTTTTTAGAAGTCAGGTGTTGATGGTTGATGTGGTTGTACTGTCTGGTATTTTTTGAGAAGTCAGGTGTTAATGGTTGATGTTGTTGAACTGTCTGCTATTTTTTGAGAAGTCAGGTGTTGTTGGTTGATGTGGTTGTACTGTCTGGTATTTTTGGAGAAGTCAGGTGTTGTTGGTTGATGTAGTTGTACTTTCTGGTTTTTTTTTAGAAGTCTGGTGTTGTTGGTTGATGTGGTTGTACTGTCTGGTATTTTTTGTGAAGTCAGGTGTTGTTGGTTGATGAGGTTGTACTGTCCGGTATTTTTGGAGCAGTCAGGTGTTGATGGTTGATGTGGTTGTACTTTCTGGTATTTTTTTGAGAAGTCAGGTGTTCTTGGTTGATGTGGTTGTACTGTCTGGTATTTTTTGAGAAGTCAGGTGTTGTTGGTTGATGAGGTTGTACTGTCCGGTATTTTTGGAGCAGTCAGGTGTTGATGGTTGATGTGGTTGTACTTTCTGGTATTTTTTTAGAAGTCAGGTGTTGTTGGTTGATGTGGTTGTTCTGTCTGGTATTTTTTGAGAAGTCAGGTGTTGTTGGTTGATGTGGTTGTACTTTCTGGTATTTTTTTGAGAAGTCAGGTGTTGTTGGTTGATGTGGTTGTACTGTCTGGTATTTTTTCAGAAGTTAGGTGTTGTTGGTTGATGAGGTTGTACTGTCTGGTATTTTTTGAGAAGTCAGGTGTTGATGGTTGATGTGGTTGTACTTTTTGGTATTTTTTTAGAAGTCAGGTGTTGATGGTTGATGTGGTTGTACTGTCTGGTATTTTTGGAGAAGTCAGGTGTTGATGGTTGATGTGGTTGTTCTGTCTGGTATTTTTTGGAGCAGTCTGGTGTTGGTGGTTGAATTGTTTGGTATTTTTGGAGGTCAGGTGTTGATGGTTGATGTGGTTGTTCTGTCTGGTATTTTCAGTGAATCTTGTTATCTTTTTATTTTGTATTTTTTCTTTTAAAAACAATCTCATAAACAGTAAAAGGTCACATTAACAATCTACAACTCAAGATGATATCTATGGCTTACCTCCCTTTTATCTTTGTACTTGTCAATATCTTTCTTAATTTTTTCTAATTTTTGAAATGATTCCCAACTGGTCACATCATAAAACAATACAAATCCCTGTAAAAATAATGTTAATGCAACTGATTATTACACAGTTTTACCTATTGGGTAAGAATGAGTAGCTTTTGAAATGAAAAAAGGAGGTTGTTGTATGAAGATAATATACAAGGAAAATGTGAATCAACCAGCATTTTATGACAATTAGGTATGATTTCTGGATTGAAATGAAATTTGTTCTGATCCTTTGCACTAGATCTGCCACTATCATACATTTTTTGTATGATAATTATAATCTAGATCCTGATATCATTAGAGACATGATCATGTACGGCTTGACTAAAACACAAAAATAAGTGTTGCAAACATGACTGGAATACAATATATGAAGTCTATTTGTAAAATCATTCGTTCAGACAATACCAATTAGTCTGTAATGTGTTTCTATTTTGTAATAACATTATGTCCAGTGGCAAATATTTTATGCGTGGAAATTTTCTTCTTTTAAATAATACAATGTCCAGTGGTAAACATTTCATGCAAAGGAATGAATAAAATAGGTCTTGTAGAATAGGTTGATGGGTATGTTTGGTAGAGACAGAAAATTTGTTATGGTTTATTATTGAGCAGAGAGGATGGCATTTCATGAAAAGTCCAACACAAAATTAAATTTTGAATAAAGATGTAAAGTAATGAAAATCACACAAAAATTTAGCAATTATAATTCAAAAAGAAAAGAATACATACCTCATGAATTGACTACCAGGGTATGTGTTAGCATATTACCAACTAATGGTATGTCAGAACAGGTGACCCAATCAATAATGATTGCTACTGTCAGATATAAAAACACTGAACACTCTAAAGATACATTAGGAACAGTCTTGGATACTTACATCAGGGAAACTAAAGTAATGTCTTGGTAAATCTACTTTACTGCCTTCCTGTGGAAAGTAAAAAGTAAGTTTCAATACATTTGTATTTTTACTTGTACAACATTGTTCTGTAAAATATGAGTAAACTATTATTTGTTCTGTAAAATATGAGTAAACTATTATTTGTTCTCCAAAATATGAGTAAACTATTATTTGTTCTGTAAAATATGAGTAAACTATTATTTGTTCTGTAAAATATGAGTAAACTATTATTTGTTCTGTAAAATATGAGTAAACTATTATTTGTTCTGCAAAATATGAGTAAACTATTATTTGTTCTGCAAAATATGAGTAAACTATTATTTGTTCTGTAAAATATGAGTAAACTATTATTTGTTCTGCAAAATATGAGTAAACTATTATTTGTTCTGCAAAATATGAGTAAACTATTATTTGTTCTGTAAAATATGAGTAAACTATTATTTGTTCTGCAAAATATGAGTAAACTATTATTTGTTCTGTAAAATATGAGTAAACTATTATTTGTTCTGCAAAATATGAGTAAACTATTATTTGTTCTGCAAAATATGAGTAAACTATTATTTGTTCTGCAAAATATAAGTAAACTATTATTTGTTCTGCAAAATATAAGTAAACTATTATTTGTTCTGCAAAATATAAGTAAACTATTATTTGTTCTTCAAAAAAGGTAGACCTGAGTTTAAATGTGCTAGGCTTTTAAAATAGGTATATTATATGCAAGTCTGTACAATTTAGTAATCTCTCTTTACTGTACATGTATCTTCTTACGGTTAACAGACAAACCATATATCCATTGGCTAAATACAACTAATTATAATGTCCTGAACTTACTGATAATTAATATGGTGTCTGTTTATAAATTTATAAATTATAAAGAAACTGAGGTTTCAACTCCCTCAGGCAAAGTTGACCTTAGATGGATTTGGCTATTATTTAGGGTCCTTTTTGGTCATATAGTTCTTCAACTGTTTCGGTTCTTATACATCCTTGGCTTTCAAATATTTGGCTTTGAGTGTTCCTGATGATGGTAAATCCAGAAAAGTGCTTTGGACACATGAAGTTCATCAAATGTTGATTTCATTTCATAACAAGACAAAGTTGGTATCTGATGCTTCTCTGAGCTATGATGGTAGTGTTTAAAATAACATACAATGAAAAGAGTACTGGAAATGCTCATAATGTTAGAATGACAGATTATTATATTATGATTAACTGATAAAAGTTATTTAAAAAGATTAATACTGGATCTCATCAGATACATTGTAGCATTAAAGGAGAATGTTTAGTATAATACATACATATCAAACTATTTGTTTTGTTCAACAATTACTTCAGTATTAGATATCAAATTATCTTTGTACACATCAGATGTATACTTTTTAGGCTCTATATTGTTTTTATGAAATAAATTATTTTTCTTATGTACACTATTGATGCAGGTGATTGAAAATTTAAAACTACTCATGAACATCACTGGTTGGCAATATATGGTTCAATATTAAAACTCCCCCTGAACACCACTGGTTGGCAATAAAAGGTTTAATATTAAAGCAGGTAAACATAAAATAACTCACAACCCCCTTTGACTTGAATGTCTGATAAGTTAAATAGTTATGTTGGGTCCCTTAGACTTCCACTTTATTACAGTTTGGACTGTACAATAAAAGATCTTACCAATCCTCCAATATCATATATTCTGACTTTTTCTTTAACCCCTCTATCGGTTTCTATCATAGCTGTGTATATATCTTCAATTGTTGGGTGCATTGGCTACATAAAAAGAAAGATATGTTGAATAGGATTTAAAATTTATTGAGACAGTCACATCCATAGCAGATAAAATGTCATATAATGGCAAAAACATTCAATAAGGATTTATATTTAATCAATTTCTAAAAGCTTTTGGAGAAGAGACAGAAAAATCTCAATCACAAGATATCTTAAAAGTAAAACATGTGGAACCTAATGAGATTAATTTGTAGAGGAACTTTATTCATCACCCCTTCCAAGCTGACAAAGTAGTTCTAGACAACAATATAAAAATGTGACTTTCCATAATGTTTCGATCAGAACTTGTGCCATTAATGATTCAATCAACATTCAGCAAGTATTGTTTGCAGTTTGTCTTCCATTTATCCCATGCAGATTCAAAGCATTTTTGGCCTTGGTTTTTTCTTGAGAAGAGTTCTTAAAATTGGCCAATCAAAATCTAAGATTGCCTCTCAGTCTGTCGGCCATGTTTTTCAGCTGATTTGAATGCAATGATAACTTTTTAGTATTAAGGACCAGCCATGTATTATTCCTGTCTAGTTTGGTTCAGATGCCTAATTTATGTAGACATAATGTTATGACAATACAGTTAAGACAGCATGATGATAGATGCAGTTATGACAATAGCTCACATGACCATATGGGCTAGTAAACTATAATTCATAAATGCAGAATACACTTTTGGAGTAGCATATATACCTCAGTTTTTAATGTGAGTTATACTCAAAATTTAGTTTACAGTATTGTCTGTGTAAAAATTACATGTGAATATTTATTTGTCTTTTTGTTTGTCTTGACCATCTTCATTATTTTTTTTTTATAAATTTCTTATTTTTTTCCTTTTATCAGAGATAAACCTAAAATCTTTACTTCTGAAATAACTTAATCAATCACACTCTATTCAACTACATTTCTTATTACATGTTGCAAATATCTGTAACCACTATGACTTACAGTTCCAATGACATGGTTACCAAAAATAAGTTGTTCTATGGCAGCAGTCTTGCCGACACCTGTGTGACCACATACAACTATCTTACTTATTTTACCCATAATGTCTTGATTTTGTGACTACATTATTCTGAGGTTATCTGAAAAAATTAGAATAAACATTAAGCAATCTATATGATGTACATGTAAGTTGTAACTAAAATAAATAAGTTTAGGTTTATGTACATGTATGATATACTATAAAGTACATGTAGGTGATTTTTGCAGACTTTAAATTTTGCAATATCAAAGGCCAAACCTGTTCGCAAGGTTTTATTTCCATGCTTTAAGTCCTGTTGGGCTACTCATATAAGGCGAACACAGATGTTTCTGTTTCTATTGGATAATAGCCTCCTTCAACAAATTGATGATTCTGCTATATAAGAAATTTTTTTTCTGACAAGTTCCGTTTCAAGAAGAAGACATCATGTAAGAAACATTTGTGCTGTGATCCAATGGAAAAACAAGTGATATTTAAACTTTATTAAAACTTTGAAAAAAGTAGTTTTGTTTATGAATATTGAAAAAAAATTGTTATTCAAACCATCAAAACTAACGACATCTGGACCCTGTGTGCTAACGTTAAGGTTATCCCTTAAAACCTCTATGGAGGCTGCAGCCATAGTTGCCAACTCACATGATATTCGCGTGTAATACACGCTTTTTCAACTGTTTACATGCGAGAATTTTGTCACATGGCGTGTACACGCTTTTCGTCACTTTACACGCTTTTTCGTTGTTTTGATTTTTTGGTCGTTAGTGAGATCGCGATTCACGGTTGTTTTCATTAATAGACGATAAATACCAAGAATTTCAAAGTAATTGTCGAGTCGCCATTGTTTATTTAAGATATGGACGAACAACAAAAGCCCTTCACTTCAGGTAAGTTTGTAAGTAGGTTTTAAGATTTTGTGACTTCTTTCTCTCAAATTCACTTTGGGGAAATGTCCAGCAGTAAGAGGTCACTTTCTGGAACTGTACTGTCATCTAAAGAGCAGAGTGCTAAGCGAAAACGATACGTGTGTATGTACCAAAAAAGTTGGGAGTCCATGTTAAAATGAATCAAAAGAAAGTGATCGAGGGCCGAACAATGTATTGTGCACCCTATGTTACTCTCATATTTATAGTGGATCATCTGCAAACATTATCAATCATAACAACATGTGTGAGAGGATGTACTATTTGATAAAGCATTCAATGGTATTCAAATTATAAAATATTTTTCTTTTTCAGTTTCTAGCCAACAGATTTCCACAGGCCATATGGGAAGGGAATATCACAGAACTGTTGGATCAGTTCTCCGAGTACCAGCTGTCTTCTAATGAACTACCCAGTTTTGACCAGACAATAGCAACATATATAATTTGTGGGGAGCAATGGCAGACGTAGATGACATTTTTAATGGCAAAAAAAAAACATGACATGACATTCTTTCAAAGCTTGCTATTTAAACGTTAAAGCTATTTTAGTTTTGCCAAATAACAATTCTGACTGTTAGAGAGCATTTTCAGTTATAAAGAAATTTACACTGAATTCAGAACAGAACTCAATGCATGTGTTGTACATATTTACAATGTGATTAAAAATTTAATAATGCATTAAGGGTATATACTTCATTCGGAGGTGCTCCTACTTAAAGGAGGCTAATGTACACAGAATAAGATATATTGTGTGCCTTGTAATCATGTTAATGTAACCAAACTGGCAGTTATTTTGAATATTTGCCTAGTAATGTTGTTATGAAATCAGCAAAGATAGGCCACTGTTGAATGCAATAAAAGTTTACAGTAGAATATTGTTTTTTTTATATTAACAAATTTGTACAATGTTCATTTTAAAAAGTCCGTATCTACAACACGCGTTTTCACACGCTTTTTGACATGTCAATGATTTTTCATTGTCAGAGGTTGGCAAGTATGGCTGCAGCAACTGTACTGGCTGATAGATTATCTGGACAACTGTTCCGGGTATGACCTTACTTGAAATGATTTTAATGTTGGTAAACTATCAGTTTGCTCTTTATGGTAAGAAATAACTTTAAATGAGTTATGCTCTGATACAGTATTACACAAAGGTAGCATTTACTTTGAAGTTTCTTTACCTCTCTCTCAGGAATTGAAAAAGAAAAATACAAATTAGGTAGAGCTCTTTTCGATGTTCTGGTACCTTAGTTGTCCATAACTTGGAACCAGTAGTAATAAATAGAGACCAAAACAAATCGGGATAAGGTTGTTATTTCCGTATATCACAAAAAAAAAAACGTAGTGAGGGTCCGGATGGGGTTTACAGAATATAAAATAATGGGCAACCAATACAGAATAAAGGAGGAAAATAAACTATCAATGCTAGTGTAATAGTCACATTTAATAAATAATAATAATAATAAAAATAGATCAAAAATAAAGAATAGAGATAATAAGCCAAAAAATAAAAAATAGCCTGAGAATAATGGGGTGCTATTGGAGAATAATGGACAAAAAATATAAGAAATAGAAAAAAATGGCATACAAAAATTAAACAATTCAAAAATAATGACTGTATTTATATATTAATTTTGACCACATCCAGTTGTTTAAACTATATTCTGAGCCTACGTTAAAACAGAGACATATATACACATGTGTATATATATGTCTCTGGTTAAAAGAAGTAATTGCGATTTTTGAGAAGTTTTCGTCCAGTACAGTAACAAGTAAAACAAGCACTTATGCATGCAAAGAAATTATAATAAAAAAACAGCATACTATTAACCCTAGCATACAAAAAAGCACAGGCGCTCGGCCGGGGAATCGGGACTCTCTTTTTCCGGCCATATCTATTTTTTGTGTTTTATATATTCAGCAAAGTATTCCTTAATATTCTAACTTATCTTATATGATGCCCTTCTATTGTTATTTTCAGAAGAAAACATGGGCATGACATATAAACTACTGTTATTGTAAAATCGAATGGGTAGAACGAGAGCACATTAGACCAATGAAAATAATTTAACATATTAAGGAATGACCTGCCTCAAGCTAGCGAACAATTAGCTAGCGAACAATTAGGAGGTATATCTAAAAACTACTATATTATATAAGGCAATCACGTTTTTTCGAGCTAGCGAACAATTATGAGAATACATACAATCTTAAACAAAAACAAAAAACTAACTTAAAACAAAATGGAAACCATACTTCATATATAAAGAATACAAAGCTTTTCTTTCCTAACTAAATAAATCCACATAAGGCATTCAATAGACAGCTGGATTACAATGACCATAAGGTAACACATTGACACAATGCATTTTTAGGGAATGGGGTTGCACTTTACGTTGTTTGGTCCGATTAATAGAGATTGTGACAGGTTACGACTATATAGGTGTTTAAGAGGAGATAGAGCCGCATCGTTTAGGAAAATCTCCAGAGTGGTTTATGTTCGAAAATGTTAAATTGTGGTAGAAAAAACTAAAATTAACAAAATGAAATTAGGGTATAGGACATTTTAAGTTAATTTTTGACCAATTTGAATAGATTATTACAGGCTCTATAGGTTTTTTAGAGGAGACATTGCCGCATCGTTTAGGAAAATCTCCAGAGTGGTTTATGTTCGAAAATCTGAAGTTACGGTAAAAAAACCGTTGAAATTGACAAAATGAGATTAGGGGGGTAGGGCACTAAACGTTAATGTTGAACCAATTCATAGAGATTGTGACGGGCAACGACAATATAGGTGTTGTAAAGAAGACATTGGCGCATCGTTTCAGAAAATCTCCAGAGAGGTTTATGTTCGAAAATCTGAAGTTACGGTTAAAAAACTGAAATTGTGAAATTGACAAAATGAGATAAGGAGTTAGGGCATTAAAAGTAAATTTGGGACCAATTTAAAGAGATTGTGACGGGCAACGACAATATAGGTGTTGTAGAGGAGACATTGGCGCATCGTTTAATGGGTAAAAAAAAAACGTGATTGTCTTATGTGAAATTGTGGTTTTTAGTTATACACCCTAATTGTTCGCTGGCTAATTGTTCGTCAAGTTAAGGAATGTTTACTAAAAAAAAAATAAAAAAAATATAGATAGAAAAACGGGGACTCATTCACAAAGCTGACACTCAAAGTACATATAAAGCATTAAGACGGACTACAAACAGAGGATATTTAAAAATGGATAACTAAACGAAAGGAACAATATGGGATTTCTCAGTCAGCCCTAAGGAAATACTCAACCGAACCACTCAGATCGATTTTCTGTCATAGCTGTCAGCAAGTAATTCCATTTTACAAATTCCTACTAAATTAGAGATAGAAAGCCAATGTATTTGTTTCTCTCACACACTCAAAATCTTAACGTTATCAAATTCTACTAGAATTTGAATATTAAAGAGTCTATATATAAAAATAAGAAGATGTGGTATGATTGCCAATGAGACAACTCTCCACCAGAGACCAAATGACATAGAAGTTAGCAACTATAAGAACTAATATACTTAAACAATTGTTAACAATTTTAATCAGTTACATATTTTGATATAATCAAAATATAATTTAGCACTGCATGTTGTAAATGTTATTTTAATACGAAATTGCATTTGTATAAGTTTGCATCAAAGTGTGAATGATGTCACTGAAAATGAAATGATGTGTACCAGAAAGACAATATGTAGCTTTACTTCCAACATTTCTTTTGTAAAAATGCATACAAAAACTGCCAAAGGATGCCAACATTACGGGTTTGAGCTACACTGAGGCATTTATTACTTGGTCACTTATTTGAAAATCAATCATGAAACTGCTAGAACCTCAAAATACACATACTGTGAATTAACGTAAATATTGAAGGACTTTTTGCAAATGGTCCTTGTGTGATAATTCTGGGAAAATTGTCTCTACCTCTTTTTTAATACGACTAGTAATAAGAGTAATTCAAGTAGTCTCATCATCACAAAATTCATTAGTGGCTAAACCAAACAGAAAAAGTATTGAAAATAAGAAATAAAATCATTCAGAGTTCTTGTGTTAACTTTAAAAGCTAAAAAAAAAATAACAAACTGTCCCGCAAATCATGAACCAAGCGAAACCGTGTGCGTGGACAGGTAAAACGTCCTCTGTTATGCATGCA